TGTAACACTTGTAGGACATCAAACAGCTGTGAACAGCTGTAGCATGATCACGGAAAGTGATGAAATTGATGTCCTATGTGACTTATGTGCCCTTTGTGCCCTATGTGCCCTATACATCCTGATACATCCTATACACTCTGCGCCTTGGCTGTGCTGTTGGGGTGATTCATCTCCGCATCGGTGAGTTCCTGCACAAAGTCGTGCCATCTCTTTCCTTCTCTCCTTCCCGGTCCTTCCCTTGTTCCCTCCTTGACCCTGTGATTCTCGCAAATTGCGCAAATGATAAAATGGTCCCTTTGACCATTGGAATCATCCAGTGCCGTTCAATTTCAGCCGTTTCCCCGTTTCGCATATTGTGAACCAGAAATCATAATCATCGTGTCACCCTGGAGGTCCGTCCCTTTCCGCAAATGGTCATCCTACTGCATTTTGCGCAAATCGCACTTGTATAACCGTGCCATCTTTGATGTGTCCCCCTCTCAATCATTTGTCTCATATTGTCTCATACATTATCATCAGAAATTTATGCCAAGGTCCAAGGTCATGTGTCATTTCTTCTTCGAATTGTTCCAATCATGTTCCTGTATCTTTCCATGTCAAGGTCCTTGGTTATCCTGCTGGCTCTGCTTGCATTGTGTATCTACTGTGCTCATCTGCGCTCACATCAGGAGAATGGCCAGTGGAAACTTGGAAACCTGCCTCGACACCCGTAAGGCGCATGACATGAAGCAGCACCATGAGCATCCAGGCGATTGCCCTCAGAATTCTCTGGCGTCAACGACACTTTTAGTGGCTGTCGTTTGTCTGTCAATTGGTCAAATTCCGCACAGAAAGTCAGAAAGTGTCCGCTTTGGATTTCATCGTCAGGACTCGTTAACTCACTTTGACATACTTTGACGATCTACGATCGCTGTATGCACTGGGGCCCGTGGCCGTACACCACTGGCTACCATCGCGATTGGCTGTACCATCCCAAAGCGCACTTCGAAGTCTGGTGGCAGCCGCGCCTGGTGCTTCCGAGAGCGACAGCTGTCAGTGAGATGTGGGTAGTGATTCTGGACTCTCAGATGTTCTCAAATCACAGGAACCCGATCTGCGACACAAGAAGCATGAAACATCATGAAACATCATGAAACATCATGAAACATCATGAAACATCATGAAACATCATGAAACATCATGAAACATCATGAAACATCATGAAACATCATGAAACATCGTGAAACATCGTGAAACATCGTGAAACATCGTGAAACATTATGAAACATCATAAAACCAAAATGTGCATTTGGCAACTTTGGTAAAGCGAAAGTACTTGCTCCAATGGTTCAATCTTGCTCTCTGCAGTTTCGGTGCCAACCTTCATCACCAGCCAAATGCTGTGCAGAATGAATCCAGCAACCCAAAAAAGGGCAGAGGCCTGGCACCGAGAAAGGCTACGTCGGGTACGTCGGGTACGTGGCGAGGGAAGGCTGCACATGGCTGAACCATCTGAACCTGATTTGTTCATTAAAAAAATCTGCAGAGTGATGGCAACGGCACACGAACCAGTCACAAGTCCGTTCGAGTCTGGTCAGAATTGCTGCAAACTGCGCAAGGTCCACAAGGCCCACAAGACGAAGAATCAAATTGAGGTTGCCGTTCATCAGGCTTTGGCAAAACGCAACCTGAAACACGTTGCGTCGCAGAGGTGTGTTCTTTGCGTTCCCACATTCCTTCAAGTGTCTTTACTGTTTGAAGTTCACCTGTGTCGACACATGCTATCCAGTCAGGTTTTCCTCGAAAAAAACTTTTTATCGACTGTCTGACTTCAAAGAAACAGACTTCCTTCTGCTAGAAGCTCCACAGCCTCCGAAGCTCCTAAAACTTGACTGGCTTCTGATGGTTTCTGCTTGAAGACTGCAAGCCAGACTCCACTAAAGATATCTAAAGATATCTAAAATATACTAAAGCTTCAGATGCTTCTGGTTCCACTGATGTAGCATCACGCAGTGCAGCATACAGTGTATCAGCCCTGAGAGGTTAAGTCGTTATATGTTGTTATCCTGGGCTCAGAGTCGCATTCCCCGCATTCCCCGCATTCCTCGTATCCTGAGTCGTCTGAGTATCCAAACGACTCCATGAAGGACTGCCCCTGCTGCAAAGCAGACCTCATCGAACAAATCGCACACAGCTTGCGAGAGCTAACTGGTTGCAACAAGTTGTAAAATGATTGTAAAATGATTGTAAGATGTTGTAAGCACATGCGACCCTAGAGGCTCCCATGAAACGCTGCAGGTACTAAAATCATGACAGCAAGCCTTTTTGTGCTGGCTAGTGTGGACCTGATCTCCAACACAATTCAGTTCTCTTCCGTGCAACTCCTACTCAAAGGCGTACTGGAAGCCTCAAATTCTCCATAGTGTTTGACAGCATCGAATTTTGAACTGACTGACCATATCTGACCATCATGAATTAAATGATTGTACAGAATTTCGGGAAATGTTTAGCTAAATGTCGGATACTACGCAACAAAAGTTCTGCGGTCTGCGGTTGCATTTGCCATGGTCTCAATATTTGATAGGAGTTAGCTGCTTAGCCGTTGCACGCATGGTGACATGCACGGACTGGGAAGATCCCAAAGACCAAAAGTTCGTCTTCCAGAGTAAACCTGTATGTTCGCTCGTCACACACCATGGCTCAGTCCCGCTGCGATAAGGGGGCTTCCAGGTTCACTGTGCTAATCTGTGCTGACGATGTCAAAACTGATCACATCAAACGTCTATGACGATTCTGCGATGAACATCAAGCGGGTATCTGTCGGGTATGTCCGGTATGTCTTGAAATTAGCACCAACGAACCCACAAATTTGAAATATGTTTTTTTTTGGTATAAACACATAAATAAACTCCTCCAACCAATCTATTGGGGCATTTTTGAACTTTTGGAGGCATACCATGGCATAGCCCTCCGATGAGCTCTGGGAGCTTGCTGAACCCGACTGCCAATGCGTCGGGTGTGCTACCGGAGCTTCTCAGAATGCCCGCGGGATGCTGTCTTGACTCACGAAAACTTGAATCAACAGCGTCACATACTTTGCGAAGGAGATGAAAGCCTGGTGAATATGATACTGTTGATGGGCCTGTTTCAAGCTGTTTCACTTCAGCTGCGCGCAGCCTGCGGAATGAGAAGTACTTCTAAAACACGGAAGTCAAACAAGCATGCCAAAACCGAGACAGGAACCCAGTACAAAACTTAAGCCATAGGCGTTCTGTCTGGGGCACCTTCTCAGGCAATGTGCAAAATAAGATGTGCTGACACTATCTGACACGTGTTATGAAAAGTAGTCAAGCCATGTCAAGCAGTCAAGCCACGTCAAGCCGTGTCAAGCCATGTCACACCTGACTACAGCACTTCAGTACACTTCAGTCTGATTGGCATAACACCTTCTTGGTGAATGTCGGACGTCAGTGAATGTCTGTGACCTATGGTGATCTATGATGATCTTGTGACAAGAAATGAACAAAATGAGCGCTCAATTGCAGGTAGCAGAATCATGCCATTCTGCGTCCATTCTGCGTCCAGCTTGTGCACTGCGAGAATTTGTGCTGTGCACTGCTGTGCGTGCACTTGTCGCCAACCGTTTGATTTCCATCTTAAAATTCACATCGATCTGATGAGACTGCTGGATGATCTCAAAAAAACGGCCCAGGCTAAAGCGTCTCAAAGGGAGCATAGCTCGATTTGGAGCCTCTACAAGTAGGGTAGATGTGTTTTGAAGAGACTTTACTCGATACTGTACTGCTGCAAGCAATAGCTGCAACACATCTTGTTGAGCTCCCGGAAGCTTTCCACATTTGTCTCTCAGAAGCGAAAGCATCAAGGATAAAAGTTCGCGCTCATCCAACCCATCCAAGAATTGCCTTTCATTTCTGTTGAGGTTGCATTTCCGCTTGGCATGTCCAAGGTGACAAAACTCGCAAAGGAAACCTTTGGTGCACTTGGAGTAAAAAGCACGAATACATGGAGATGCGCAAAGCTCTGGATGGCCGTAGCTTCCACAGGAGATTGGTGTATCCTCGGAGACTGAGGACGTGCACGATGTCCCGATGTCTTGTCTGTGTTGTTATTATCCTAAAGCAAAACATCCAACACCACCAATGTTTCTATTCTTTATATTTCTCAATTATTTTTATATTTCTTTCGAGTTCTTGGAAAGAATTACAGAATCGAGCTTCCAACTGCCAGGCAAAAGAATCAGCTGCCTTTTGTAAGAGCTTGTCTTGTGATTCCTCCTCAGGGCCAGACATTGTGCGCATCAAAAAAAATGAAGAAGCATGAAGGAGCTAAAAAACAAAACATAGTCCTTGATTCGATTGATCCTATGTTTTGATCTCGCTTGCCATTCAAAATCTGAAGGACGCTCGGAAGCGATGGCAGGTTGTAGGGCTTTACAACAACAAATGACCCAAACATGGCTTTCGTACATTGGTAAGTTGCTAAAAGAGCTTCAAGTCTTAAAGGACCTTCTTTTATCTTCTTTCAACAATCCTTCACATTGCTTCTTTTCATCTGGACGTTCAACTAGTCTTTCTGTGGAATCTTGTCACCTCTTTGCAAGACTTGCGCATCATTTTCTGCCTTCCCACACGTTCAGAATTTTGATTGCCAACAGAAGGTTTGAGAAGACTGCTACACATTTGGCACCACAACAGTCTTCTCTTCAAAAGCCTTTCCATTCTGCCAAGCAACTGGTTTGGATGCTGCGCCGAGTGAGTGTCGACGACGATCCGATGGGGATTCCAAGTCGACCACCTCCAAGAAGGTCCCGCGACACCTAGAGATCACTAGACATCACTAGACGTCGAAATTCTCAGAAACTCTCAGAACATCTATGTAACATATAATATATATATATATATGTATATATATATTATTATATATATACATACTCAACTCTTCACAACTCTGGGCTTGACTCCAACCCTCAGACTACCAGTGACTAGAGGGTCTGCCAATGAAATCAAAATTCACTGCGTGTAGAACACTTTTCTGTGGTGCAACCCATGCATTCGATATACGAGCAAATTGAAGAAGTATCAAACAGCTGATCTTGAGCACCAAAATCTGGGGAACATATTGTAAACATGTGTAATTAAACTGTCAGAAATAAAGTGAAATTGGCTATTGGCACCATGGTTCAAACGAGGCACTTCAGCGACATGACGGTATGGGTTAATGATGGTCAACGGTAATACGCCAGATTTTATAAGTTCGGCCCCAGCACATCTCGGAATCAAAACATCCAGAGCCAACGTGGCAGCAGGGTTTCAAGCGGAACCAGTAGACTGCATTGCACGAGCACAACATGGCACAATTGATTTTTCGAAATGAAAACATGGCCCAGAAAGGAGGCGACAGTGAATGGAGAGCTTGAATTCAGAATTCACTGGTACTGCTCAAATCGCAAAGGAGCTAAAACTATCACGTAATCCTTTCCAAAACGACATTGAAGATTATGTGTCTATATATATATATATTTGTACAGTTTATACATGTTTACACAGCAATACATTACATTCTTCAGATTGCACTCAGACTGAAGTTCCAAAGCATACCAAGCACCCAACCGCGACGATCAGAATGACATCCTAGCAAACACGTCGAAAAACTGCAGCAAATTCTGAAGTTCAACATGGTTCGCCAATCTGCAACCTGACCTTGCAAATGCAAATTGAAGCAAGGCTTACAAAATATTACAAACATGATTATCATGATTGTATTATATTGTATTATTGTGAGCCTATTACATCACTGCAAGTATTGTGAGCTCTGAGAATTCTCCTTGTGTGGCACCAACAAGGATGCATTGGATTGCACACGTTTGGGATGCAGCCTGACGAGATAGGATCTGGGGCCCGGAAATCAACTTGAGCAGCCCATTTAAAATGCAGATTTTGGTCGTGCCTCAAGTGCTCTGATTTTGACTTTATGATCTTTATGTTTCTCCACCGGTTTCAGTGAGTGTCAAAAGCGTTTTGGATATGTTTTTGGATCCTGCAGGACTGCAGCACCTGTACGACTCTTGAAGAATGCGGAGCTCCAAAAGGTCAATGGCGCACTGCATCCGCTGCGCTTTCCCCTGAATAGCTGGGAGGCCGGCAAACCCCATGCATCACCCATGTTTGAGAACAAATTCAACACCCGAGAAGATGAATCTGCTTGGACTCAATGAATCTGTTCAGCAGCATGGCAAGAGCCAGCAAGAAACAAATAAAAAAACAGCTGTTTTTATGCCCCTTGCCATGCGATGCTGCATAAATGTTACTGGGAAAAGAATGGACAAGAATCCTCATCGACATTGAGAGTTTTTTAACTGGGCCAAAAATAAGGGAGAAAGATTAAGTATGTCTGACATTTGCGAACACGTCCTGAGAGCAGGACACTCCACAACACTTGCGGAAAGCCTGCGACGTCGCCACCTAGATCAGAGGACACACACTGTGAGACACACACAGAGCACCTTGAAAGACCAGCTTCAACCGTAAGAGCGTCAAGAGTCGGTAAGAGTCGGTAAGAGTTGACTGGAGATGACTGGAGAGCGCCAGAGATTCGACGCGCAGTGTGCATCTTTCATTTGCATCGCATGGGATGCATCACTTCCTTTCAATATCTTTCAACACACTTGTAAAGACTCTTACACTTCCAGACAGATCTGTCACGTGCCATCACGCGCCTGAATCATCAAAAATGAAATATGCACATCTCTGTTGGTTTCAATGTTTTGCAATGTTTTGCTTCCCTCTGCACCAATAGAAAGGGATTCGAATGGTGTCTGCGGTGTCCGCTTTCAGGGCTGCTCTTTCTTGTTTTCATCACTTGCCATTCTCAACTTACATCTTGCATCCCTGCATCCAGGATACTGATGCTTATTGACTTGCATTCGGACGTGTCGCGTGCAACATCGTCCAATAATATGCAAACTAATTTATGTGTATATATATATATATGTTTATATTTATATGTTTATGGAGAATGATCAAGTTTATCAAAAATTATCACATGATCTGATGATTCTTTTGAAGAAAGGTGAGATCTGAGCACCCAACCAGACAGATCCACGAGCATTTTGCCAGAGAGATGTGCATACACCTCACCAAAATCAGCAAAAAATCAGCGTGATTTCCAATAAATACGAGGCAAACTACGAACCGAACCACAAACGCAGTGACATAGGTATGACATGCTACAGTGCAGCAAAGCGACCCTGTTCCAACCCCACTTGCTGATCTTGGTCATCTCTGGCTCCAACACCACAGGAAGAATTGCTGGCGCCATCTTGGCCAAGTTGAACCTGTCACACGTCCGGAGACGGAGTCCGAAGCAGTTCAGCGACTTATCAAACATACCATCAAAGCACGTCAGGCAATGAGATGCAAAGACCGCATGCAATGCTGTCTCAACATGTGCATACATGTGTGTGAATGTGTATATAGATATATAATGATATATATATATATAATGTATACACATGTGTATACATACATATATATATGATATATATATATGTATATATATATATTATATATCATATATATATATATACTCTGTGTGTGTGCCAGTGTATATCCCCCTAGCTTCCAGGAACCTCCAGTCTTGCTATGTTGTATAGAGGTGGGTGGGGTGGGGGGGGTGGCTAACAACGTTCGGTGTGCAATGCGTCATGAAAAGAGTTGATATGTCGAGGATGTTTTGATCCATGCTGGCTTGTATGATCGGATCAGTAAAGCCCACACAGGCTTTCAAAAGTTCCTTGTGGATGTGAGGTTTCAAACATGCCGAGTCCAAAATGTGTGGGCCTTCTCCTGAAATTTTTAACTGTGTAAATTGTCACTCCTGAGTAATATTCAATGAATGGCAAATGTCACTGCTAACTACGAGATGTCTATGAAGAATATATTCTTGAAGAAGAAAAATCGGATAAGTCTGCGCAAACATCCCGAGCCAATGTCCGCACTGGAAACCCTGTAAAACACAGTGAAAAAGTATGAAAAATGATGACTCACAAATGTTCTTCCAAAAGAATCAAATGGAGTTCCAAGGAACCTCCAGCCTTTCACCCATATTGTTCTACATATTACACATGCTTGTTCAGCATGTTTAAAAAACTGTAATTTTTCTGAGCGAGGTGCTGAGCGACACAGTCATCATCGACTTTTCCTTCCTCGATCTTTTCAATGTATTTCCTGCCATCGCAGATGCCGCAGATCTGGATCTGTCGGAAATCAAATCTAGGAATCCACGAAGATGGAAAAATTAGCTGTGTCCTCCATACCCACATCCACCAAAAGCAAGGCTGCTGCACTGCATGCCGTATGAAGATGCATGATATGAATTGATATGCCATTTCTTAGCATCATATCATGCATCCATATGCCACACTGGACTGGACCTTGTGACGAAGACCAAGGCAACAGCGGAACGACGCATTCCATCCACCATGGCCTGGAGTGATTTCTGACAAAATTTCTCCACATTCAATTTTATCAATAGCAATAGCAGCAATAGCATGCAATAGCAGTATCAATATTGACAATAATTTTGACAAAGTTGGTATCAATTGGTATCGATATCGGCAATATGGGTATCGAAATTGATCAGATTCGTTTGACTTTGGCAAAAACGCAAAAGGTTGGGATTGAGTGACAGCTTCGGACTCCGCCTCGTCTGTGCTGTTGTATCGATGTGCCTGTTTGGCTCTTGGGTCCAAATGTTCACAAAAAAAGCACAAAACGGAGGACGTCAAGGTGTCTGAAACCCTGCAGATATTCCCTGAGGAGATCTGAAAGATGAAGAAAGATGAAGAAACGTGAAGAAAGCAACAAAGAGTGACCAAAGAGTGAACAAAGAGTGCTCTGAAATGGTTTGAAAGCCTCTCTGTCCGGTAGGAAGACTTGAATGCCATGGCCCTCCAGGACGCCAGCCTGAAAGCACGCAAAGATCTCATGGGCCAATCCGATTTGCTGCACCGTTTTGGCCAAGCTCATCGTTTCCTCATCGTTTCCTCAACGTTTCTGGGTGCCAGGCTATCTGCATCACTCTCTTGTGATTATCTCTGCCTTGGGAATCCTCCACAGGCCGAAAGCAGGCTGTGCCATGCCAGGGGGCGCAGCCATGCCGGGTTGCTGCCAAGGGAAGTTAAGGTGCCAGTCTGATGTGAGAAGTTGTCATACGTCTCATGTTGCTCCAGGTATTTCCATTAGTGTTTCCTTGCTACAGGATGGACAATAATCATGGTTGCCAATGAATCTTGCACACAATGCTGTCACTGGAAGGCATGTTTTTCCATTTCATGTACGGATTCAGAGCGCTCCCCTCTTTCGCTAACCATTCTAAATTATTATGCAGAACGCGTGAACAATTTTAAGCATTCTGAACATTCTATTGTGCTTGCCATCGTTCTGATCACCAAGTGTAGTCTTAAAGCATCTCATGGGACAAAATCACGGGAACAAAAACGACCACAGAAGAATCAAAAGAAAGAAAAACACAGAAAAATTATGGAAACTCAGCAAAGTGATCAACAGAGAAGTTGAAATGTGTCAGAATCTACTGTTGCAGCAATTTGGAGGATAGTTGCAAAAGCGTGCAAAAGCATCAAAAGCCACAGCCAAGGATTCCAAAAAGAAAAACCAAACGGACAACCGGACAATTAAAACCTGTACACCCCGGGAAGCCAACAAACCATTCTCAGGCTAAAAGCCGCGCGCAAGGCCCTAGTTTCCGAAGCAACTTTGTGAAGACTGGAATGATGTTGGGTCGTTCATGGTCTTTCTCTTGCACATCTCTGTGCTGAAACAGATTTCGAAAATCTGGGGAGTTCATGGCACTGCGCAAAGGAGCCTCCTGGCCTTCTGAATCTGTGGTGCTTCATGGTGCTTCCAATTTGTTTCGCTACAGAGGTCAATTTCTGCAATGCTGTGCCCGAGCGGCACGCACGTGAGTAAGAAACCCTATGACCCAACATGACCCAGGACATGATTATTGAATATTATTGATCTTTACCCATCCTTACCCGTTGTTACACATCATGACCCACAGCCATAATGACCCATAGCTTGCAGCTACGCATGAGCCGAAGTCCTTGCCCCAATTGTGTGAGATGAAGCAGTCATAGCTTGGACCCTCACCTAGCATGACTTGCAGAGTGTCACTCGAGTCACTTGCTGAGTTCCAACAACATGCATGCTGCACGAGTAAACACCCTCCCCCCAAAAAGGTAACAGCAGCGGAAGGAAGCACAACGCGAAGTGAACATATACTCTGTTTGAATGAAGAACGCAAGAAAACCTACTACCCTGGAGCCACGTTGCCTTTCTCGTTGGTTTTCCAAGCGAGGTTGCTTTCGTGCGAAGATAGCCTCATGGAGTTTGTGCAGTGCTGTAATTGTCTGAACAACAGGAGCATATCTCTTGACTCTCCTTTTCCCAACACATCATCAAAATGAATCTAAAACTATGCTGCGCCACATCTCAAACTGCGGCAAAAATTGGTAAGAATGATGTGTGGTGCTGGGACAGCCACGGACCACCAACCACCGACCTGCCAGAGGGCACCGTGAATGTTGCCATGAAGTGCCATGAAGCCACATTTTCCTGTCCTGGAGATGTCGGCATGCGGATTGAGCAGCCAAGCAAGTCGATCCACCTCAAAACATGGAACAACATGGAACAACATGGAACAGCCTCTCGCTGTCAGGTGATCGTCAAGCTGTTGACAAATGGACACTGGCTCATCATGGCTGCCATGGCTCGTCTTTAAGCTGCAAACTGCTTCCTCCCATCCAGGATCCGACTCCTGACAGCTCAAGAGTGTTTGTTTATTTTGTTAAAATGTGTTCGTTTTAGTGTTCGTTAAAATGTGTCAGCTCCATATGCTCCATGGTGCGGGCGATCCAAAGATGTCCAGCGGGTTTGCTCCGACGATGTCCAGATCGCACGTTCTGGCGATCCTCCATGGACAGGTCCATGATGGCACGCCCAGAGAAGCGAGCGAAGACTTGGTTCCATCCTCAATGCTCAACCGATCTCAACCGATCTCAACCGATCTTAACCGATCTTAACCGTACTCAGATGTACTTTTTACATCTTAGATGTACTTCGTACAACTTAGTACATCTTAGTACATCTTAGTACTTGTATCATCTTGTACCATCCCATATCAACCACACAACCATGGCAGAAAACTGCGCAGACCATGCCAGCAACAACACTGGATCTCTGATATTCTGGGCTTTGAGCCCCAAGTTCCCGGGTTGACAAGGTCAGATTCCAACACTGCAACCACAGCATTGGGCAGACCTCAGAGGACTCTGCGGTTGGAATTGGATGAATTTGGAGACAACAATATTAACAATGAAGGGGGATAATGAATGAAAATAAAACTAAAACTAGCCAATGGCAACCAATGCAAATATCTCATTTTCCTTGCAGCCGAGAGCTGGCAGCTGGAACCCTTATATTATCGAAGGATTCCTGTTGCGAAAAGGAAGCTAAGTGATCTAAGTGCTAGGCACTTTGCCAAGGTGAAGGCAGCCACGCAGCCTGGCCATCGCACAGACTTCACAACTCATCTCGATCAAGGTTCATCAAGGATGGTTGAGGCATGTTGAGGCATAGAAACATATTCCCATATTGCATACACATGCATACACATGCATACACTGGATAGATGAGTGTGATTGATTGTGTATCTTCAATCCTATGTTGGGAGTTTGCGATGCTCTGTCCTCCTACTGGCAAGTTCAGACGGATACAAGGCAAACGAAAACAAGCCAGGTCTGCTGTCACCAAAGACACCACTCTCCACTCGATCAATGAACCTGTCGTCTTGGAACATTGCTGTGGACAAAGGATCCTATACACTTTACGCACACACGCACAGGCACACGCAAATACAAGATTGTGCGTCACATCTTGATTTCATGGTTACTATGAAAAAAAACCATCAAGTTCAGTTTTGTTGTAACAGAAGCTGTGAACGTTACAGATTGGAAGGTACAAGGGCAACAAGGTGTGACATAGTCAAACAGTTTGAGGACTTTGAGGCAGATTTAAACAATCGAAGCCAAGAAATTGCACATGTATCCGTCTTATCCCTTTTATCATCTTCCATCTTCCATCCATGAGATACTGGATTCATCTGGCTTCTATGTCGCCCAAAGGTATCAAAAGGTGGCTTCACGTCGAGGGTTGTCGGGTTTCACCAGGTTCATCTAAGACACACTTTAGGACACCATACGTACACCAATTGCCAATCCACAGATTGGAGTTCGAGTCTCTTCGTCTCATTTCCACCAATTGCATATTTGTCATATTTCCACTTGTGACGGTGAGACAAAGGTTGGAATTAGAATGAATTAAGTGATTAAGTCCTCTCATCCTTGTCCTTTCCTTTTGCTTTGAGCCTGATGTTACAGACTCTGCGGTGCTCCCCTGTCTTTCAATCACTGAGATTCACACTGTCGAGTCAGCAGAATCACAGCACAGTTGCTGTTTTGCGCTGCCTGGTCAGCAAGTTCAACAAAATCATGAACAAATTGTAAGAAATTGTAACAAATTGAACAAATGAAAGAAAAACAGAACTTGAGTCTGACAGCTCCGGTTTCGCTGGTCTCAGCTGTGATCTCGATCATTCTCGATCGACCTTCACCCAGCCTGTGCCATGAAATGTGCCTCGTCGCTGCTGGAAAAGTGGGTCACAGCTCCGACCTGCACTGGTCACGACGCCTGGGAACCCTCCTATCCGAAAAGATTCGGTACAACGATGCGCCTTCACCAGAGCTATCACAAGAAAGGCAGAAGGCACTTGATGATCGCCCCAAAATGTTGGCTTTCAGTGGTCCGGACAGTTTGCAGAAAACTCGCGCAGTGGAGTCTGCAGTTTTCCGGATCTGAGGCTCGCGCTAGGAAAGACTGCTGGCAAACACGGATGTTCCGTGCCTGCTCGCACACAGCGCGCAAGAATACCAAATGCATGGCAAAATGTTTCTAGCTGTATTCTAGCTGTTAGGTGGACAAGCGGGGAATGTTGTGTGCATACTACGGAAGAAAGCAACCATCGGAACTCTCCAGAGCTGTCAACTTGATCCGGATGCAGAATTTTGCGCCTGGAGCGCTTTGCTAATAACTGCTGCCTCGTGGCAAAGCAAAGTTCTGCTCAACATTGGTTAAACTCGAGAGACAAAAGAATGTGATTGGGCTGACAATTTTTTGTCAGATTCTTTCTTCATGGACAGCGAAAAGGTCAAGGAATCCGAAAGTTCGAAACTTCGACTCAAAAGGAATCAAACTCTTGCAGTCCACCGGGCACCGCACCCGAGTCGCACTTGGCTTTGCCTGTTGGCCATTGCCCATGGCATAAATGACAAAGGCATCAAAGCGGCTCCCACTGCGCAGCAACGCCTCCACAAAATCTGCCGTGACACACGGTCCGGCACAGTCGATCGCGAGTCGACACTCAACAACAGTTGGCGTACAATAGTGTTGTGAAGAGTGCTAGAAGTTAAGTGATATGTATAATGAACAATTTACAAAAACAATAGTGAACAACAGCGAACAAACGTCGACAGAAATCAACGGCTTCGGCTTGTCTGCCTTGCTGTCGGAGCCAGGCCTGGCATGCAGAGGGAAAAGACAACGACATTTTCAGATTGTTCAACGACTCAAAAGTATCACCTTCACAGTGATATTCACCGTCCAACAGTAGTCGCAAAACGATCATTTTCATAGCATCCTCGATGTGTCTCCGACTGTCCTACATAAGCCTCGCAGCACTATACCAGTTGGCAGTTACGACAACACACAACCAAATTATCCATGCTCCAAAATGTTTTTTTTGTGATGTGATGGTTGATTTCCACTGACATGAGATTGGCTGAGGAGAGTCCCACTGAGTTGGCTCCTGGCAACAAAGTTTGGAGAACAAAGAAACGCAAAAGTTTTGGATCTCTTGGGAATGCCGCTCACCCTTAGTCCTTGCCCCATCTCGTCCCATCTTTGCCTTGCAGTCTCCCTGAGATCTTGGCCAGCACTTTGGGCCTTGGCTACATGGCATCAAAAATAGCAGAGATCAAGCGTGACGCCATTGCCAGTTTTTGTGACAGAGTTTAGCCGTAATCCATCGTAATCACCTCCTTTCTGAGAAAGGATCAGGTGACATGTCTCAGCGTGCTAGACGCAGGTGGAGGCCAACTATGAGTAACTATGAGTCAGGCTGCAGCAATGTCAGGCTTCGGCACGGTGTTCCTCGAAATCGTCAAAGCTACTTCCACGCTGCTTTTCTCCATCATTAGCTCCTTCCTTTCTGCCTCTCTCTCTCTCACCATCTCGCTCTCCAGCTACTTGAATAAATAAATAAACATGTGTATATATAATCTGTAAAAAGTAAATATATAGATGAATCACAGCAATGCATAGCAGCTTGAATGAAGATGATTAGAGTGCGTACAGTATCTGTATACAGTATGTGTGCAATATGCAGTAGGTATTTGATGGTTTTGAGGAAGTGCAAATCCAGGAAAATTCCGCTTCTCAGTGCTCTCAGTCTCTCAATTGCTAAGAATGCTACAGGGGCGGCCTCAGTTTCTTCCTGGCAAACGGACGTCTTGATTCATCTTTTTGGTCACAACTCGTTTCACTCGTTTCTCAGCTTTCGCAAAATCCTGGCCTTGCAGCATCGCCTCAGATCTTTTCTCTACTCGAATCCGGGAATATCGGGAAGATCGGGAAGATTGGGAATTCATGGGAATTCACATCGAGATCAAACGATCAAGCGATCGACTCTGCGAATTCTGAGCCCTGCACTGTCTACGGATCCTGGAAGACCTGGAGCTGGCTTCGCCAGTCCAGGCTCCTTGCCTGACACCAAGGCGTCACGAAACGTCACGAAACGTCAACCCAAAAAAAGTAAAACTTGACATTTCATGACATTTCAAGTATAAAACAAAGTAAATATTATAAATAAAATGTATCTCAAAGAAATCCGATCCCAAAGACTTCCAGACTCCAATGACCTCGATGACTGAGACTTACGGTACCAGCCTTGTGACCCTTGAGGCTGTGCCCCTTGTGGCCCATTGGTTAATGTCTTTGGCCTCGCAATTCAGCGCCTGTGAAAAAATAACACCTGAGTCACCTGAATAAAATGATTGGTGTAATTGGTTTGGAGAACCCACCACTACAAATGAACGAGATACCAAATTACTGGGCACCCCAAGTCAGTCTAAACAAGCGAGATGCATGTTTCATCTGGGCGAGCGTCGTGAAAATGGCTGTCCAAAATGACTCAGTGAATTGTTTGCTTAGTATGTAAAGAGCGTAAATTTCACCGGGTTCAGCTAGAACCAGATGCAACCCGTAGCGAAGAGACAACGGAAGGCATGAGACTGTTCCACGTCTGACCAGCTGGGGGCCCGGCGCTGAAACACCTGGTGTGAAACTGCCGCAGTCTGAACTGACTATTCTGCATATGCAGATTTTTATTGCATCTCTCTCTCTCTCTCTCCTGTGATTTTCTCTCTCCTCTCTCTCTCTCACCATCTCGCTCTCCAGCTACTTGAATAAATAAATAAATAAACAAATATAATAAGATATTTATATATATATAATCTGTAAAAAGTCAATAAAGGGTGTAGTCTTCCTTGGGAAAGGACAGAAACATGTTGGAAGATTCCTCTGGAATGCGCAGCAGTACTTTACTATAGATTTGTTTGATGGCTGCATAATTTTGTTCTAAATCGTATACTAGTACAAGGATTATGTGTTCCACAGTGTTGTATCACGACTATTATGTTCTTTTAAGAGGGTCTAGCACCAAAAGACTAGGCAATACCCTCCAAAGAGACCTTCAAAACGTGCAGTATTCCTCTAGAAAATTATGTCAGCATCAGACATGTACAAAAATGCTTCACAAGATCTGGAAGTATATAAAATCCGAACTTTCATGTGTAACAAAAAGGAACAAAAACACTGTTTAAAAAAAAAAAACGTGTATAGCTTAAAATTGACATTTGGCCACAGCGAGAGGCGCATTTTGTGAGTGTTCGAATTGAAACTCCTTGTTGGGATCACAACATGGTACTAGTTTAGTATCAAAAAATGTCAGTGTACTTGCACAGGAAGCATCACAACTCATCACACTCAAGCATCCAAAGTCTTCAAATGACTGAAAATGAGAACGTTGTCTTTGAAGGCAAAAATAAACATACTGTAAAACACAGTAAAATCCAAAATCGGTAGGTTTTAGGGGTGCTGGTAAAAAACATATATATATATTCACTTGAAAACACAGGAATGAACAAAAATGCATAAGCAAACACATGTGTGCGCAACCTATAATATTATATAATATTATATGTAATGTATATTAAACATATTTAAATATGGTAAGTATAATATAGTATCATAATATGATATGCTTTAGCTGCTTTTCCCTTTGAAGCTGGGAACACGACAATCACAGAGTGACCTGAGTGACCCATGTCTCTCTTGCCTTCTGCGCCTGGGACCTCAGCTTCAGCCTCCATGGTTTTTACGACCTCAACAGAAAAACGGGTAGCGCCGAAGCGGCCGAAGCGGAAAAAAAGCATGAAAAAACAGAGGAAAAACAGCGGAAATGCCTGTGCTGTTTGTGACATGGACATGGCCAAGTATAATAAGATCTTACAACATATTGTGTCACATCATGTCGCATTGCCACTGTCCACACAAAACATGCTTTCTATCACAGTCTGAGGTGAGAAACCCAGCCAACTGTCGGCAGCTCTTGCCTTTGTACACTTTGTATACTCAATCTGAAGTGACACAAATCGACTCAAACTCGAACTGTCGAACTGAGACTCAAGCCAAACCTCTAACGACTCTGGTTTTCTGCTCTTTTCTACGGCATTTGGCCATGTCCCAAATGCTTCCCTCATAAGCAACACGTGTTCTCGGCTGAGTATCCAACACGATCCAGCTACTGTTCTGCTTGTGAGACGGCCTTAGTGGATTGCGTCACATATCATGTGAAAATTATGTAAAACACATTGTTCGTGCTGCTCATACACATACTTATACATCTCATATGGATCTCATATGGATCTCATGCTCTCCTGCAGTTCTCAGTTCTCCCTTGGAGTTTGAATTGGCACTCCAAATCCACCTTAGCCTCTCAGCCTCGCACGAAGCACCTTGAGCGCCCTCCGCCATGGCAGTCCAAGTCTCGTCTTGTCCGTAACAACTTGTAACAACTTGAGATGTTTGGAAAACGAGTCCGAAAACACGGTAGAAAACGTCTGATTCAACTGAGACTTTGAGCCGGATCACTAGAGGCCCCCCCTCAAGAGCCAGACACGGCAAGGGCCGGACCGTTGGATTATTGGACAGATTTGGACAGAAACATCTCTAAGCAAATCTACTTTCCTGGGTCATAGTGTCGATCCTGCCTCCAGCCAGCATGCTACAGGTATGACATACTTATGAACTTTGCTTCTTTTTGGCATAATTGCCATATGAATGCCATATGATAAGACTTCAGTCGATCAACATTGATCAACCAAAACGAAATCCGTGGAACTCTGAGTCCGTGCCTGGTTCAAGAATTGCATAAGCCTTGGCATGAGCTGGCAGGTTTGTAGTGAGATACAAACCCGAACAAAAAAGGCAACCCAAGGGTGTACAGTGTGTACAGTGTACAGCAAAATCTTTTGGCACTGCAAGTTCGCCATAATTGAAGCTGTTTATCAATGCCATAAAGTAAAGGAATGCAAGAGGAAGGCAAGATCTATCGAATATCTTATATGTTAAATATATTCAAATATCTTATGAATCTTATGAATCTTATGAATCTTATGAATCTTATGTAAAGATATGTAAAGGTCAGAAAGAATTCTGAATCCGTAGGATCTCCGACTGCTGGCCAGTGATGCCAGCTGGAAGATTTCCCAGGTAAAGCTCTCGAGCAGACTGGCGCTGTGGCGTCATGCGTGGTATGGCTTTGGTACGGGATTTGTCAGGTTTGGGGAAACTCTGCATTGCTTCATGTTTGGAAAGTCTGCATGTCCACACTTCAACTTAGTAACCTACGGTACAGTAGTACTGTATTCAGATGTATTCGGTATTCAGATCCAAGGTGCAGTGAATGCCTTGTAGTTGCCTTTGGGTCTGAAAACGAATGAACAGGGAAGGTCTCGCAGCAATGCATTTCTCGCAACTGCTCACATGCTCCCCTTCGCAACTTAAAGATCACCTACGTATTTAGAGCTATGATGAGCTATGTGACTGCGTACGTTTGTGGGTATGAAACGAAGTTTGAGGCCCTGTCCTACTTAGTAATTTTCTTTCTGAGAGCTTCTGCGACTCTCACTGAAAAATTGAAGGATGTTTGCTGTCCTCATCCTTCCGCACAATATGAACTCTACCTTGCCGTGCCTTGGAATCTGCTGCTAGAGCCATCGGGTTCACGGTGTTGGAAACACCTGCAGGTCAAGAAAGGTCAGACTTTTACACATCAAAGGCTCACCACTCCATCGAAGCCTGCCAGAGCTAAACCTCCCTGGAGAGCAGCAGCGACACCGCCTACCAGCTGTCCATAGCGGATTCAAACGAAAAAACAAACAAAGACATTGTCTGAACAAGTAAAGAAATTGTTTACAAAGAAATGCGCGATCTCTCTGTATGCTCATTTAGCCCTATGCTTTTTCCACAGCAATTCATTGTTGATTTTCATGTAGAATGTGCAGACATTGCAGACGGCATAAAATGCAATAGCTCCCCCGAGGCGTGACCTATTCCCATTGGGTTGCCCGTCAGCATGGCGTCGCGCTGATACTCCTCCTCCTTTGGCGGGCCTCGGAGATCCCCGTTCCAGTCAGCATGTTCCCTGTGCCGTTTTGTTCAGGTATGATCAGGTCGAAGTTTCGGCGAATTTCAGGCACCAGACTATCAAAACGCCAGCGCCGATACTGCATAGAAGGGCTCCTCTTTCGGGGTTCCTCCTGAAAACAGCATGAGGATCCTGAAGCTTCTCTCACTGGCTGCTGACCTTTGACAGAGAAATCAAAGCCTTCCTATGGCATGGCATGCTCAAAATGCTACAACCTGCCAAGTTTGAGTATTTGTACATTTTGAGTGCAAAGACTTGCACAATGCTCCTCTGGTGGTGGGGCCTTCTCCTGAACAAAGTCCATCAGGATGTTGTGACGCCGCATATGCCATCAGTCAATTCTTCAAAGCTGCAAAGCTGCTCCGATTCAACTCAATCAGTTTTGATTCAACTCGATATCACAAGACCGGCTAGACTGCCTTTTCTTACAGAGGACTAGCTCTATCTTATCTGCACAAAAGCAGCAGTGGGCTTGAAGCAGAGAGGCAGCGAGAGGAAAAGGCAGAGAGAGAGAGAGAGCTCTGTCCAAGAAAGATCAAGAAAGACGACTGGAATCTTTCGCTCCTTCTTCTCTTTCTTCTCCTTTTTCTCTTTGTCCTTCTCTCTTGACCTTCAAGCATGACATCACCAAAAGGACCCCTGTGCAATAAATCCTGGCAAAAGAAAACTTGCTGCTTCGGACATCTGCTTCGTCGCGTTGTGCCTGCTTCGTTTCTTCTCTCGCTTTTCTCTTGATCGACTCCGCTTCTTTTCCTAACACGCTTCCAGCAGTAATGCACACTGTTATCAAACCAGGACTTGAAATTGTGCCATGACATCGCGTTATAACGTGGAACACTTGAAATCGAGCATTTCAAGTGGTGTATCTTGCTTGCACAATGCCCACCTTGTCCTTCTCCTTGTCCCGCCTGCGGATACTGAAGGGAACAGGAAACTAAGTCATTTACGAACAGTGCAGCATCTACTTGAGATTGCCTTCGCTTCAGAATCTGTTTGCTGGGCTTTTGATGGGGGTTTTGCTTCTACTTGAGTTACCTGGACAAGAAGCCTCCACTTCTGCAATTCACATGTGACACTTCTAGGCATGTGATGTTTCCGATCGCCTCTTCTCCCGTGAGCGTGATCGCCCCTGAGACAGCCCACATTGCCGAACTTACTGCATCGAATAAATGCTTCATCGCTCAAAAATACTCTTGACGAAACTCTCACGCTCTCTACCAGGAAGTATCGATATCTCAGAATTCTGTAGCTCTGGCCCAATCACGCTTACAAGGTAGGACTAAGCTAAGATATGCTAAGATGAGGACCATTGTGGTGATGTCCAAAACCTGCAGATGAAAAGCTATCGGAGAGCAAAGCCATGAACTGCAGTGCAGCGCGTGCTTTGAGTGTCACGCCCACGCGGCTCGCAGGGAGAACTTCGGGACTGGCCCCCAGGAACCCGAGCCGTGCCCCGATGAGCCACGCTGAGCAGCGAGAGTGACAAAATGTGACAAACGACTCAGACATGAAACAAACTGAAACAATTTTTAACAAACTGAAACAAACTGAAAGTGATTGAAAGTGATAGAATCATTCCAAGTCCGACAGCCACATCCTGCCCATCCATCAAGGCTAACAAAGGGTAGAGGGGTGGGAGTTGAGCAGTCGGCAATGCATGACAATATGACAATGCAAGCGTTGCCAAGAGTCTCGAGTTGCCTTTTTCAACTGATTGACCTCACTTCTTCAAAGAAACTCGTGGCGGCTGTAGCCGAGAAACCTCGCTGGGAGAGCACTCTGGAGCAGAGCATCCGAAATTGGAGAAAAAAAAATCTGAAGCATCCTCTACAAATCTAGCACTGTGATCCACTGCACAACATTCATAAACATTCCAGGCTTAAAGTTCTTGTGCCTGTAGCTCCTGGTAGAGTTTGATTGCTCCTAGATGGTGTCGGCAAAGCTGTTTTTGTGTCAAATCTGTCAAATGCCGACCCATAAAATCTGTGTGTGTGTGTGGTCTGCACTGTACTTGAACGGGAAGTCCTCCAAGCATGAAGGGTACCTTCGCCAGCCTGCAGTCGTCTTCAGATGTCAAGAAAACTTCTTTGCTGTTCATCTTGACAGATATGATATGGTGCTTCTACAGTAAATCATTCTCTTCCAACTTTTCCACAAGAAGTGGACACAAGTGAAAGGTACACAAAGACAGCCCACGTTGGCCCAAGCATTTTTTTTGCTCAAACAGACTCAAACAGACTCAACAAATGCGAACTTCGTTTTCAGATGGCCATTCAAGATTGCGTTAAGTTTAGGGCAAACCGGTGAGCCTGAAGCTCTTGTAGCTGTCGACGAAGACGGTGCACCTGCAAAAATATATCAAGAAACTGGCAAAACCAGAAGATTTGGCATGCTCAGAAAGTGAGCAAACTATCTGAAGAAATATGAAGCCGCGTGAAACTATAATATGGAGATCCATGAAGCGCATGAGTCGCATGAGGAATGAAAAATCGCACAGGAGCAGACAGGAACCCACGCAGCTTTTCTTCCAGAGCCCTGTGCCTCCTGGAGCAAATCCTGGTCCTCACCGCTAGGTCTAACTGAGCTGCAATCATCTGTGCCGACAGCCATGCTGAGGTTACATAACTTCACGCATCTTCACACAACATTGCGGGTCCTTACGGAGTCCTTACTGGTAACATTGGCAAAGTTTGGCAAACCATAGCAGCTTTAGTAAATTTGTGTGATTGGACCTCTCAATGATGGACAGTCCTGAGCAGAAACTTCACCTGGCTTTGCACCTCCCGCACCCATCTCGCTGAATAATTCCGATGATTCTGTCAAACACGCAATGCTAATACTGCGTCCAACTGGGTCCAAAATGGCTGTCAAACAGCGCCTGGGAGAAAGTCGTAGAGGACATCCACAAAATCTCGCTCCTCTGGATCCTCAAACGAGAAATGATCTTCGACAAAGGATTTTAGATGATTTTATCGTCAAAGGGCACACATTCAGCTGCCAGCATGTCTTTCATTGTCTTTCACGTGCAAGTAATCAAATCAATGAAACGTGGTGTAGGCTGTGAAGGCCTGCTGAGAGCATGGCTGGTGGATGGGAGTTCTTTTTCACAAAGCGCCTGGGAAAACCAGTGTTTGGAGCTTGCGGAATCTGCCCAAGGCTGTGATACAGTTTTTTTCACAACAGCCACGGCTTGGCATCGAATTGAAAGAGAGGTTTGCATCCCATGTGCGAAATGTGAGGCAAATGTTCTGCTAAGCTTCGAGCAAAGGCATGTCTATGTCCTGATTTAGCGAACGTCAGCTTGCTTTGTGAGGACCCCCTGATCTTGACGGTGTTGACCGCATGGGTAGAATATGGTAGAATCTTTTCTTGTCTGTTTGGCACATTGTTAACAAGCTCACTCCGGTCAATTCAATCCAAAACTTGGAGAGAACCGAATGGCACCATTGCAACCATACAACGCAGCCAATTTGACATATTTTGACATATTTTGACACATTGTTGTCATGGCCGCCATGGCCTACGAATATGCCTGCCTCTTCGTGCAAGAGGTCTGACCGCACGAAGAAGGCATGAGATCCCATCTCCTCGAAACTCGGGAACGGTCAAACTCGGCCATGCAGCTCGATGCAGCTTGCAGCTCGGTTCTTGGAGACAGATTGAGACAGGCTTTAGTGACGAATTTAGATTTAGGGCAGTGAATTGGGGTGAAGATTGTTAAGTTATGTTAAGTTATGTTAAGTTTATATTAGCCATTCATCCACGTGCATCCACTTGCCACAATGCTTCTAGCATCTTCTAAGATTCTAGGGATTTTCATCGTCTCCCTTCACAGCGCTCCAGTGCATACGCGAAGGAATAGCCATGGGCTCTGGCCACTAGAGCATAGGCAAGGAGTGAACCTATGTGATGCACGGGCGCCGGTTGGCCCTGCAATCTGTGGAACTTTTCAAATGTCAGATATTGTCAGATGATGTTTTTGCTGCCTACGGTGTAGACCGTGCCATCCCACTCCGCCATGGCTGAATACCTGGAGACCAGTGCTCCGTCCATGGAAGTCTAGTGGAAATCCAAAGTCTGCCGTGTTGTGCCACGTTCCCGGCCTCACAGCCTTCGCCTCATGCAAGGGCAGGTCGGGGTTGAAGTCTACAGCCACTACCTCAGCCGTGTGAAATGCTGTGCATCGTGGGCATGTGCACAGCCTGTGCACGGGTCCACGCATCACCAAATCGGATTGAGAGGCACACACGCGGTCTGAAAGTGCCATCTGTGAGCAAGGCACGCCAAATCCTGCTTCTAGCATCTTCTAGCAGCAGGTTGCCGACAGGTAGTAATCAACAGTACTTGCACCCTTCACGAACTAGAGAGTTTCCCAGACATAACACAAAAAGCTCATGGAGTGGCAGTCCAGTAGTCGTTGTAGTCAGTGTCGATGGTCAGCAAATCGAAGTCCCGTGGCACATCATACCTCGGAGACATTTGCAATGGACGGTTCAAGTTGAGAAGATCTCTGAGATTGTCCATGCACAAGGCAAAACAATGGCTACATGGACCTTAAATCACTGGGAGCGCTGCTTGCGGAAGAGTTCCACGATGTTCTCTGCCGTCACAAACCTCGACACATGACTCGCTCGAAGCTTTTGTGGAGCTCTCTGGAGACTGGTTCACTGTGGCGTCGCATGGCGTCGCTGCGGGCCCTGCTCCGTCTTCACGATGTCAGCAACCCCCGGGCAGTCACGGCCTGAAGGCTGTCGAAGCTTCCGCATGTGAGATATTGTGAGATGCTCTATTGGTGAGTCGGCAGGTAGGTTGTTACGTAGTCCTTTTTCAGAAAGCAAATGGAACGAAGACTTTGCTGAAGTCTAGTCTATACCGTATACCAGTATAAATCAAGTTTAAATGAAACGTTTCTTTCCTCTTCGATGTCACTCTGTGATCTTTCACCTGTACCAGTACTTCTTTTGGCGAGTGGCAGCCACCATGAGGCGTTTCCCCTGGTTGAGAATCCAAGAGGATCCCTTGCCAACCGCAAAACTCCTGGCGTCACAAATTGTCAAACTGTCAACGTCAAGAATACTGGCCACACCATGAAAAGCAGATAGTGTTTTCATCAATGTTCATCTGTTTTCTAGATTTTTCTGGAGCATCATGTTGAAAACCCATACCAATACCCCAAGCGTATTGCTGTTTGTTCTGTTTGTTCTCCCGCAGCACGGCGCTGTTGAGCATACCCGGCTTGCGTGCACCAAACTCGACCTGGCAATCTCAAATCTGGACCTGACATGAAGTTTGCTGCAATGAAAATCTTATGATCACTGCCTTTTCATTTCAAATCATTTCATATTCACCAAGGCCCAAGTCTGGTGAGCAACTTCCCCTCTGTTGACATGTCAATGCTCGCAAGCAGCGCATAGAACGGTGCAGGTTTCTCCTCAGTATGTGGCTGACGGCTGTTAGAAGCATCCCCAAGAAGGAGCAAAAAAAAGAATGAGAACGAGCGTTTCAAGTTTGAAGCGTTTCATGTGTTTCATGTGTTTCATGTGTTTCGTGGAAGTCACCACAAGAGAGATTGAACTGGTCAAGTCTCCGTTTTGCGTGGCTCACGGAAGCCCACATTCTGAAAGATTGCCTTCAGAACCTTAGAGACAAAATAAGACAAGTACGGCTGGGATGACTGCTGTCTCAAAATGTTTCAAGAGCCGATGTCAACGGGTTCAAGTCCCGTTCAAGTTCTGTTCAAGTTCGGTCCATATTCAGGGCTCCCACTCCGTCCTGGCCGCACTGGCTGCATACCTTGGTTTGCTCAAAAGAAACAAATGAAACAAACTGTAGAGGTGCTGAGGTGCTGCATCTGTTGAAAATGTCTTGCGCTGCGCTCTTCCAATGCTTGGGGCTTGGGGGGAATTGAACGGGAATTGTACCTCAGAAAGAATGGTGCTTTCATCCAAAAACGATGTGGACGAGATGACCTGCCAATGGTCTCAGTAGTGGCTCTTCGATGCACACATTCATTTGACATTTGACGATGTTTTGAAACTGTTCCAGGAAGGGATGGCTAGTAACACAAGCACATCAGTTGATATTTTTGTGAAGCTGGGTTATGCCGGTAATGCGGCTACTAACAGTGCCATGATAGTGCCCCTTACTGCCGTGCTACTGCCATCTACTGACCACCGCCGTGCATTTCCAAAGTCGTCTTCGGGTCCAGACGCGCTCCTCCACATCGTGGTTCAGCTCTCGCAGCCAAGGCCTGGAGAAACCACAGAATGCTGCGCCATCCCTCGCATTACTTTACAAAATACATTCATCATTCGCTGCATAAAAGGTCCAATCCTTGCTGCCGTACAACGTTCCGCCTTGCGAACGTGGGTTAATTAGGAAAAAAGAGGACATGTTACGCCTGATAGTCTGGAAGAAACTGTGCGTTGGCTCTAATTTCTGTACAATCAAAAAGAGCCTCTTTCAACCGTCTTCAGCAGTAACTGAAGCCAGCGAACTAACACTGAATGTCCTAAAATAAAAAGGGGCATTAATGTGAGATCGTCCTACGCAAACCCAGGCCAAATCTGCTATTGATGGACAACATCAAGATGCCTCTTCTCAGCTGCAATGAACATTGGTGTTGCACCTTGATTCTGTGCTTAATCTTTGTCAGCACCAACTTCCACCAAATGACGGACAACATCAAGATGGCCATTATCAGCTGCAATGTACAATGGTGTTGCACCGGTATCCCTGGCCTTATCTTTGTCAGCACCAACTTCCACCAAATGACGGACAACATCAAGATGGCCATTATCAGCTGCAATGTCCAATGGTGTTGCACCGTCATCCCTGGCCTTATCCTTGTCAGCACCAACTTCCACCAAATGACGGACAACATCAAAATGGCCGTACTGAGCTGCAATGAACAATGGTGTTGCACCTTGATTCTGTGCTTGATCTTTGTCAGCACCAACTTCCACCAAATAATGGATAACATCAAGATGGCCGTTCTCAGCTGCAATGTACAATGGTGTTGCACCGGTATCCCTGGCCTTATCTTTGTCAGCACCAACTTCCACCAAATGACGGACAACATCAAGATGGGCGTTCTGAGCTGCAATGAACAATGGTGTTGCACCGTCATCCCTGGCCTTATCCTTCTCAGCACCAACTTCCACCAAATGACGGACAACATCAAAATGGCCGTACTGAGCTGCAATGAACAATGGTGTTGCACCGGTATCCCTGGCCTTATCTTTGTCAGCACCAACTTCCACCAAATGACGGATAACATCAAGATGGCCGTTCTGAGCTGCAATGTACAATGGTGTTGCACCGATATCCATGGCCTTATCTTTGTCAGCACCAACTTCCACCAAATGACGGACAACATCAAGATGGGCGTTCTGAGCTGCAATGAACAATGGTGTTGCACCGATATCCCCGGCCTTATCTTTGTCAGCACCAACTTCCACCAAATGACGGACAACATCAAGATGGCCATTATCAGCTGCAATGTACAATGGTGTTGCACCGGTATCGCTGGACTTATCTTTGTCAGCACCAACTTCCACCAAATGACGGACAACATCAAGATGGCCGTTCTGAGCTGCAATGTACAATGGCGTTGCACCTTGATTCTGTGCTTGATCTTTGTCAGCACCAACTTCCACCAAATGACGGATAACATCAAGATGGCCGTTATGAGCTGCAATGAACAATGGTGTTGCACCTTGATTCTGTGCTTGATCTTTGTCAGCACCAACTTCCACCAAATGACGGACAACATCAAGATGGCCGTTCTGAGCTGCAATGTACAATGGTGTTGCACCGATATCCCCGGCCTTATCTTTGTCAGCACCAACTTCCACCAAATGACGGACAACATCAAGATGGCCATTATCAGCTGCACTGTACAATGGTGTTACACCTTGATTCTGTGCTTGATCTTTGTCAGCACCAACTTCCACCAAATGACGGACAACATCAAGATGGCCGTTCTGAGCTGCAATGAACAATGGCGTTGCACCGTCATCCATGGCCTTATCTTTGTCAGCACCAACTTCCACCAAATGACGGACAACATCAAGATGGCCGTTATGAGCTGCAATGAACAATGGTGTTGCACCTTGATTCTGTGCTTGATCTTTGTCAGCACCAACTTCCACCAAATGACGGACAACATCAAGATGGCCATTATGAGCTGCAATGAACAATGGTGTTGCACCGTCATCCATGGCCTTATCTTTGTCAGCACCAACTTCCACCAAATGACGGACAACATCAAGATGGCCATTAACAGCTGCACTGTACAATGGTGTTGCACCGGTATCGCTGGACTTATCTTTGTCAGCACCAACTTCCACCAAATGACGGACAACATCAAGATGGCCGTTCTGAGCTGCAATGTACAATGGCGTTGCACCTTGATTCTGTGCTTGATCTTTGTCAGCACCAACTTCCACCAAATGACGGACAACATCAAGATGGCCGTTCTGAGCTGCAATGAACAATGGTGTTGCACCTTGATTCTGTGCTTGATCTTTGTCAGCACCAACTTCCATCAAATGACGGACAACATCAAGATGGCCATTATCAGCTGCAATGTACAATGGTGTTGCACCGGTATCCCTGGCCTTATCTTTGTCAGCACCAACTTCCACCAAATGACGGATAACATCAAGATGGCCGTTATGAGCTGCAATGAACAATGGTGTTGCACCGATATCCCCGGCCTTATCTTTGTCAGCACCAACTTCCACCAAATGACGGACAACATCAAGATGGCCGTTCTGAGCTGCAATGAACAACATCAAGATGGCCATTATCAGCTGCACTGTACAATGGTGTTGCACCGGTATCGCTGGACTTATCTTTGTCAGCACCAACTTCCACCAAATGACGGACAACATCAAGATGGCCATTATGAGCTGCAATGAACAATGGTGTTGCACCGTCATCCATGGCCTTATCTTTGTCAGCACCAACTTCCACCAAATGACGGACAACATCAAGATGGCCATTAACAGCTGCAATGAACAATGGCGTTGCACCGTCATCCATGGCCTTATCTTTGTCAGCACCAACTTCCACCAAATGACGGACAACATCAAGATGGCCGTTATGAGCTGCAATGAACAATGGTGTTGCACCTTGATTCTTTGCTTGATCTTTGTCAGCACCAACTTCCACCAAATGACGGACAACATCAAGATGGCCATTATCAGCTGCAATGTACAATGGTGTTGCACCGGTATCGCTAGACTTATCTTTGTCAGCACCAACTTCCACCAAATGACGGACAACATCAAAATGGCCGTTCTGAGCTGCAATGAACAATGGTGTCATCCTGTGATTTCCTGTTGGGTCTTTTTCAGCAGCTGCCTCAAGCAAAAGCAGCATGCTTTCAACATGTCCTTCACTGGCAGCATAGTGCAATGGTGTGTTGCCATGTTCGTCTGTGACATTGGGATTGGAAGGGCTATTAAGGAACTTTTCCAGGGCGATCAAATCATTTTCCATAGATGCAGAGATCACTTGTTGGCTTCGTTGAGCATCAGCTGGATAAAAATCCAATAACACCATCTGAAGCTTCACTGGAGCGGAGCTAAAAACCTCATCATCCGGGATCTCAGAACCATCTTCGGAGAAGAGTCGTTGTTTGAATCTGATGACACCAATCTGAACTGCCAAGGCTTGTTTCACAGCCTTTGCAGTCTTTCCTTCGAATTCATCCGGGGCAAGGGCTGCAAGAGTCGCACCTGACAGAAAACACACCTCCATTGCGGCAGTGGCGGACATGCAAACAACCTGTAGTTAGACAAGTTCAAACTCTGTTAACATACTAGAATTCTATAGAATTCTGATGTATGGGGATAATGCAATAGACTCTGCATGTCTGCGAGCCAATCAGATCATCCTAGTAATGTACGCGTGTTGACTGACATAGACTGACTTCAAAGTCTTCAGAGTCTCTTTCTTTCCGAAAGGATCCGAAAGGATGAATGTGAAGAACCGAAGAAATGATTCAGCAATGAGCACTGCCCCTTGGGCCCTTGGAACCTCTTCTCAGCTGCACGGAGATCATGCGAAAGGCACCAATCTCAGCGCAGCCAAGCTGCAAAAGGCAATGAGCAGAGTATTCTCTCCAGCCCTGTCCAGCCCTGTCCAGCCCTGTCCAGCCCTGTCCAGCCCTGTCCATCTCCATCTGTGGCAATGCATGATTTGCGGATCTTCTGACTCCCGACACTGTTCCGACACCCTGAGAAATTTCTGCAATCCTCTGACAAGGTGTCTCTTCACACACGAACGAAACAAGCTGAGAGAAGCACCTTTTGCTTCTTGGGCACCAAAGGAATCCTGATCTTTGGGGATTAAGATGGATCAAGGGCAAGATGCTCCAAATCTCCTCAAGCTGTTTGGGTCAAAGAGAACTTGGAATTCGCAAACAACCAAACTTGTTTTGCACCGTTTTGCAGCGTGTTGTACTAACATCGTCTGAGAGACCCCGCAGGCCAAGTGCAAATGTCATGCTCCCCACAGGCCACGTAGATGCTACGAATCTGCGGACTCTGGTGAGGGCACGGCCTGCAGGAAATGGTGCTCCAAGCTGGCCGATGCTGGCCGTGCCTGTCCCCTGAAGCTTGGGCCCCATGGGCCCCAAGGGCCCCAAACACTCTTTGCCGATGCACGAAGTCGTAGCACCTCAGCATAGCTTCGCATAGCTTTCATCTCTCATCTCATCTCATCTCTATTCATCTCTCATCTTTCAGCTCTCAAGGAGTGCTCAGGTTTAGACTGAAGGGCGGAACGAGTGACACACGGTCTTCTACTGTCAACCTGGGAAAGACATGCATCTGAGCCTATCCGCAGTATATCATGCGATATCATCATCAAAGAAGTAGCACATAGTAGTACAATTCTAAGGAAGTGCTTCATCACCCATTATCTCTTGCTGTTGAGTACTGAAAATTCAATCTATTTGGAAAGCGCCGCTGGAAACTGGGATCCAAACACAAGCAAGTTTGGAAAGCATCTCCTCAGGCAACTCTGAAAGTGGCGGTCCACAAGTGGTCCACAAGTTGCAGCTGCCATTGCACATTTCACCAAAAATTAGACTTGTGCTGGACCTGTGGACCTGCTCTTTTCCCTCTTTGCCAAGCAACCCAAATCGGCCACTTCGTGGTAAGCAGGTCAAAGAAAGGAGACCTTGCTTTGAAAGTCCATCTTGGAGCTTTGCATGACTGTGGACTGACTGTGGACTATCATCGTGACATGTCGTGACTCAATGCTGTCAAGTGGCCAATTGCTCTTCGTACTCACCCAGTTGTTGACTGTGTCCTGATGGGACGTTACAACTGTGTGGGGTGCTGCAACTGCCAGCAACATCTGATAACATCTGACTGTGGCCACCTGGGCAGCCAAGATTAGCGCATAGACCAAGTTCCCCGAATCTTTCAGAGAGCCCTGCCCACGAGCCAACATCAGAATCAACAGTTGCATTGCTGATGGAACATCTTTCCAATTTTGAGACTGGATGTCACAAGGTTTTGTGGAGTGAACTTCACATGGAACTTTGTTGACAGTTGTTGAACTGATCCCCGAAATGATCGAACTAAATCTACCTAATCTAACTGCAGGTGGGTGAAGTCGGCGAAGTCAGAAGTCGGGGCCTGGTAAGTCCCCCGTCCGATCATCTCCAAGGCCACTCCAAGAAGCGCCACTGCAGTGCCTTCACTTCGCCATTCGGAGCTCTTGAGATCAAATCCAATCGAATCGGTCGAGATCTCCAAAAAAACGGTTGAAAAACGGTTTGAAAAACGGTTATCATGGGAACTCATTGAGGACATCCAATTTCCAGCTTATTTCAGCTTGTTTTTTCTATGTCATGCAACATTTGCAGCTTGCCAAATTTGGCATACTGGGCAAGATGTGATACTCGTGTGTGAATTTCAACTTTCTAGTCATAGAGAGGCTTTTGATGGCTTTTGATGGCTTTTGTATCTTGGGCTATGTATGGCTATGTGCTTTCTTCTCCCCACTCACCTGCTGATTTCCCTCACTGCCAGGTGTCGCCTACTGGGCAACCGCTGGAACGGCGAATAGCTAACAGATGGATGCCGAGCACCGGCATCTGGCACAGCGCTGGGGCTTCAAGATGCTTCAAAAATTGCAGAAATCCAAAGAGATTTTTGACAGAAACAGATCGATTGTTCCGACCATTTCCCCACGTTCTGCCCCACCTCTCCAGATTTCAATCCAAACTTCACTGCATCCTGATAATTCAGGTCCTGTCTCGATCCAAAATACCAAATTCTTGAAAGCTCGTGCTTCAAAACGGACAAAACGGATTGAAGCGTTTCAAATTGAAAATCTCCAAGGCGTTTTGGCAGGCATCTTGACACATCTTGACACATCTTGACACATCTTGACACATCTTGATACTCATTGGACAACCTTTTGGTTCTCTCCTCCTCTCCATCCAACTCATCGCATTCGTTGGGTCGGTCTTGGAGGCTCGGATACTTCATAGGCCTAGCCCAGCATATCGTAGCATGTCAGCAATGTGGAACAAACACAGAAAACACTGCGGGATTCAGTTTTGCTTCCCTGAAATGCTGAGATTCAATGAGTTCCAAGTGCCTGTCATCCATGACATCTATGAGCTTCTTGCTCACCTGCAAAAGGGCGAGATGGCAATCTGATGTGCAAATCGCCACCAAGCTCCGTACCAAATGCAGCTGTTGGAAAACCGGCCTTTGCCAATCGCAAAAAACGTGCCAGAAGGTGCAGTTCAGATCGTTTGACACTCCACAATTTCGCACCACCAAATTGGTTTTCACGTGTCATAACTTCATCCTTGGCACATTTTGTATCTAGCAGAATCATTTGCAAAATCTATCAGAATCTCTCACTTCTAGCTGCGTCTAGCTTTTTCGTATGCTTTCGTATGCTTCGGTTTCGGAAGCCAGGGCAGCTGCCATCCGCCAGCCAGCAGCGCAGCCCAGGAAGAGGTCAACAGGTCCAAGGCACCTGCAGAAATTCCAGGTACCTTCCAGGTACCATGGCTGTGGTACCTCAAATATGCTGTGCCATGTCTTGATCTTGACAGCATGGCACTCGACCTGAATGTGCATTGAAGGTGTCCAGAAAGTCCAGAACACCAAAATCCGGATCCGAGTAGGCATTGAACCTCAGAAGCAACTCGTCACTAAACCCCTCCGGCCTGAGGGTTTTTTTAATCTGGCATTGTGAAGAATTACGGTGCTGAGTTCCTGGCTGCAAGGGATCAGAAAAGCCAAAGGACAACAGCCTAACAAAGCACAGACAAAATCAACAAGGCAAGGCCCTCTGCCCGGCACTCTGCATGTGCTCTCTGATGCAAAATCCAAGCCAAAAAGCGTCAAACAGCTAAACAAAGCCCAACAGAAGGTATCAAAAGAGCTAATGTATGGTCCACTATGTCCATTGTGGCAATGTAAAGAGGGTTAAAGAATGTTAAAGAGGTATGAAAAGGCCACCAAAGTGCCCAAACACGGGGCCGCCCATGCGCCTCAAGGCGATGATGCCCAGGATGCACTCGAAATTGACGCCCTTCGTCCATGACCAGTTGATGAGCTCTTGCACCTCTTCCGAAGTCGACACAACAGGCATAACTGCGGCATCACAGGCATCACAGGCATCACAGGCATCGGCACTAATCGAATTGTGCCAAGTCGAGATGAACATCGCCATCTTGAGAGGTCGCAAATAGCGCAATCTTCCAACCTCTCTGTGCGCCGATCCCTGCATAGAATCCTTGACAAGAATTCAAAGAGCAAAGATGAGCAAAGCATTTTGGTTCTCGGAAAAGCATTCAAGAGCATCACCAAGGAGTCATGTCATACAATGAATTCAGCATCGGTTTGCTCCTGTATTCAAGACCGGCGTGTCGTACATATTCATATTAGGTGGCTTGCAAAGTGCATTAAAATGCCATAAAATGCCTGTTGCATCTATTGCATCTATTGCTTGCATGGATCCTCTTCCGGATCCCGGTAGACATAGTGCCCAATTTTTGATCGAATCTCAGCCCACTTGTGCTGATGGTGTGCGTGCCGACAATATGTACACCTTAAAAAGCACACGTGTGGTCACTAGGTACTGCAAAGCCAACAGAAGCCGCAAAGTGTACTCAGGATCAAACACAGCTTGGGGTACGGACAGATTGCTGGTTTTGTCCAGCACAAACGAAGAGACAGAGGCACATACATAAGCCTCCTACTGGCCCTCGCACTCCGTGCGGTCTGCCATAAAGCTGTAGGTCTTGGAATACTCCTGCACCAAAACTGACTTGAACCAACTTGAACCAACCTGGACCCGTCAGAATTTATCAGAAAGGAATTGTCCAAACAATCCCAACATCCCAATGGCCTTTGCCAAGGCGAGAGGCAAGAAGAGCCATCGTGCCAAGTGCTGCATTGGCCTCCAAAAGTTGAGATGCTTCGGCGAGGTCAATGGCAAAGGGAGCATTGCTAGCACCACACGAGCTATTGCTACCTTTGAAATCTTTATGAATCTTTTAAAATCTTTTAAACATGTCAAATCCTCCAAAGCGTTCAATCTACGAGCCTTGGACGCTCGGCTCTGCCCCTTCTCTGCACTGTGAGTGCAACTCATTGCATGTTCCAGCATGCACTTGACAGGAATGCCTTTTTTCGCTATATTGGCTTTTGCTAAAGCACCGATTCAGCTTTGCACTTTGAATGCTTTGTGCAAAAATCAAACAAGGAAACGATAGCCTAACATCCTATCTCCACCACAGGATATTTGGCAAGGACTACTTCTTAGAATGATCAAGCGAGAAATTTTGATAAATTGTGTGAGGCTGTGCAAAGCTTGACGTCTGTGGTTGGAAGATGTTGGAAGTCTCCTATAGCCAGCCGCCTTCATGGCTACCACATGCTAGCAGACGCTTGACAAAAACTTGGCATCTATCTCTTCCAAGATTTTAAATCCTTGATCTTTGATCTAAAGCAGCTGAAGTGATGTCACCAGGATTGCAGCTAGGAATCTACACGGTTTCAGCCCATGCTGAAATTGTTAACAAACGATCTTGTTCGTCACGATTTGGGTTTCCAGCGTGGACCCACCGCAGGCGACTACAGTTGGAAGACACACTGACACACATGTTTTTCCCTCGTGAAAGTGCTGATTTCGCCCTAATTTGAGGGCATCTCACCTTTCTTTTAGGTGGAAGGCGTTAACAGAACTATTTACAGATCAAAATATCAAGGTCAGTGTCTATGGGGTCTATGATAGCAATCTCTGCCATTTCTATCATGATCCATCCTGATCTTTATGAAATCAAACGACTTCTGACCTCAAACTTTGATTCCTCGAGTGGGCAAAAGCTCACTCTGCAACGGGCAGGTCCTTTTGTCAGGGGTGGCTTCAACTTTCGAGTTGTAAGTTGTAACGTCGTCTTCTGAGTAAAATGGCAATGATGACGTAGAAATAATGTAGAAATAACATGTTCCGTATTGCTTTCATAGTCAAGCAAGGAAACCCTTTCAGTTTCAATGCCAGTGTTGGTGTGGCTAGCCACACCTTGAAGTCCAAGGTCAACAACAAACTCCGTGGAGAACTTTTCGGCCTGGACAGCATCACAGCTAGATTTCTGCGTGAATTGTTTCACGCTTGTTGCACCTGATACAGTATTTCTGCTGGTTGATGCGTAAATTGAATGTATCGGACTATCTGCTCTTCCAAAATCCAAATCAATCAAACTAAGCCAACGTGGCTCCGTGACTTCCACTTAAACCAATCTGAGAGGTTGAGACGCTGTTCTTGTCAAAAGCTGCGATACCAGACCTGTCGCTAGGCTTCAGCACCGCTTCTGGTGAAGGAAGCCTAGTCGTCACGGGTCGTGACGGGTCGTCCCGGGTCGTCTTCCCATACATCTTCCGATACATCTTCCCATACATGATTCACTCGAAATCGTCCAAGTCGTCTAAGTAGGTCTGATCGTCCACGTATGTCCAAGTTGGACTCTACACTTCTACACCTCAACGAGGCGGAAGGCTTCATTTCAGTGACCTCAAAGCTTCAAAGCGAATTTGCGCATGGCATGGCATGGTCTTCCTTGACTCTTGATCCACCAAGAAGCTCTCAAACTGCAAATCTGAGACAAGAGCCGCTCCAAGCGGGTGATATGGCAGGCTTGGGATGCTTGGGAGGCTTGGCACTAGGCTTTCATCATCCGAGTCGGCACCTCGCACTTACACAATCCAGGTTTGCCCCTTGCAATCCGTTGCAATCCGTTGCAATCCTCAAGTGAAAATCTTACAAATCTTACAAGGTGCACTGAAATGTCACACTGCAAACCCTAGTCTGCATTTCCCTCTACGTTTGGCCCCAGCGGAACCTTCAGGTACGGCGAAACGGCTTAAGTCCAAAGGCACCAGCGCCTGAATGCAGAGAAGATCGCTGAGAAAGGCACAAAGATCTCAAAGATCACTCATAAAAAACACTTAGATATACTTAGATCAATTTAGATCACATGAAGCACAAAAATTGAGACTTGTCAGCGTCAACCTGTGCTGCTGATGACTCTGACCTCAGCGCACTGGCCACACTCGGACTCCGGTGGTAGTACCGGTAAGATGTCAAAAAGTCTGTTACAGTCTGTTGCAGGTTTGCTCACGCCAACGGAAGCTCTGCTTGGTTCATGGCTGAGAAGCATCATTTTCTGAGCCTGGACGAATCACAAGAGTCAATACCAATGTGGAAGGCACAGAAAACGTCTCGAAATGTGGCACAAATTAGGCACACAGGTTACAATCAGAAATGCAAAGAAATAAGCCCCATTTCATATGGTAAGTCAAAACGACAAACATCCTTGAAGTTCATACAGTACAAATTTCAGGGTCACAAGGTAAGCAGGAGAGGAATTGTCGCCGATCAAGTTCAACTCGGGAGCATAACAACCTATGGCAGATCCATTAACAAATTCTGAATTTTACAGATCGCACAGGACTCAATCTCCAGCTTTCAACGTTTCAGCACCAAGATCTTGGGAGATCTCCAGATCTCAAGACCATGCTCGACGTGGTCTAAAATTCATTGATTTCATTGTCAAGTGGCCGATGCCGAGAACTTCTGCCAATTGCCCAAACGCTATGCCCAACTGCCAAACATCTGCTATCTCAAATCCAAAATATCAAGGATCCAAAAGGATCCAAAAGGTAGAGCCAGGTAGAGCCAGGTAGAGCAGGAGAAGACTGTGACCACCATCCTTGGGGACTTCGTAGTGCACCCATCGGGCCCGCCTACGGCACGCAGCTTCCTTCGGAGATCAAAGTTCTCCACAAAGAGCCGCCCAAGCATCTCCTGCAAGATGGATCAATTGCTGATACAACTGATACAATTCAAAGATATTCAAAGATATTCAAAGATATTCAAAGATATTCAAAGATATTCAAGGTACACCATTCTTTTATTTTCGTTCCCTTTCCGAGGCTACAGATTGCTACAGGCTTCGAAGTGGGCCACTTCTCACATTTTTCAAATCCCATTTTCAGCATGTTTCAGTTATGTGTAACGCTTCAAATCAAACTGGCAAATTCGCACTGACACCTCGCAATCCACGAAGCTATTTTTTCTCCGGCTAGGCCGCTCGAAGGAGCTCAATCTTTGTAAGCACTCAGCGAGGTGAATACAGCGAACAGCGGATACATATGAATCCATCATATCTCTTAATGACACGTCTACCAAATTCTAGTTTTGCGGAGGATTCTACGCATTCGACGTGGTATTCTCAGGCCTGTCCTTCGTTAAGGAACACAAGCATCTGTGTCAACTTTGGTGGATGGTGTGTGAAGGGAGTGAAAGCGCCGGGGCCTCCAACGCAGTCCATCTGGAAAAGGCCAGTTCTCTCACTGACCATCGCTGCAATGCCCAAATAACCTCCAGAACCTGCACGGTAGCTGAAGAGCAACGCATCTGCCACCTGACCAATGCACTCCATGAAAGGCCAAATACAGAGCTGCGATGCCAGAAATGCTGTCGCCAGGACAATCTCCTTGTCATCCAAATAACCTGAGTGCTTCAGCTGTGGGTGATCTTAGTGATCTTTTTGATGTTTTTCCATATTTTTCGGTCACTTGAAGTCACTTGGCTGCCGAGGATCTGCTACTGTAGGGGTCATTGAATGAAGGCAAGGTGGCCATGCAAATCCACACTCCACAGGTCACCCAAAAAGATATCGCAAAGGACCCAAGGATCTGAACCTCAATCAAGATATCGTCCAGCCAGGTGATTTCTTGGACACTTTCATTGCCCAGGATTTCAGCTGCTTCTCTGCAGGCATCCAAATATCTATGGCCTTCCATTGCAATGGCAAGGTAGGCTGAGTCTCCGAAGGGCACTATCCTCAGCAAAAGGATGCACGATCCAAAGTGCATGCTTCAAGAAACCCACTGAGCCCAGTGATAGCCTACGCATAGCCTACGCATACTATAATTCACTCCAAAGATCACAACCTAGACCCAATCTGTTTGGACACCAAGTGTAGATATGTGTAGATAACTGATAACACTTACATACACTTACTGTGCCACAGGTGGACTGGATGCTGAACCTTTGCGAGGCAAGCATCCGTTTGTAGAATCTCTTGACCGAAGAAATGCCGCAGCTCTTGGTCAACAACATAATGAGTCTCAGCACAAGGCGCACGGGCTTCAGAAGCATATTGGCCATTGCACCAAAACAAAGAGATCCCCAATGATACTGTAGAGCAGTCCTGACCGCCATGAAGAAAGGATAAGAAAGGCAACAAATAGCAGTGCAAAAACTACAAATGTCACAGTGTCACACCATCCGTGTCACTGGGATCGTCAACTTATCAAGTCATGTCGTAACAATTGACAGACATTAACAGCAAAACGTGTGAAACGTGTTTCGTCGCCCGCATCCTGTAGGCTTCTGCGATGTTCCAGGTTGGAATCAATTTGTGATTTTGAGTGCTGTCATAGGTGCTGAAGAACCACTCTTGGGAGAGGTATCCCATGACGAAACGACTCAGCGTTCCCATGCACTCGGCCAACCAAACAAAGACCAAAAGCACGAAGAATGCTATGCCTCCGCACATCACGCACTGACGCTCAGTGAATTTGAAGCATTTGCAAACCTTTCACAATCAAAATGTTTTAAAAAGGGAGGGACCACAGCAGTCTTTCCGGCAAAAACACTGGACATGCGTTGCCAGTCCAGCGTCAAACTTTGCTGCCATGTCACTGTACAGGAGGTATGTTGACATCCTATCTTTGCAGCTCAGGAGGCTTGCAACACCAAATAGGAAGATCAATGCCAGCACCACCTGCCAAAACTCATCAAAACTCAAGATTCTCGTTGCACTCCTTGCATGTCCATCATAAGACTCAGCACACCGATGTTTGTTATTCTTTTTCGATCTTTTTTGACTCGGAATTGGTCCAACCACATCTCCACCAGATTCAATCAAAGCACCTCTTCTCTGAAAGTCTGCAGCATTGGACGCGTCAACCTCTAAACTGTTCTGTAGTATCAGATAGCATTTTCTGTGTATATTTATATTGTCTGTAGTACAGTACCCGTGTTTACTCAGTTGAACAATTTCCTGTGTGGTTTCCTCCTCCCCAATCTATCTGAGAAAGCAAAATTTGAGACTTTCAGGACCAAACTCAAAGCGTGCCTTTTTGAAGCACTCAAACACGGGTTGAAGCATCATCGGCAAGGAATCTGTGAGACATTCTCCAGAAGCTTCGAGGAAGAAGAAACTCCGAGCGATGCTTCGACGGCTGACAAACGTCACAAACAGCGCCAGAACCTCATGCAGTGGATCAGTGACGTCACCCGCTGCCAGCACGAAGTATACGAAGTAGGATTGGTGAAGTTAGAAGTTCGATGATTTCATGATGATTTCTCTTGATCTTGTATGATCTTGTATCTAATTCTGATTCCGTGGTTTCCTAAGATAACTCTATCATACTCCGTTGTGGGGCTGGGGCATCGCTGGTTTGAAGCAGACCTACCGGCACACAAAAAAGAATCCTTGAATTTGATATCACCAAACACAAGCGACACAACCATTAAGAATATCAACCACATCATCCACTAGGAATCCGTATGAAGTGGTCAAGAGATTTGTTTGTCCCCTTGGACATCTGCAGCCAGGGTACAGCAATTGACAAACCAACGATGCCATACAACAGATCACTGCCTCAAAGCAGTGATGGAGAGCTGACAAACGAGATCAAACGAGAATAAGTGCAACCGCTGCAACCCTTGGAAATCAATAGAAAGCAGTTCTGCGAGAAAACTGCAACGTCCAAACCATCAAGCAGATTCAACATGATTCAACTGTTGTTCATCAGTGATTTGTCTGAGACTCAGAGGTTCATGATTCCCCCGTTGATTTCATGAAAATTCTCTGCCTGAACCATTTGAAAAGTGCTTCTGAAGGGAGTAAATCGCCACCGCAACAAAGCCGAACACCACTGTGGCCAAGCTGGGCCAGAAAACGAAACGTGCAGACATGCGCATGGACCTGCCAAGAGAATCCAAGAGATGTCTGGAATGGGGGAAAGATAGGGAAAGGATATGTTCGACAAATTGTTCTCTTCTTTCGCAATGAGAACGATCTTGCCTCTCTGAAACTTCAGGGGTAAGAATGCACTCTAATTTTTTGAGCACTCCTTGTCGAAGGTGAGGGCTATCCCCTGGACTCAAATGTAAGTCGCCGTTACCCACTTCCACTAGCACTAGTCTTCTCCACTCTCCTCCCTTCTTCATTTCTTCGCCTCTGCCCTACTTCATCCTGCTTCATGTTTACTGCTACCTCTCCTCATTGCCTCATAGCATGTAATGCAGCATGTAGCAGTCACTTGTCATCTCCGCCCGGCCTCAGAAACACGAGGCTCAGACCAAAGCTGAGCACAGGAGTGACGACGAGCAGCAGGATCCACGAGTGAGAGACATTGTTTGCAAAGGCGCTGATCGCCACCATCTTGGCCCAAACAACACAAAGTGAACACTCTAAGAGCGAAGAATATGAGAATACCTACTCAATTTGCCAGCCATGCATATATATATATACAGGCATATGACATCCACACAAATCTAAAAACAATTCTTAAATACAGACTATATCTTTCTGTATCTGTACATATATATATATATATGTATATATATATACAGGATTCTACATCTATAAAATGTGAGACGTAAGATCACACGTGTGATCAACTGACAGCCACTTGCGTTCAAAGCCACAAACCTGAAGCTGGATGCCTCGAGTTTCTGCCACGTGATCGAATCAAAATACGGAATGCACACCAGGCTGGCAGCTACCTTCGAGGGATAGCCCTTCGCACAAAATGACGTCACACCACCTGGAAGTCATGCGAAGTCATCGGTGCTTCAGCTTTGAACTCCCAAAACGGGAAAAGTCCCTGCACCGAAGAAAAAACACTTGCGAATAGAAAGCTAAAGAGACGATAGATGGATAGAATGATGAATGGATGGATGAACGGATGGATGGATGGACGGATGGATGGACGTAGATAGCTAGATGGCTAGATGGCTAGATCGCTAGATGGCTAGATGGCTAGATAGTTAGATAGCTAGATAGATAGGTGTATAGGTAGATAGAGAGGTAGATAGATAGATGCAATAAATAGAAAGACACACTGTATGATATTGATATGTATATACATAGACAAGGTGATATGTATGCGTATATGAATATGATATGTGAAATATAATGATATATACATACGCCGAATACATAGATAGCAACATGCTTTCTGACTGAAAACTGCTGTCAGTCAGGTTGCTTGCAGGACAAATATCCACACAGACTGTTGTCGCCGATGATGAGAATTCATCCCTTGGATTGCAGACTGAGAGCATGACAAGCATCACACATGAAAAATGAAAGAAAGATAAAGAAAGATAAAGAAAGCATATATAAACAAATGATCAAATGACATCACAGTGATCATGATTGACATATGATTGACATATGATTGACATATGATTGACATATGATTGACATATGATTCATCTGACCAATGACTCCAATGACTCCAATGACTCCAATGACTTCAACTCATCTCAACTCATCTGCATCTGCCCAGCGTCTGCTGATCCGGACAGATGTAGAGGTACGGCTGGGTTTTCACAGCAATGTCCACCCCACAACTTTGGCCGTCGCTGTCTTGAATGCCCAGGAAGCCCTGTGGATTGCCCTGACACATCTGACACATCTGACACTCGAACTCGAAAGCTTCAACAATTCAATGATTTCAAACTGTGTCAAAGTTTAGGACAGAGTGATTTGCAGTTGCAAGATATTGCCATTTAGATGTGAGGTCCTGAGCAATTGTTGTGAACATGTTTCAAATCTAGGACAGTACATCCGGTGCCTTCTGATATGCATAGAACAAAGCGCCACAAGATGCAGAAACCAGCACAAAGAATATTAGGCAGCAACCAATGTCTCGTGGCTCCCGCCGAATTTGAGTCGGCATGGCAATATCAGACTCTGAGTCACAAATTCCCTATCATGTTGAACAAGTTTTGCGCAGGTGGTTCTCAAAGAATCTTAAAACAGCGTTTGAGTTCAACTGTGACAGTTTCAATGGCACTCTGTGGAGTCTGTGGAGTCTGTGGAGTGTGCAGTTTGTGGTCTGTGGTTTTGCTGTTGGCTCTGCTCTGACACATGTGCCTGACCATGGCCCGTCCGCACCAGACAGAAAGACGCAAGCTTGAAGCATCAAACGTAGCTGTGACTCTCGGTTTTGGAAATATCAAGGTGTGTCAGTTCTGTCAACCACCAAGGTTCTGCAGGCTGCACTGGATGGCATTGCCAAACCGACATCCAACACACCAGCCGCCCGTCATCAGCCCGTCATCAGCCCCCATGGCTCTCTGCCCCGCACCGTGAGCCCATCAACGTCTGGTCTGGACGTCACACGAGCGGTGATTGCTTCAGCGAGGCCCTGAGCAACATCCCCAAGACAGCCAAAACATATACGGCTGCACTGGCAAGGAACATTCACGAGATTTGGATTGTTTTGTATCGCGCTACTTTATTTTGGAAACGGCTCACAGCTGTTTAAAACTGTTTCGCTTTACTTATGGTGGTCGCCATCCATCTTTTTCACTACCAAGTCAGACTGGCATGTCCAATACCAGGTCGACTGCGCAAGACAAAGGTCCGGACGCCAACTGCAGGGAGTGAGGAGGCATAGCGCAGGGCTTGTTGGCGAGTGACTGCCTTCAGGGAAGATTGTCTTGTGGGGGTAAATATGAGTAAATATAAGAATCAGAAAATCAAAGTCTTGGCCCGTAAATGGACACGTTGAATGATAGATCAGCGAGACAACTGTACACTGGTACGGTGTGCAACCTGAGTGAAGGCAAAACCTGCACTGACAGTGCCAACATGGTGAAATCAAATGATTAGTGTTAATAAGCCGAAGGAAAAGGTGGCGCGAAAGCTGCCCCCAAGGAAAGCAATTGTTTTACCCAGGTGCGAATGGGGAAATACGACCTTGCTTTGTAGGTGCACACGACAACTTGACAACTCTTCTGCGGACAGCGTTTGAAAGTTCAACATGCAGCCCAGCCTGCTGGTTTAGCAAGGCAACGCGTGCCCTTGGTAGAATTGGAAACCAAAAGTGCAACAAGTATCAAAACGTCGTTCGTGAACGGGCTTGACGAATTCATGCTGTCTGTATCAGGGCAAAGAAGCTACTTGCTGCATGGTATAATTTTGGTCGAGGGCAAGTCTCGCACAGCTTTCTCCAAACTCTGTCCATCTTTCAATTCACAGGTCTCAGTTGTCTCAGTTGTCTCGGTTGTCTGCTGAACGGCATCGATTTGCTCCTGCAGTTTCAAGGCACTCTCTTCGAGCCTCAGCACATTGTGAACAGCACATCTGAGCCGATGGCACCGATGGCACCGATGGCCTTCCTGGCCTTCCTGGCCTTCCTGGCCTTCCTGGGCATCCTGATGGTCCTGATGGTCCTGATGGTCCTGATGCCTGAGGAGTTGTACTCACTGATGCGTTGAAGATATTGCCGCTCCTTGTCCTGACCGTAAATCATTCGTAGCTCACTGAACGACCTTTCCAAATCAAACCGTCGCATGCACTGCACCATCTCAGTTCATGTCCATTTGGCCACAATCCAGCTCCAAGGAAAACTATGGAAAACTGCTTCAGCCTATGTGTGGCTGTCCCAAACCCCACAGCCTCATCTCTCCCCTGCAGTGCGCAAAGCAAGGGCTGGGACAAGTGACAGATTGTGACAGATTGTGACAGATTGTGTGACAGCGCTGAAACCCAGCATTTTGTCGGAAGTCGCTGCCTTCTGACCAGATGGATGGCCACCTCAGCATCACTCCAAGCACCTCCAAGCCTTCAGTTCAATCACTTCTTCGTTGAGTCTCAGGGCACCCGGCTGGGAGAGGACTCAGATGCCCTCGGAACAGCCGATTTCCGCGATTCTATGATAGTCCATGCCCATATGCCCATATATATATATATATATATATATGCCCATATATGCCCATCGCACCACAAAAACGTGAAGTTTCAGAGACATTCAGAGACTATAGTGAAGATCGTTGCTCAGCGTCTCATCGTGTCAACTCCTTCGAAAAACGAAATTGCGAAGTGACCAGAGTACCGAGCCATGCTGTCCTTGAACTGGGCCCATCAGAGGTTTCCCCCTGAGCTGACATGTTAACTAAGCTGGTTCTGCAGTGCGTCAGACCTGACTTCAAGTTCCAAGATACCAGAAAGAGTTTTCAGTCTGGTATCTTGCAGTATTTTCTAGTCTAGTGAGTCTAGTATGTGGCCATACATTCATTCAATACATTCAATTATATAATACATTCAACTAATACATCATTTTGATCTGTGAGGACGGGTAAGTGAGCCAACCTCGTCCAAGGCAGCTTCGTCGTCAGGCTTCCCTGTGGGGCTGCCTGTCAGATCCCTCAGATCTCTCAACTCTTCCTGTCCACTGGGTATCTTCAAGCCGCCATGAGCCATGAATTTTGAGGATATGATAGAATTATATAGAAATTCGGGAGGATTTTGTGCTGCCACTTTGCACCTTGCCAATAGCCCAGCTCCCTAAGCGCCATCAGCAGGCTGCTGCGCCTCAGATCACATAGAGCATCAGAGAGTTCTCACGATTCACATCATAGACTCGATGACTCATAGACCAATGTGCGGAGATGTGCGGAGATGTGCGGAGAACCGAAATTGGAACATGTCCAAAACAAATTGCGAGGCGAAGATTTGAAAGGACAAAGGCAGGGTGGAAAAGTCCAATAAAAAGTTCAGAAAGGCAACAGCTGCGAGCCTTTTCTGAAAAGAAACTGTCTGCAGTTCGCGGTGCTCTTCTTGTGCTTTCTCTTTTTGGTCCCGGACTCTCGCTCCCGGCGCCGCTGCGCAATATCCAACTCGATGCCACGATCTTCGACTTCCTTTTCCATCTCCTGGATTTCACTGAATCACCAGAAATTATATAGCAATGCTATGCATCGCACAAAATTCCACAGAATTCCTTATCTAGTGTAATCCCTTCCCCATGTTACTAAACCCCCCCCCAAATAATAAAAGCTAGGGTCCATCTCCAATTTTGGGAAATTTCAGGTTTGCCAATTTGACTTTTAACTGATCCCCTTTAGAAAACAATTTGAAAATAAAGCTACTATTTGTGGGTTTCACCCCCTAATAATAAAAACTAGTCAACCCCGGGGTGTCTTTTATTAGGGCCCGTCCGAAAATTTTAGTTTTTTTATTAAGGGTTCAAACTTATTATTATGGTCCACATCGAAATTCAATTTCTGGCAATATATTAATTGCGCTATAAAAGGAAGTTTAATTGATTTTGAAATCGAAAAAAATAGTCCTTTTTATTAAGGTTTTAATTTATTATTAGGGTCCGCTTCGAAATCCAGTTTTTGGCAACATGTTAATTGCGTCATAAATGGAAATTTGATTGATTTTGAAATCGAAAAAAAAAAAGTTTTTTATTAGGGGTTCCCTAATAATAAATACACCCCAATAATAAAAACTACCTCCAGGTGTTTCTAATTTGGGAGGGGTTTTGTATGCTGTTCATGTCATGTTTATGCTGTCTCTGCTTTTGGACGCGGCCTCCACCTGCCGCAGCGTGGAGGCCAACTCCCGCGCGGTGGTCTCGCGTTCTGAGAGCAAGCGCCGCCATTCCACGGCTTCTGCGTCCAAGACCGACGTTGATTCGGACACGATTCGGAAACGATTCACATTCGATTGATGTTTGAGAATCTTTAAGAATGTTGCTTCACTGAAATTCTTGGAATCGTTTCGAATCAAAGACAGAAACGGGTCACAATTGAAGTTAACGTGCCTTCATCGACAAAGGCATCCTCCGGCATCTGCCTTTGCTGCAACCGCACTTTTATGACTTCAAAGTAAACGGAAACACTCAGAGAGTCAGAGTCTCTCAAAAAGTTTGGACCATCAGGATGGCCACGGATACTAAGGGAGCTACTCCTCTGGTTCTTTTAGTACAGCTTCAACTGGGCCTTTTTGCACTTTGTCTCGCTGAAGTACACAAGTCACTTGAGTCACTTGAGCTATCTTGAGTTTCGGCTGGCACAACCGGCGTACCTGGTTCTTCGGGTTCTTCGGGCTCCACAACCTCTCGGGTAACCTGCCAAATCATTCAACACGAGAGGCCACTCCAGGTGTCTCCGCATCTGTGGGCCTGCGGCCGATCGATCACCCGCAGCTCCTGTAGCAAAGTGGTTCAGCATCGACATGAGAACACTGATTGATCTGATTGACACTGATTGATGTAATGATTCTGATCCTGCAAAGAAATAGAACCTTTCTATAAACAATCTAGTCTGCTCGTTGAGTAAAATATCGTTGATTATTCCAGGAATAATTCCATAATTCATCATGATACTGTAAATTTCTATAACATTTGAATGATATTTTAATTTTAAAAAGAAAAACAAAAAAAACATACTTAAATTCTGTGATTTCTATGATTTCTATGCAGCTCCTCCGATGCCATTCGCAGACCTTCCAGAAATTCTTGGCCACGCACTCTGGCCTGGAGGTGGTCAAGTCGCCCACACTCCGATGGAAAGACAAAGAGCATTAGCATAACTTTGCATAACTATACATAGCTGCAGAACTACTATTTAAATCTATTTAATATTGTTAATTGCATTTGTTAAATTTTGTTAATCTATATTCACATCTATTCACATTGTCACATTGACATCATTGAGATCTATTCAATATTCAGAAATCTTGCGATGCTGGGGTGTGAACTGGTGTGCCATGTCTTGTTCTTGCGTTTTTCTTGAGACTCCTTTGACCTACCAAAACCTAAAACTGTTGCAACACAGCTCTACGCAGGGCCAAATCGACCTCCAGTGCTGCTGAGCGATACTCCCGAAGCTTGGTTTTGACCTGACATTTCACTGGTCTCTGGAATCGTGTTTTGCGTTTTTGTTTCAATAATGTTGGCTGTCGAATCTTTATCGATTTGTTTTCCTTTTAACTCACCTCATCCAGTTGTTCCACCTGCTTTCGTGCGGACTCGACCTGGCATGGCGTTGCAAACACTTGTAACCATGCGTAACCTGGCTATTTTCCAAGCAGCTTTGAAGAGCTTTGAGCTAGGCTGTTTGGTGACCAGAATCCTTCAGACTCCGACTCCAACTGTGCAACATTGTGCAACTGTGCCTGGGCTTGCATGGCCTTCACCTGTCGCTCTCGCTGCCGCCTGGTGGACATCCGGTTGGAGTTGGAGATGTTGGAGTACATAGAAATACATAGAAATACATAGAAATACCATGTTCAAGTACAAACTGTTTTTTATCCAACGAATGCCCTAACAATAGTCTAAGAATCTGAAGTCCACAAGCAGATTCCCGAGATTTTCCGGGACGTGCCAAGAACTGAGAAGAGCAAACCTGCAAAGAATGCAACATGCGATGCAACCCATCGGAGGGGTTTTCGGGTCTGCGCCTCTCTCGTCGTAATTCCACCCACGCTTCATTGCTTGCCCTCAGCGAGCCTTTGCCTGGCGAGTTGAGTCGCAATGACCAAACGGGAAAACGAAATGAATCGATGTTGGCGTGTTGAATGGCAAGGGAGTTGCCTAGTGCCTAGTGTGGTTCAGTATGGTTCATTAGTTCATTGGCTCCAAAAAAGTTTTGAAACTGGTTGAAAGTTGAAATCTATGCACTGGCAAGTGGTATTTCTATGTATTTCTGATGGTATTTCTTGAGTTCGAATCGCACTGGCGAGCGTCCAGCCTTCCGCTGGAGCTTCAGGCTCAGCATCTTTGGACCTCACATTCAAATCATTTGCTTCGTTAATCACCGTTAATCTTCATTATCTGCTCTTTATCATGTGTTATTCATTGTTTATCTTTGGATGGAAACGTCTCAGATTTTCTTATGTTCAGATCATAGACCGTCCATGTCGAGGTGTTTTCCCTGAGAATGGGTACCTCTGAACGATTCTCTGATTTGAATTCGTTTTGAATTCAGCCCCAACGATTCCATACCAAGATGCTCTGGCGGCTCCTTTGGCACCTCTGTTTCTGTTGAGGGCACCTGAGCGACCCTTGCATCAACTTGTGTCAACTTGCATTCTGTTGTAGCTGATTTGTAGCTGTAGGTTGCAAAGTTTGAAACAAAAAGCAGCGGTTTTTAGTCTTTAGTACATGAGTCAACAAACGCTATGCATGCTATGCATACTTTCCATATCTTCATACTATTTCAAATTTCTAACTGAGCAAAGGCACCCCGGCCACAGGTGCTGATTCAGCCTCCAGAGCACAGGAAGTGAACACGTGGTACTGTGTCTACTTTGACTTCTGTCAGACGTCTGTCGACTTCTTGACTTCGACTGGATTCAATTGGATTCAATTGGCAACTGGTAAGTTCATAGTTTCGTCACGTTTCATCTTCCATGGCGCCTCGCTGGCCTTCTCCTCTGGCACCTCTGTCACTTCCTCTGAAGGCTCCACTTTGGAAGCCTCGCCTGTGACGACAAACGATGAAGCTGTGACCATGCTGACAAGGACAGCGATAACATGGCCGTCTTTGCAAATGTATGCAAATGTCGTATTGTGTCGTATTGTGTCGTATTGTGTCATATTGTGTCATTCTGTTTCCCTTTTTCCACTAGATTCCGGCCTTCCTCCAGTTTCTGCTCGATCTGCTCATTCTGCTCCGTCTGCTCATTCTGCTCAGTTTGCTCTGTCTGCTCTGTATGCTCAGTCTGTTCCTTCTCCGTCTGCTGAGACTGTTCCGCCTGCTCAGCCGACTTCTCAGTTGCTGCTTCCTCCGCCTCTGGCGCATCCAGCCTCTACAAAGCCGAAGACATGGGAAACTATGGAAACTGTGAAACGAGTTCGTTCGCGCAGTGAAACACAGTGAAACACAGAGTCCTCGGCTGCGAAGGCGCTGCAGGCGCTGAAGGCACAACCTGGGCGACCTGACGGGTTATACTGCACCCCGTCAATGCAACGGGCACACACAGAATTTTGACAGCCACGGCACCTCGGACATTGCGGACACGGGTCGGATCAAAGCTTTCCCATCTTTTGTTGAGACCTGGTGTCACACGGATTCAACTCCGAGATATTCCGAATCTATCGGGTGAGTTGCTGAGCAAAATGCCAATCATTGAGGCCCAAACACTCAGCCATCCAATGCTACCGGGCACAGCACCTGCATTGGATGGACACACTGCTATGGAACACTTCAGAAAGCTACGCATTCATATGTATTGAGTTTTTAGTCAGTAGTTTTTCGGGAACCAATAAAATACAAAGCAACTTGGCATCAAAGATCATCAAAAATCATCAAAGATCATCAAAGTATATAACTATTGCAGATCTGCAGATCTGACAGTCGAGTCTGCACGTTGCAACGCTGACCCAAAGTGTCAGAATGGGACTGAGATGTTTGCATCCACCAGCTGGTGGGGGATCCACCTGCACATGATGCACATCAAAAAATGGGAAGCAGTGCATATGTGCATATGTGGAAAATTCTGGAAATACAAATTGAGCTCGTAGAGCTCTGGTAGAGCTCTGGTAGAGCTCTGGGGCCTCCGGGGAGTCAATGACCTCAAGCATGAGTCGAGCTCAAGGCAGGAAAGCTGATCAGCGTGCTTCCCTCACCGATCTTTGCTGAGCAATAGTTGGCGAGACACAACGATTCGCAATGATGCTACGCGCGTTGGAAAGATGTGAGCACAAACTGGAAAATAGAGAGAAATATTAAAGAGAAATTATTCAGAGTAATAAAGTGTAATGGAGTAATAAAGATAGATGAAGAAAACTCCTCAAAAAAGATGTCCACCGAGACACCTCGACCAGTGCACGCCGGCTTTCGGATGAAGCCACCTGGCAAGGCTGGATGTCCTTTGCTTACTTTGCTCACTTTGCTCACATGCTATCAGAGCTATCATGAACTCCACTTGATTCCGTCTACTGAGTCTATTGGGGTCTTTGACGAAGAGAGCATTGGATTGGCAATCCATGCCCAGCAAAGGGTACAGTAGAGGGTTGCTCCTGATTTGGCATGCAGCTTGGCTCAACCCAGCCACCCTGCCTGAACAATTCGGACCTTGGCATTGAAATATCCGCAGGAGACTCACGTTGACTGCGTTGAGCTCATTCCAAAAAGATGACTTTTCTCAAATGCTGAGGACAGGTCATGACCGCCTTGCCCCACAGTAGCAACCTTAGGTGATTCAAGGTGTTCAAAGGACGAACAAAAGCATGCTGAGCCATCTTTAGATCTCTGGCTTCACATTGGCTTAGCATTCGTTTCACATTCAAAATCAACCCTCGGTGCAGCCAGCATACCAATGGACTTTCGAGATCCTCTCTTTCTCGCAAGATCGCGCCCCTGCGGCCCACCACTTCGCACCTCACTGAATCCCTATGGACATCTGATGGACATCTGTGCACAGCTCCATGGACCGGAGAAAACTCCACGAAGTGTTTAAGCTGCGAAATCTGCAAAGATCATATGTTTGATCCACAGCCCGTTTTGAATTCGTGCAGGGCTCCCTGCTCATCTCCCACATTCACAATGGGAAGCTGGACAACAACCTGTTATTCCACGCTGTGAGCTTTGTATTTAAAAAAATGTTAAAGTGACTTTGTAGTAAATGACTTGCCTCTTGCTGCGCACCATTCTTGGGCCTAAGGTCAAATCATGTGAAGTTCCAGCGCTGTGGAGATGCACTGCAAGGCCGCCCTCCAGAACTATACGATGGACTGCAACGCTAACGAAACAACTCGTGTCAAAGTGATGCAAACATGAAGTCGCCATAGATTCATTGCGCCTACAATTACATCAAATCAAATCAGCAACCGTGTTGTTCATAACAAAATCTGGGCTTGATTAACCAAGCCCTTCACGAGTGTCGAGGTGCAACTTCGGAAATGCCCTGGCATCAACATGTTCAACTGTGCTCGGAAAATCAACCATGAAGGAAGAGGGGGAAGACAACCGCGATCGCCAAAACCACCAATCTTCCAATGGTTAGAAGCAGCAACTACAGTAACTACAGTACCATGCACAGCATGATTCTTGGCGAGTTGAAATTGGGTCGATGTTCCGATTTTCTCTCACCAAATTCACACGTGATTCCAACTGGACCTGCAAGGCAGAGGTCAGTCGCAGTGCCCAGTTGCCAGAGTTCGCATGCAGTTTTTCCTGGCCGTTCTATATGTCATCTGAATATCATATATATATATAATATATATATAGTTGCTTTTACATATATATATATATGTACATATGAATCTTGTGCTCTCTGACAGCACTAAGTTTCGAGAAAGTGCTGATTGCTTGATTCAACTCAGTGCGACTACGACATCTACAACAGAAGGGCTCTTCAGCAGACAGATTTTTCCGCCTTTGCAAGCTCCAGTTCCAACAGGCGTTCTTGCTGATGGATGCAGAACTCCTGCAAGGTCTCAGAGACATTCGACGATTCGACGCCGGTGACCTGATTGGTCTTCAGCTACCCTGGTGAAAAGTGCCTTCAAGGCCACCTTCTCTGCAATGAGGGCTGCGGTTTCCTGGAAACATCAGCATGTTTTCTACAACAAAGAACCAACATCTGTACAACCGGATCCATTGTTCTACTTGTTCTACAAGGCGGTGTGAAATATCTGTCGTTGAGTAACTCTGAGTCACCATGGCCATGATGACCAGGCACCTCCCCTGATGCCATGGCTGAGTTGCCCTCTTGCAGCTCTGCCATGGAGGCAAAGACCTTGGGCTTAGATAGGAAGCAAAAGGAACTATTTGGAGCCACCAAAAGTACCCAAAACTGGCACAAAGAGCTTTCCATAACTGAAGAGAACACCTTCCAGTTCTGAATTCTCATCACCTGAATTACCTGATTTCATTGGAACAAACGTCAAGCCTACAGGTATTCTTTGAGTCCTGGCCCGATTTGCAGCTTCCTCGAGCATGTGTGGAAGTCCCTGTAAAGAAAGGAGCTGCAAGGGGGATGGGAGAAATCTAACGCGGAAGCTGGACCAGAATCCAAAGCAAAAGGAATTGCAGACAGAAAAAGAGCAACGGTATTGACAAAAGTTGACAGAACAAATGCCTTTGCAAATCCTGCAAAAAGTGCCTCTGCAGGCTCCGGAAGGTCCCGTAGTGCACTTTTGATGTTTGACCTTGATTCTGAGCATATCTAGGCACTCCAAGAAGCATTGGAACCTCGTGATATCTAGAGTCTAGAATAGTCTAGAGTACATGTACAGTACATGTACAGTTGTACAGTATGCAGTATGTGGTTCTAGGAAACCAGTTGCATCTAGGAAACCATGTGCAGCCTTATCTTCGTCTTCCAGGCCAATGCAGAAATCGATGAATTTCTTGGATCAAAATCGCCTGAGAAGTTCGCATGGCTCTAGGCATCAGCCTTCGCACCTCAAAGAGTTCAAAGAGCTTCTGAATTCCCAAAGATCTGCTCGACATCTTTCGACATCTTTTGATGTCTTTTGACCGGAACATGGCCACAATGCTCAAGAAACTCAATGCAGGGGATGGAAGCACAGGAAACATGGAAACAAGGTAACATATTATCTGAAGATGCCAATACCGAAATCGCAGGAAATATGTTTCCTTTTTTGCTGAGGCTGAGCTGGTGGTGTTCATTTTTTGACTCAGGTTTTGACCTTTGCCGTGCGGCTGCTGTCTGCATCTCGCACGAACGTAGCGATGGTTTTTGGTTTACTCAGTGTGTCCAAATCGAATCCAAGGCGAAAAGATGCGAAAAGCAAAGCCGTGCCTCTCTTCATGCGCTGAACTTGTCTCTGCCGCAGCTCAGCCACCTGGACCAACTTGGAAACACTTGACTGCCTTGCCTTGACTGCCTTGACTGAATGTCCGTCCAAATTTACAACAATCATCTTTCAACCGTTGGATTTTTTTAACACCTGGTCATCTATGCGTGCATCTTGTCACCACTTGTCACTCGTTTTCACATCCAGTCTTACAACTCTGTGTTGTTGAGAGCTGGTTGAGAGCAGGTTGAGAGCAGACAATAGTGCGAATAGACTATGAACAGACTCCGAATAGACATGAATAGACTACGAATAGACTAGGAATGGTGGATCAAGTAGATATCAAGTGACGGTCCTCACCTCTCTGCGCAGCTCGCTGTTCTCACGGCAAAGCTCACTGTTGAGGTCACTTGCCTTTCTCACATTTGTTCGCTTCACAGCTTCGCAGCTTCGCAGCTTCACATTCACTTTGCAATTTGACGACATTTTTTCAGCTCATCGGGAGAAGACGACTACAACAAGGGTTGAGGCAATGACCCTCGCAACGCGCAGTGCTTCTTCATACTCTTAATATCTCTTGTACAATAACTCTTAATATCTCTTCACTCACTTCACTCTGTTTCTGCTAGCTAGCGACTGGCTGGCAACAAAGTGGAACATGTTGATAATGTCGAATGAATCGAACGGAAAAGGCTGAGAGCTTGCAACTTTATCTTCTTGGCTGTTTGTATTCTTTGCGGTATGTGTGCGTTGACACTTCATTGGCCTGTTGCAGCAGTTGTGTGTAAATGCCGTCATCATTGTCAACAGCTCGCGCATGACCTGCAGTGCTTGCAAACTGGGCGTATGCAAAGTTGCTGTTTCCAATCTGTTTGGATATCGGATACCAGTACCAGTACAGTAACTTAGATAGTGTCTTTTGTTGCATGTCTTGCTCTCGAGAAGAATTTCCCGTCTTCTATGTGTCTGAGCTCTAAACTATCTGCGGAAGATCTGGAACCTTCGCAACTTCAGCCAAGACTCCAATCATCTCCAATCATCTCCAATCATCTCCAATCATCTCCAATCCCACACCCTTCTGGTGTCTTTAGTCACCACGCCTGTCCAGCCAGCCATCATGCCACCAACGTGCCTGCCAGGACTCTGCAAGCACGCCCTAAATGAGCCTAGTCTGATCTGGTCTATGGCCTGTTCTTTGGCAAAAGACTGGCCCAAAACTGGACGACCAAAGAATGACCAAAAGGATGACCAAAGGACAATGGGCACGTGGCCCCGTGGCGTTGAATTCTGAGCAGTTCAAGGCACCTAGCCGTGACTGGCTGGCATGGTCAGCTGGGCGTATGCTACATGGCATCACTCTCCCAGCAGGCCCATCGCCAGCCCCCAACCAAAACAGACCAAAACCGTTAAACCCTGTGTTCAGAGTGGTTCAGAGTGGTTCATGGTGGTTCAGGGTGGTTCAGGGTGGTTCAGGGTGGTTCAGAGTGGCAGAAGGTGCTACAGAAGTTTAGGGATCTCTTTACCCGAGCCAGTTTGTGACATTTCTTGCGCTGAAAGAACAGCTCGCCAACATCATATTCAATTTAATGAGCGGTAATCAAGTTGAATAGAAAGAGGCAAACTGACCTTTCAATCATGTGTCCCATTGAGCCAATGTCGGCAAGTGGTTGTCAGGTGTTCTCTGAATCAGGAACTTCACCACTTAGTTTTCACACCTCCATGACAACTTGCACGGAAAGTCCAAGCAAGGCACTGAAAATACCTCGTATGATCCTGTTTTTCTCCACCTGTCAGGTAAGGGTTGTTAGATTTTATGTCAGCTGTCCCACTGCCTCCTCCGCCTCCTCTGCCTCCGCCTCCTCCGCCGGACCTCAACTGCAAGCGCTGGATCGCAGTGTTCCCCGCCGGACCTCAACCACAAAGAATCTCCGAAGATATACCAGATAGAATGTCAGAAAAAATGTCAGAATATATGCCAAAAAGTATGTCAGGATAGATTCCAGATAGAATGTCAGACAGAATGTCAAAGTATATGCCTGAAAGAATGTCAAATATTGTCAGATAGAATGTCAGAATAAACATGCCATATATACTTCCAGATGGTATGTCAGAAACTATGTCAGAATAGTGGTTCAGGGTGGGGATCACTCGAAGAAAGCAATTTCCGTTCTGCAGTGTGATCTTTTCTGTATGTTGTTACGTTGATTTTCATGCTCTGCCTGGATGCCCAACCTTCCATAGAGCACAAACACACTTTTTCTGACTTCCCTCAGCTTAGCCAAACATATCCATGTCGGCATCAACAGCTTCTTTGGCTTCTGGAGGTTTTTCATTGTCTTCAGCTTTGTCACCACCTACAGCAAGGTAAACTACAGACATGCAACTTTGGTAACGGACGGGTAACGGATGGTAATGGCACAAAGGAATTTTGAGATTCAGGCCAACGTCTTTCAGCAGGCCACCAATCACAGTGCCTGATGGTGCATTCCGATCAGCCGTGCCAGCATGAGGGCACTCGCCAGAAACCATGAGGCCGATCCATTTGAGACATCTGTCATCCACATGTGCCAGATTGATTCAAAAGTATTCACCGTCTTTATGAAACATGTTTTAAGAAAAAATGCCCAGTGCCAGCATTTTCTAAGCCACAGATCGGTCCCGTTTTAGAAGCCTCGGCCGTCTTGGCCATCTTGGCCATCGTCGGCTGCCAGCTCTTCTCTCGTTGGGCCAAGACCCTCGAAGAGTGGCGAGATCAGTGCCCCTGCGGTGCATGACACTTCCACAACTGAATCGCTGGAGCGTCAAACACTCAAAGTCAAAAACAGAATACAGCTCGTAAACTAAAATCTGAAAGAATATGAACTAGACGTTTAAAGTCATTGAACATGCCAACTGCCAACCATAAATTATGCCATAATTGGCCGGCATGATTTCGCGCCTGCCGCGTTGGTTTTGTCCCATCGTTTCAGACCAGCAGCTTCCTGGGACATTGACACTGTGAATAATTACTCAGTACAGCGACCATCTGCGACCATCAGCGACCCCAGGCATTTGCATTTCTACTTGCACGAGTCCCAGGTGCGTGTAACTTATTTCATCTTTGCGAAGGTCACATAAAATTGAAATGTGTTAAGGTGTCTGGGGCGGAGAACTTGATGATGTGCATCTTGCTTCATTTTTACACGGCCACTATGCCGATCGCTATGCCCCCCGGAACCACTGGCCGTTCCTCATCTTGCTCTTCTGTTTCTCCATCAGCGAAGATATCACGATCTTCTGCCTGGACGGAATGGCGGAACTTTCTGCAGCTGGGACTGCACTGGCAATTCACAAAAAACTTCGGGGAAGCGCTAAGCGCTCTTCTCAAAGGTGCAAAGGTGTTTCAGGCGCTGCTTTGATTTTTTGTTTTTTCAAACAAATGCAGCGTAGACAGTGTACACTGTTCATTTCACAGAGCTTTGAAGGCCTGCTTCTGTGGTGCAGCTTGGCTGGAGATGGCATCCTGGTGATTTCGCACTCATAACTGATATCCTTGAGATTCTATTGGAAAACTTCTCGGGTTTCCTCGTGCATTGCAGCGATGGATTTGTTTTCGGGCTCAGAATGAAACTTGGATTCCGATTGCGGATTCATTATGATTCATTGCCCTGCCTCCGCCTCCTCGGCTTCCTCCTCTCCATCAGGGCCCAAGACTGCACCAGCATTGGCAGCCATAGCCCTGGCCATGCGTGCCAGTGCCTTCGGAGGAACGGGCGAATGCTGGAAGGACCAAGGTCTGTTGGAACCCAAGATGGGACAGTATGGCAACGCTTGTGGGTGAATAGTCGGATGTCATCGTGGAAAAGTTCCTGCCTCTGCCTCGGCTTCATCATCGTCATCCATCATCTCTTCCTCTCCCTCCTCTCCCACCTGGACTTGAATCGGACTCAAAACTCCCAATCACAAATAGACAGAACATTGCCAGAACGCTAAACACACTTGACCAACTTATGATGCAATCGCTAAAGATTGGAGAAGCGGAGAAGCGTTGAATCCAGCGTTCCTTTTCCAATCGACCAATCGATGCTTTGGCAAAGCCTTTGGCAGCCGCCTCTCCTTGCGCTGTGAACAGTCAAGGCTCCAGGGTCACCAACTGGTCACCATGGAGGCCACATCATTTCGTCCACCAGCGCTGGAAGTTAGCTTCACCAAGCGCAAGAAACGCAGTTTGAAATCAAGCACTATATGTGTTCTACATTGTTCTACTACATGTTTATGCATCCTGGAAGGTCTTCTTTAATCAAACAGTTCGATGTTTTGGTACAAGAAAAGAAGCTCCACATACTAGCACTGCCATCACTGCATTTCTGATTCTCAGTTTCATCAAGGTTCACTTCGTGTAGCCTTGAGAGCAAAGGGAAAATGCCGCAAAGCCTAAGACCATCTTGGGCCATCTTGGGCCATTGGCCAACAGTGCGGACGGAAGACTTAGGATTTTCGCATGGACACCAACTTCTGTGCCAGTTCTTTGATACGAGATCCTTCACCACAAATGGCCACCCAAGCTGCAGGAATCTCCTCGTCGGTGCCGATGGAGCCGTAGCAGGCTCCGGCAATGGATGCACGACTGGCCGTGCATCCACCGACGACAATGCTGGCCTCCACAGCTTCGACATAGCTGGGTTCCTGTGCGCAGTGCAATGGTAAAATCAGAGATTGAGGTAAAGATCAGGAAAGTCCCGCAAAGGGAAAAGCCACCGCTTCAGGCTTCAGTGTCTTTCCCGCATCTGCGCGGGATAAGTGCGAAAGCTCGCCAAGTACACGTTCCAAATTCTGTGCCACTTCCTGGTCCAAGGTTGTTTGGAAGCTACGACTGGGATCCATCAAGTCCTTTGTGGCAGCAGCAATCGCTTCTTGGACCGTCGGAGTTCCCAAGACCAATTTCTCCAAGACCCGAGCAAAACCACAGGCAAATGCAGCCGCTTTGTCAGTGTTCTGCACGACGCGAACAGCTGTATCCACTGTGGGAAGCATGCTGGGGTCTCCTGCAAGCAGAGCCACCACAGGAGCCACTTTGCAAACACCATCAACCTGCAAAGTGGCAAAGCGCTGCACAGCACTTTCACATCGCTGTTTGCAAACTGTGGCACAGGACGCAGTCCGGCCTGCTCGTCTGTAGAGCCGCACTCCGGGTATTGTTTCTTCTCAGTCACATACTGCTTCAGAAAACCCTGGCAGAGCAAGGGATGAATGAGATCACGGGATATCACGGGTCATGCCAGGAGGTATACTGGGTAACATGAAGTGGCGAAATCAAAGCAGGATGCAGCATAGTCCTCCCGACAAAACGAGACCAAAAGATACAGCACGGAAAAAATGCGACATTGAAGCTCAAAACGAAATTCGAAACGAAAGCTGAACTTTGTGTTGGCAAACGCAAATGACATGCTACGCTCACCTTGATGGACCCATGACGCCAAGGGCCTGGCACAATCAACTTTCAAACGATTTCGAAAGATTTCGAGAAATTCCAAAAGATTCCGACATGGCATTTCTGAAACTCTTTGCTGTGACAACAAAGCTGAACGAAGCTTCTTGGCGACGCCTGGCAGAGGCATCGACCACTTCCTCTCAGCTTCGATGACTTTGCCTTCGGCATCGGTGGGATTTTTCTTCAGCTCCGGCCAGTTCTCCTCAAAAGACCAAGCGAATCCCGCGAACTGCAGGCTGGATAGGGACTGCAAAGATCTCGGAGCAACAAATACAAATCGGTTTACACCTGTGGCACATGTATCCATGTTTCACCTGCCGTATGTGCTTTGCGGCTTTCACAACCTCTCTCTGCAACCAGAAGCACCTAAAGGGTTTGAAGATGTTTGAAGAGGTTTGAAACTATTTGCATTTGACACCCCAATCCCTCCTGGTCCACAGCATCCACCTCGTATGCGCTTGACTTTCCAACTTTGGCTTCCAAGCGCTTTGCGAAATCCTCACAGTTTTTTGGTTCAACTTGGATCAATTGGTTCAACAATTTCTCAATACGAATGCGCCACCTAGCGCCGACCTCATCTTAGCGGCTCCATGCTTCCATGTTTCCCACACAAAGCATCAAATGATATCAAAGGATTCCTCCGTATCCAACTTGCCGTGGCTTTCAACCAGTGATTCCAAGAGCGTCAGACTCTGCTCGCCATAGCAGCTGAAACCTCGGCCAAAGAGTGGTAGTAGCAACATGATGCAACATGGTCATGTAGAATCAAGCACAGCAGAACATATGAAAAAAAACATATTGAATATTATCGAAAGAAGTTTAGAAGTTTAGAAGTCAAACTTCCAACAATATGGACAGATGACAAAGCAGAGGTGGGAAGAGTCAGAGAAGAAAAGAGAAGAAGAGAGAAGACACGAGAAGAGAAAGAATCAGAAGACAGAAGATGCAAGTGCACGAAAAGGCAGAAAAGTGTTTCTAAGCATTTGTGACTCCGGAGGGTCGAAAAGTAAGCTCGCTAAAGCGGCGGGTGCGGAGCCATCTGGCCAGATGAGAGAGGAAAAGTTGCACGTCATAATGCACAAAACATGTCAGCCTCAGGCCACTTTTGGAAGTTGAGATGTCGCAAAAGTGCACGCCGTTGTGGGGCGAAGCATATTTGGAAGTCAAAATGTACAAACCACACCATTCTCGGACCGCTTTTGGAAGTTGCGATGTCGCAAAAGTGTACGCCGCTGTGGCGCGAAGCACATTCCGAAGTCAACATGTACAAAGCACACCAGCTTCGAAGCATTTTTGGAAGTTGAGATGTCGAAAAAGTGCACGCCACTGTGGCCCGAAGCACATTTCGAAGTCAAAAGTGCTAAACTGCCGGTCCCGGACCACTTTTGGACGTTTAGGTGTCGTTTGGTGCGGCAGGTGCAAGCACATTGTCAAAAGTGAGCAAAACGTGAAGGTTTTGTAGCAGCTTCAACTACAACCACCACTACACTACACTCCACTCCACTCCACTGCACTACATTACACTGCAACCACAACTACAGCTATAACTACAACTACAACTACATAACACTACGCTACGCTTCACTACAGTACACTAACTACATCGCACTACACTACACTCCACTCCAATACACTACACTACAGTACACGAACTACAACTACAACCACAACTACTACTACATTACACTACACTAATTACATTACACTACGCAAATTACGTTACACTACGCTACACTACATTACACTGCACCAGGCTACACTACACTACAACTACAACTACAACTACAACTACAACTACAACTACAACTACACTACATTACACTACATTGCGCTAGGCTACACTAATTACACTACACTACACCCCACAAAACTCCACTACACTACACTAGACTCACTACAGCTACAACTACAACTACGCTACATAACACTACGCTACACTTCAATACACTACACATACTATACCACACCACACTGCACGACACTACACTACGCTACACTACACTACACTACACTAACTACAACTACAGCTACAACTACAACTATGCTACTGTACACTACACTACACTAACCTACATTACATTACGCTACACTCATTACACCACCCCAAGTCCAACTGCAACTACACTTTACTAATTACACTACACCACAACTACAACTCCACTACACTACAACAACTGCACCTGCACTACATCACACTACATCCAGCAGTTGAGGGTGAGGTGACCGACCAGGTGACCCCTGCAACCATTGTAACCACTCCAAAAATCACAACTCCAACCACCTTTCAGTCCATCAGTGGATTCGCTCTGCCATCCGTGATTCACAACTCCTATATATAGGTTTCCTATTCTGAAACTTCCGCCACCGCCTTGTGCGGTACTAGTGGTAATATGATTGAGTAGTTCTTCACATCCTGTTGTTGAGGTGAACAGCATGACTCTTCAGAACAAGTGCGGACGTGCCAGCCTCCTTTCGGGGTAGTGTAGAAGATGTTCCCAGGTGGATCGCAGAAGGCTGGCCCGTGTTTAGCCTCTTGGAAGCAAAGCAATGAGAGCGCAAAACATCCGGACAACAAAAAGACACGCACAACACAATCACAGATCGTCACCAATAATTGGCCAATAGTTGCCCAATAGTTGGCCAATAGTTGAACAGAGTGAACCAGTTCTTGTGATCACTTGCATGATCGTTCTTGCACGGTTTGTCGGGCACACAGCAAAATTCGTTGCAACGCCAAGCGCCTGTTTGAGGTGCTCGGCCAACTTCTCGGGGTCGTAGCACCAGTGCACTGGGACGGCAGCAGCATCTGCCACTAAGGAGCCCAGAACAGCACCACGTGCACGAGCTGCTGCCATGGAGAACGACTACAGCCCTCACGGTGTGACTCACGGTGTGACTCAAACAAACACAACGTGGCATCATCAGAGCTCTGTTTTTAACCATTTTAACATTACCTGACCAATATATACCAACATCCGAAAACAACATCCAAATATATGAGCATCTTTTCAATTTATTTTCATTTCCATCTGAGAATCTTGATAATCTTGGGCCAAACAGCTTGATTGTCAAAGTACTTGCTGCATCTTGCTCCATTGTGTCTTGCAGTGTCTTGCAGCAACGTCTTGCGGCGTTGTCATGTCGTCAACGGCGTCAACGTGTTGCTAGCAACTCTCGGAGTTTCGACAGAGCCTCCATCTCCTCAGTGCCGGCAGCAGCATCCGCCTTCCGGAGATGGTCGTACCAGTCGTACCAGTCGTACCAGTCATACCATGTACCAATGGCAACACTCCGCATAAGATGATGACAATGGCCCAGCAACGAGATATGCAAATGGCTTGGATATGTTTGGATAATTGTCGAGAAGTGACGATAAGTGATGATAGTTGATGATAATGGATCATAATCATAATATATTTTAATATATCATAATTGATGAACTCAATGATTTCAATGTAATGTGCGAAAGTTTCTGTTCGTGCATGATTTCATCAAGGTCTTGCAAATCTCGTGCCTCCTCTCCCTGCCCCTCTGGCTCTGCAGCGTCAGTTTGCTGACCCTGCCAGTTGTGATTGCCAATGCCATCAAAATGAAACTATTATATACCAGGCTCAGCGTTGCAAAATGGAAGCAGAAAGACTCACAGAAAGGAAAGCATGCGAAGCGAACCTTGTTGGCCCAAGAAAACCGCACAACCTCAAATATGGGGAGATTTTCTGGGTGCGTCTAGCTTGTGACTACAGCCATGAGATGACAGCTTGTTTAAAACCAGGACACAAACATTCCAATGTTTATCACGTGCATATGCATCAGTTCCTGCTTGGAAAACTCACGGGAAAGCTCAGTGATGCATTGTGCTGCATTTAATTCCGGGATTGTGAGCAAAGTTGCAGTGGATTCCAGGATCGAGATTAATCAATTCATGGACCTCTTCAGACTCAGGATCCAAAAGCCTTCGGGAGAGGCACCAAGCCCCTGGTGCCTCTCGTGCCTCTCGTGCCTCTCGTGCCTCTCGTGCCGCTCGTGCCTCTCTGCCCTGAGGTCACCACCAAAGCTGTGCAATCATCTTGGCTGCCCTTTTCACGTGCCCGCTTTACAAGGGCCTTAGGACAGAAAGGTTATGCAACAGACTGTAACAGACCAAGCAAATGAGAGAGGAAAGAACATGGTGACGAGTGGCTTCCATTGGGAGGTCTAAAGATGGCATCTTGGTTTTGTTGGAGCTGTTGAGGTATTCTTGATCCCGCACTTCCAGTACCACTGGAATCATTTTGAAAGTTGACCCGTGTTGATGAGTAGATCCAGCCTTGTCTGTTGAATAAAAGCCTTCCGCCCTTTCACTGATCCCTAGCTCTAGGAATAATTCTGAGAAGAAGCTCGTGTGAAAAAAACTGTTTGCAGTCGGCGCCTCAGCTGCTTTCTCCTCTGTCCTCCCACTCTGAAGGTGCTGCCGGACGAGGGCAACCTCACTAGGGAAAGCTGAAGAGCAAGTTCGAGCAAGGTGCACCATTGGTTTTCGTCAGCACTTGCAAGAGTCAAACGCTGAAAATGGTCAAACCTGATTGCAGCGATTGTGCATTCCAAGCGATTGAAAGGGTAAGATCATAACGAGAGGTGCAAGTTGCATCATTGCACAAGAACCATGGTAGAAAGTTTAGTAGAAAGTTTAGTAGAAAGTTTAGTAGAAAGTTTAGTAGAAAGTTTAGTAGAAAGTGTCCAAAGTGTCTAAAATGTCCAAAATCCACACCTTCTCAGATTCAGACGGAATCCTTGTCGGAAAGAACATCCCAAATGCCATCAGTCGCCAGGATCACAAACCTCAGAAGTGCGCGTGGCTCAACAATGTTTGTCCTTCAAAACCAATTCGAAACACTTTCCGAATGTAAAACATGTTTCAAATGTGTTTTAACATGTTTAAAAAATAGGAATAAATGTATTTGACATTAAGATGAATTGTCCCTCTTTCAGGTCTTGACTCGTCAGCGTCCCAGTCAACCTGCATGAGACCCAGCTGGAAGGAAGCACAACTGATTTGCCCGTCAACTGCCTCGTGTACAGTGATCTCCGGCTCTGCACTGACTATGTCAGGACCTGATTCTGCACATAGCAGGCATAGCACACAATACCAAGCTGCTTAAATCTGCATTCTGCTTTTGCGGCTCTGGGACGGTTCAACACCGTCAAAGCAACACAAAGCACAAAGCAACACAAAGTTTTGTATATTTCTGTATGACTATGGCGACTATGGCGACTATGGCGACTATGGCAGTTGGAGCCTTGGAAGTAAAAAAAAAAAGAATGCATTGTACTCTCGCTCCAACAGGCAAATGCTGAATCCATTCCAACCGCTTGGCAACCAACACACTGTTTTTTTTTGAATTGATGTGTTTTGGATGTGTATTGATTCGGCATTGATGGCTGTCTTTGGTTCTTGGCATTTCTTGGCATCACACCCTTGAAGTCCTTGTCCCCAAAGCTCCGAGACACTGCCAAACCAGCTATTTTGCTCGTAAGACCTTGCTGGAGAGGATACGAACCCAAACAAGACTGTGCTGCTGGACCCAAAGCCAGACAGAAGTGTAAAATCACACATGTTAAGAACTGCAGAATCATGCTGAGAAGACTTTGATCAAAAAACTGAGTAGACTGAGAAATCTTTACTTTTCAAAGCCACTCTGCACGCTTCTTTTTCTCCACTTTTAACCTAAGATTTCTGTCTTGGAGGCAAAAGCCCAGAAGTTAAGGAAGTTAAGGAAGTTAGAAGTTGCTCTTTAGAGACGTCCTTTGCATCTCTGCTGGCTCTGGCATGTTCTGATCTGCCAACGACATGGACACAAAGTTTCCACTTCACGAAATCCTCACGGGAACAACAAAGAGTCCACGGAAAGTAGGTGAAGCTCACGTCTTGATGTATCTTGATGTGCCCCTTGTCCGCTTGTTGTCCCCTTTCTCCCCTTGTCCCCTTGTTGCCTGACCGAGTCTGACAAACTCTTCGGCAGTTTTGACCGTGGAACTTGGGCTGCTTCTCATAAGAAGGTTTGATGTACAACTTGCGGACCATATTTTTCATAGGCCTCTCTGGTGATAGTGAGATCCTTTATGGCATCACATTGAGCGAGCAAGGAGCCACCTAGCCATGGGAGCACTGCTGGTGTTTTGTCCACCAAGTTGACCACGTTGACCAAGTCAAGTGGCTGACCGGGTGCAACCCACTTACTCTGAGCACGCACGTCAGACACCAGGCGTGTCTGGAGACCAGGCAGTTGGGCTGTGCCTCCGACCAGCAGCATGTTGCTCAGCAGCTTTCCACGCAGATTGATGTTGCTCTGAAGCCGCAAACTGCTCATCACCAGTTCAGGCAAAGTGTCACCAGATCTGGCATCAAAAAGGACTTCTCCACACATGAAGCCTCTCTCACGGAGGGACCGGAGGGACTGGATGCCATTGGAATTAGATCCAGACGAAGCCATGGAAACCGACGCCGTTTTCAGCCGCTGCAGCTCAGCATTGAAGTCTTGGGCTACCCAGGCAGATTGTTCCTTTGCACTCTCTGCAGCCCAAGAACTTACAACTTCTGAAACTTCCGTAGATTGATCCCGTAGCCGTAGCATTTCCATGTTGGAAGTCAGGGCAGCTCCCCCGATCCGACCATAAGCACTGCAGTGTGGCAAAGGATAGCCTTCTTCCACAGGAGTCACCCGTGTTTCAGCCTCTCCGATGTCAATCACCAAGGCTGTGGAGAGTCCTGCTCCCAGTGTTGCCAAAAATGACGAGCTCAAAATGCAGGCGGAAGTCTTTCCATTCGCCTTTCCATTCGCCAAGTACTTCTCAAACAAAAACTCGCACAGCTCTTCGCGTGAACTTCGCAGAGAAGAAATTGGCAACGAGACAATCAATTGGACTTCGTGATCTTCGTGGCGGTCTTGGAAATCGAAGCCACTCCCAGTATCAGTGATACTCGTGATACTCGTGATACTCCTCCAAAACGTCTCATCAACCAGGTTTTCCCTGAAGCTGCCCTGTGCTCTGATCACTTTCGGTGTTGTGTCACCGATGTCACCTGCTTTGAAGGAGTGCTGGCCACAGTCAACAACGATGGTCATAGGGACGACCAAAGCACGGATGGGCTCTCCTTGTGGCCAACCGCGTCACCAAATCTCATGCTCCATGTCACACAATCAAGGAAAGTGGTCATTGTGCGGGGATGGTTTGTCTTTGAAATGTGCCAAATGATTTCGCAAATAAACGACATGTCGCACTATGTGCACTATGCTCATGGCTCAAGTTGTGGCCTTTAGCATGTGTGGCCAGTAGACGGAATCATACAGACAGATTGTATGAGTCTGAATGAGTCTCAATAAATGATTGTTTCACGTTGCTTAGCATTGCTTAACAGTGTTTGACAGTGCTCCAAGTCACCAAAGATCAGAATGGCGGCTGAGTTTCACACGCTTCTTCTGAGGCAGTACACAACGCCAAACACCTTGAACCTCGACGACACCTCCATCAGCTGCCTAGAACGGAACAGTCAAATGATCTCTGAATGCTGCACAGCTGCACATGTGCTGCACGGTTTCATGTTTTCACAAAATGATGAAAGATCATGACCAATTGAGAAAGTCACACGGTGAGCACTGAGGGGTATGCAATTTGCTGCACAAAGGTGGGGAAAAACGTTTCACATGAAATAAAATTCGTTTTTTGTTGTTTCCATTTCTAAACGGAAATTCGAAGAATGGGTGGTCACTTCTGACCTGCCTCAATTCGTTTCTTTTCTGCCGGAAGGTTTGGCTTGTGATCCTGGTTGACGCCCAAAACGCGCGAAAATCAATAGATACCGCGAAGACAAAACAAAAAATGTGGTGACTTTGTGATGAAAAACCCTCTTTGATCACTTTGTGATTCCATGACAGAAAAATGCACAGTTTTCAAGATGTGTTTAAAATGTGCTAAAATTTCAAATTGAAAATCTGTTTTCAAGTGATTTTTTTCCAAAACAAAGTTTTGTTTGGTCTGCACAGTCACTGTGCATTTTGTGTACGTGCTGAGTTCCTCTGTGAGGCGCTGAGCAGTGCCACTTGTGCCTTGGACAACTGAAGGCCCTGATAGGTTGGAATGGTACTGTACGCAACATTTAGATTTCATATGATATAATATAATAAAATTTGATATAATATGATATAGGATCATACAAAATAAAGTAATATAATTCAAAAAAATGTAATACTATATGATATATATAAAATATAAAATGAAATAATACATTATAATATAATCTAATGTAATAAAAAAATATATATATAATAATATAATGTAATATAAAAAATAAAATATAATATATATATATAAGAAAATATAATATAACATAACTAGTGTAATATAAAATAATAAAATAAAATAAATTATAATATAATGTATCATCGTATAATATAATATTATATTTAAAAAAATATAATATAATATAATACAATATAATTTAATACAATACAATATAATATTGTAAAAACAAAAATAATACAATACAATATAATTTAATTTAATTTAATCTAACATATTATAATTTAATTTACAAAAATAATGTATTTTATAGTTGCATATAATATATAATATATTATAATTTAATATAACATCATATCATATCATATCAAATAATATAATATAATATCATATCATATAGTATAATATAATACAATATAATATAACATAATATAATATAATATAGTACAATATATTACAATATAGTATATATTGACTGGTTGATTGATTGATTTATAGATAGGTAGATAGATAGATATATACAAGCGAAGAAAGTTTAGAAGTCAAACTTCGCACAATATGGACAGATGAAAAGCAGAGGTGGGAAGAGTCAGAGAAGAGAAGAGAGGAGAGGAGAAGAGAAGAGAAGAGAAGAGAAGAAGAAAGAAGATCAGGGAAGAGAAAGAGTCAGAAGAAAGAAGATGCAGGTGCGCGAAAAGAAAAGTAGGCTCGCTAAAGCGGCGGGTGCGGAGCCATCTGTCCAGATGAGAGATGAAAAATTGCACGTTGCCGCGTGAAGCACATTTCGGAGTCAAAAGTGTTAAGAAGTGATGGGCTCGGACCACCTTTGGAAGTTGAGATGTTAAAAAAGAGCACGCTGTTCTCGCCCGAAGCACATGTCCAAGTCAAAATGTACAAAGCACCTCAGAGTCGGACCGTTTTTGGAAGTTGAGATGTTGAAAAAATGCACACCATTGTGGCGCGAAGCACATTTCGAGTCAAAAGCGTTAAAAACTGCCGGTCCCGGACCACGTTTTGAAGTTGGGATGTGGTTTTGCGTGGCAGGCGCAAGGGCTTCTGCACCTGGCCAAAAGTGAGTAAAACGTGAAGGTTTTGTAGCAGTTCCAAAAACGATGGCAGGCATGACATTTGAAGAGGATCTGCAAAGATGCATTTTGCTTGGCAGGCGCAGTACAAGAGACATGTTCGTCAGAGATGTTAGGAGGCCAGGGCGCTGATTTCCTGAGAGAGGTTCCATTTTGGAGCATCACATCTTCAGGTTTGCTAAGACGATTTTGCGTGACAGGTGCAGCACTTCGTATGACCTGGCATCACTTTTTTGTGGCAGGCGCAGTACTTCAGACAGGTGAAGTAGAAAAAACACAAAACGCATTGGTACGAGGCCATCAGCTCTGCACTCAACTTTCCAATTTTTGAACGAAATCTCGCACAATTGCTTCGTTTTTAATGTCGTCAAATTCGAAAATTGAGGCGGTCTCACAGTATTGTTTCGTTTTTGACGTTGTCAAGTGCAAAAATTGAGGAAGTCTCCCAGAATTGCTGCGTTTTGATGTTGTCAAGTTCAAAAACTGAGGTCGTCTCGCAGGGTAGCTTCGTTTTCCAGCTTGCAGATAGAAAGGTAGATAGCTAGATAGATGGATGGATGGATAGATCGATAGATAGATGGATAGATCGATAGACCGATAGATAGATTACTACAACTACAACTACAACTACCACTACACTACAACTACAAGTTTAAATACCACTTCAACAACAACAACAACAACAACAGCAACAACAACAACAACAACAACAAACAACTACTAACAACTACTAACAACTACTAACAACTACTAACAACTACTAACAACTACTAACAACTACTACTACTACTACTACTACTACTACTACTTCTACTTCTACTACTTCTACTACTTCTACTACTTCTACTCATACGACGACGAGGACTACGACTACGAAGACGACGACTACTACTACTACTACGACGACGACTACTACTACTACTTCTACTACTACTACTACTGCTCCTACTCCTACTCCTACTCCTACTCCTACTCCTACTCCTACTACTACTACTACTACTACTACTACTACTACTTCTACGTCTACGTCTACTTCTACTTCTACTTCTACTTCTGCTGCTACTACTACTACTCCTACTACTACTCCTACTCCTACTCCTACTCCTACTCCTACTCCTACTCCTACTACTACTACTACTACTACTACTACTTCTGCTACTACTACTACTACGACGACTACTACTACGACTACTACTACGACTACTACTACGACCATTAGTTCTACGACTAGTAGTACTACGACGACTACGACTACGACGACTACGACTACGACTACGACTACGACTACTACTACTACTACTACTACTCCTCCTCCTCCTCCTCCTCCTCCTGCTGCTGCTGCTGCTGCTGTGCTACCACTAGTACTACTGCTGCTACTATGCTACTACTAGTACTACTGCTGCTGCTACTACTGCTGCTGCTGCTACTACTACTACTTCTACTACTACTACCACGACTATTACTATTACTATTACTATTACTATTACTACTACAACTACAACTACTACTACTACTTCTTCTTCTTCTACTACTACTACTACCACTACCACTACCACTTCCACTTCCACTACCACTACCACTACCACAGCTACAATTACAAGTACAACTACACTACATTACATTACACGACGCTATTGACACTGCAGCACACTACAACTACAAGTACAAATACAACTGCAACTACACTACACCAATCACATTACATTACACTACAACTACAATTGCAACTACAATTACAACTAACACTACATGACACTACACTACACTAGACTACACTACACGTTATCACACTGCAGTACACAACACTAGATTACACTACACTACCTAACTACAGTACTCCACGGCTACAACTGCAATTGCAACTCCAACTACACTAAAATAAATACACTACATTACAACTACAACTCCACTACACTACACTACAACTACAACTGCACTACACCACACTACATCAAGCAGTTGTGGTGAGGTGACAACAACCAACCTCTCCTATAGGTTTCCTATTTTTGAAGCTTCCGCCACCGCCTTGTGCAGTACTACTGATATGATATCATATTATCGAAGGAAGTTTAGAAGTCAAACTTCCGACAATATGGACAGATAAAAAGCAGAGGTGGAGCAGAAGAATAGAGAAGAGAAGAGCAGAAGAGAGAAGATCAGAGAAGAGAAAGAGTCAGAAGAAAGAAGATGCATGTGCGCGAAAAGGTAGAAAAGTCGCAAATCACTGTGTTTATCCCAATGATTTGTGGCTCAGGAGGGTCGAAAAGTAGGCTCGCTAAAGAAAACGCAATGGTACGAGGCCATCAGCTCTGCAGTCAACTTTCCATTTTTGAAGGAAATCTCGCACAATTGCTTCGTTTTTAATGTCGTCAAATTCGAAAATTGAGGCAGTCTCGCAGTATTGTTTCGTTTTTGACGTTGTCAAGTGTAAAAATTGAAGAAGTCTCGCAGAATACCTTCATTTTCAATCTTGCAGATAGACAGCTAGATAGATAGACAGCTACAACTACAACTACAACTACATTACAGAACACAACATAACACTACACTACACCTACCACGACAGCTACAACTACAACTACAGCACGCTACACTACACTAATTACACTACACTACACCTACAACTACAACTGCATTGCACGACACTACACTAATTGCACTGCACTACACCACACTACACTACAGCTAGAACTACAACTACAACTACACTACCCCACACTACACTACACTAGATTATACTGACACTTCATTGCAGCACACAACACTACCATACACTACACTACACTACATTGCACTACGCTAATTAAACCACGCCACAGCTACAACTGCAACTGCAACTTCAAGTACACTACACTAATTGCACTACACTACAACTACAACTCCACTACACTGCAACTACAACTACAACTACAACTGCACTACACCACACTACATCCAGGAGTTGTGGGTGAGGTGACCACTGCAACCATTGCAAACACTCCAAAAAACACAACTCCAACCACCTTTCGGTCCATCAATGGGTTCGCTTTGCCCTCCGTGACCAACAACAGCCAACCTCTCCTATAGGTTTCCTATTTTGAAACTTCCGCCACCGCCTTGTGCGGTACTACTGGTATATACACATTATACATGTACATTATACATCTATTATACATGCAATCATAGGTAAATGACAAATGTGTGCATACATATCACGCGTATTCGCGCGTATGGAGATCTTAGATCTTGTCTGATCTTTGTTTTTGAGTCTGTTGGTGTCACTAGCTCTCCCGTGTTGCAGTACGGCCTGCTCTGTACATGCTGCCATTCCATATTCAGTCGAAGTCTACCTCTGCAAATTGCAGCTCTGGCACACAGCACTGCACGCGAGTCACCACCTCAAGGACACATTCAGACCCAGCACAGACCCTAAGGAACCGTGGCAGCTTCCATTGGACAAAACCATCTGAAACCTATCCAGTCAAATTATGTCATTTTGCTTTATTCCTATATGTTTCTATGCCTCCAATGCACTGGATAGTTGCCATCAAAGGGACAGTTTGCCATGAAGAGCCGCAATCGCATTTGTTCGTCAGGTCCGAAGACAGTCATTGTGCAGGCCTCAGCTAGTGAAAAAGTTCTCGTTCACTTAGAAGCGTGGAATCCCAGTTTTCCATCTTACATGATGAACATGTGTTCTGTGTGACTACAAAGCTTCAAACTGCAAAGACTTGCGGAAGAACAAATCGGTGATTACAGCTGCTGATGCAGATATATACAGATATATATACAGATGGGTGCCCCTGCAGTACTGCCCGAGCTGTCGTCTGTCTTCTTGGCGTGTTGCAGGTAGTTGTGCTCTGTCTGCTTGAACCCACCCAAGAGGGCGGTCTTCACAGCAATCTGCGCTGCATGGCCAAGGACCCGAAGTGGAAACATGGAACGATCGACTCATGGAAGAGTCATGGGATCAATGAAGAGTGCAAAGAACACAAGAAACAATGAAATTATATGAAATTAAATTATGTAGGAAGATAGGGAGTACTCACAAGTTGATTCCACAGGAGTAATTTTGAGCGGATAATTCATTGCCTCGTCACTGACATTCCTGGCACGATCTCGAAGACGCGCCAGAATGTTCTTGGCCAGGTGAGTGGACTCAGCATGCACGAGGAATTCACTACTCTTCACAGGATCTCATTTGATGAAACAAGGTTTTCCAGAGATCTCCAGAGTCTTCCTAAGGTTTGAGAAAAAAAAAATCCACCTGTTTCACAACGCTGACCGTGCTAAATTGCCTCTCAGAATCTTTCTGTAAGGTCAAGACCACATGCTCTGCACAGTAGGGTCCACCATGGCCATCGAAAACGCCAAAAAAAACGAAAGTAGCAGTCTCTCCCAACCTCGACTCAATGAGAGCAACATAACTGCTGCGAGAGTCATAGATTCACACCGACTTTGACCCTAGTGACTTCAATCAAACTCACACGCAGAGTGGTATTTTTGATGGTGGTCCTGGGGACGAGCTCATGGGTCAATGAGCGCCCAACACATTGATGGGCAGTTTGAGTTTTTCGACCAGGTAGTCCTCACAGGTCTCCTTGCCTCGCAACGTTCTAAACTTCGTCCTAGTGCGACCTAAGACCAAGCGTGACCTACGTCCTGGCCCATGGATGTTCAGTTCTTTGGCTTGTCTTCAGAGCTGTCCAGTCACAATGCCAACAAGTCCGACCAGATTGCCAGCCTTCAGCTTTGTCTTGGTGGAAGCCACACCTGGATGTAAGAGTGGGTTGGAAATGGTTGGAAAGGAATCTATCTATGCACTTCCCTTGCAGAAACTTGAGACCTTTGATCTGGTAGAGAAAACATGTTAATATAATATAATATATATATATATGTCAAGATGTGATGGACACAAGACTATCAGATTCAGATTTTCTCTACAATGCTGGAACTTTCTCAGAACCATGCAATGGCCGCGATCACTCTTTCGAACAAGTTGCTTCAACTCTTCCTCCAAGTCTATCTCCACGGATGATGCCTTTCAAGCAGGCTGAAACATCTGAATGACACGACTTCATCCTCAGCGAAAACGCAGATGTCGTCAATCTTAAACTCTGAAAGCTGTCCAGAACTGTTCATGTGTTCTGATGAGTACCGGGGTGCAAAAATCCGAATGGATTGGCAAAGTTTGATAACAACAAGACAAAACTCATTTTTGTTCAATGTCACGTCTCGAACTTTGTGCAGATATCCAGTCGTCCAGTTCGTCCAGTTCGTCCAGTTGCCTCAGAGGCGTCTTCACCATCACCATCTTCAGCGTCACCATCCTGTGGCTCTGCTTCGTCAGCATCTGCCTGGCTCAAGTGGTTCGAAATTTCCACCATTTCTGCAAATTTCTACAAGCCATTTGCAGTCTCGCAGTTCCCCCAAGTCTCCGAAATTGGACCTGCCTCAGCAACTTTCACTCTTACTGCACACATTCTCCCATCATCTGTTTGACCTAGTCCAGGCACCCGCAAACAAGCTGACCCTAGATCTGCTGTCCTGTGCTAAAGTTTGGAAGATGTGAAGCCTCGATCATGGTTTTGGGCTTTGGATGACTACGGGTCTGTCTTTATGTATCCTCTTTGTCTCTACTTATATGGTGTATATCATAAAAATACATATATCAATATCAACTTGTAAAATGTTGCTTGGGACTGTTGCATGGGGTGAAACTTCTCGGCTGTGGCTGCGACCAAGATGGAAAGTGACCACTTCTTCGGCCTGCAGTCACAGCATCATTCCCCAGCCGCAGCGGCTGCGGCGCAGTTGCCATTCTTATTTCCAGCTGGGCAGAACAAAAAGACCGACTTAAGCAAGTTAGCGCCTGCAGAGATGCAAAGACTTCTGTCTCACCCTCCGCCTCCCCATTCTTCGCACCTTTCGGAGCAATATCTCCCTAGCTGTCGAGGTGCTTTTGGGAAGGAACTAGAACGAAAACATGCGAAAACACATGCTTAGCATGCTTGGTTGCCAATGGCCTGTGATCTGGTTTCTGTGAACGAAAAGGTCCTGCAAGAAATCTAGAAGCATCCAGGATCTGAAAGGATCGAATCCAGCGCTCGTGTAAGAAACAAATAGAAACAATATACAGAATACATTAGAATACAATGTTTACCATGTGCATACCATATGCATACCATGTGCCAGGATGTGCCAGGATGTGCCAGGATGTGCCAGGATGTGCCAGGGGTCAAGTCGATCAAGTCGGTCGCGTCCTTGTCAAGGACTTTCGCTGCATCATCGATTGGTTCGATGAAGCCAAAGCCTTTCTTTTCGTTAAACCTCAGGACATGGCATCTTGTGTGGCCACAGGAGTGCCAAATGCAAGATGAGCAGCAAAATAGCAGCAAAAACACCCATGCAACAATCTCTGCACACCATCCCAAGTCCAAGACTTTGGGGGTTGGGCAAGTTGGGAGGTGTTTCCAGACGCTTGCAGTGACACCGGCTTGACATTGCGCAATCTTTAAGACCATCAGTGGATTCAACACAGGCTGCCAGGCCATCTCACTCGGCCACGCAAGAGAGGTCCTTCATCCTCCACCTGCGAAGCGAAGCAGCGAAGCAGGACGGGAATTGAGTCGACTCAGTGGACCTGTCAGATCTGTTCGGAGTTCTGCGTGCCTGCTCCTTGCCATTCGCAGGCGCCTCAGCATACATTGACATTCTGTCTATTCTGACATTATGGCATCATTATGGCATCATTGTGGCAGGGGTGATGGATGCTGATGGGACATGCTCAGTAAGGTGAACAACCAACTTCCTTCCGGGACTGTGGACTGCAACAGGGTTCCAGGCTGGCAATTCAGCAGATTCATCCAGGACTACACGAATCTGTCCGGTAGGCCTTGGTGACAAACAAGATAGCAGATGATAGCAGCCAAAGACTCTCCGCTTGTTGGCTTCTTGAGCTGGATTTCACACACAAACAGATCAAACAGAACACGGGATATTAAGGCGGTGTCACTAAGTCCCAAACAAATGGAAGTATGCCATTTCAGTCTTGTTGTGTAGCCACCTCGAAATCAAAGCAGAAACCCGCTCGGCTCGCACAACTCACTGCGATGCATGTCAGCCGCATCTCAGTCCGTCCCTCAGTGACAGAAAGTCTAAGACTCGCACTCACCTCCGCTGTGCGCCCACCAACCATCAGAGGCCTCTGAATAGCCTGCACCCAGATCTTTCCAGATCTTTCCAGATCTTTCTAGATCTTTCCAGTAGACAGCCGACAGATTTGCTGCAAAGGAATGCCACGCCTCCCTGAGAGAAGAGTGGTGGCACACCCACACCATCTGTACGTGGCCTGAAGCGCGCTCTGCAACCTTCAACTTGATGTTCAAAAAGGCACTGTTCAAACATGTGTTTTCCAAATTTCTCCCTGACTTGAGCTAAAGAACAGACTGTCGACGTTTTTGTCCTTTGCCAAAATCCTTCACTGAGGAGCCCTGACCGTTTGGCTTTTGCCTCGCAGAATGATGAAAAATGGCAAGGAAAACGGGCCATGTCGGGCCATGTCGGGCCATGTCGGGCCATGTGTCTCGGCCTCCACGTCGGCTTCCTCCGCCTCTTCCTGGAAAGCAGCGAACTGCAAAGCTCGATACACACCGAGCTGAGCCGAGCTGAGCCGAGCAAACAAAAAACGACACGTCGTTCCTTTAGACTTGGACTTGGCTGAAGAATGCTGAAGACTTGTATATCTTGTATAACTCGAAATTCAAACCGAGAAGCTTTGGCCACCATTTGGCTAGGGGCGTCGATTCACCGATTCACGCGAGGCCAGGCATTTGACTGGAAGGTGCAGGGCATAGTCAAAGGCTCCTGGTCCTACATGCTACTGAGTAGAGTAAAAATACCTAAAAAAATACTATATAATTGACATAGTACATTGCATCATAATACCAGAACATACCAGATACTTATGCTACTTTTTACCGTGAGGTGATATTGAAAGGTATGATGGGATGCTGGTCGATTGATTGTTACGGGAGAAAGAGATGAAGAAGTTAAGACAATTGCAGTTTGATTCCTCATTCCTAAAATGAAAGAGTCGGAGGGCACTCTGGATCTCAATGTTCTTGACTTTTTTTGGCAGCTCGATTATATGTATTTGATCTGAAGCATTCTCAAGGTCAGGCTTATCCATTGATGCTTGCAGCCAAGAACACGCTGTTCAGGAACCACATCGAAAGGAGAATGACAACTCAAGCCAGAAAGCTGTGCAAACTTGCGAAGAAAAAAATCACGTGAGGGTGTTCCATAAAGACGATTCCAAGTTTAGCTTTTTCTCGCGAGAGCATTATCTGATCAAAGTGATCAAAGCGATCAAAGTCATTTGTCATTTCGAAAACTCAGCGCTATTCAGGGCATTTCGCAGTGCTCCACGTCACGATGCGACGGTGCGCAGAGATTAAATGATGGCTCTGGAAGGTGAATTTGCGGAGGCGATTCCGTCTGCAGGCCAAGTCAAGACTTGGAGATCCATACAGAATCCATATGGAATTCATAAGATTCATAAGTATTCAATAGTATTCACAAGTATTCATAAGTCATATGAGTCTCATATGAGCTTTGAAGGTATCTTGAGCTTTAGACCTGCACCAGTTCACTTTCGAGTGGTGAAAGCTCGCGGGTCTGCTTGTAGTCAATTTGGCAAGCACCCGAAGTTTCTAGTCTACATGTCCCCACAAAGCACCTCGGGCAATGCGATCTGTGATCGTTTATATATATATATCGTCTATAGCTTGATGGTTGGCTCAACGTTCAGGAATTCTTGGCCCAAGTCTGCTTGCAGAGAATTTCGATGATATCAAGTACGCAGTAATTGATTGAGATGCGCCAACTGCAGCGCATCAATTACATACCAATCAGGTTTTTCTTGGTTGACTGGCTATCTAAATGGCTAACTATCTAAATGCACAAGGCCCTCCTCATTCATTCGTTGTACTGCTGCTCGCCAGTCACACTTGGACGGTGAGTCCTCACCAGCATCTCTTTCATCGCACACTGCTGGCCCTCACCGAACCTATCCAAATCTGAAGTATTTTGAAAATTCTTGAAGTGCATACTAGATTAATCGCTAGCAGTTACGAGTACATACTTTCATTGTTTCACAGTTTACTTTCACTCTCTTTCCAACAGAATTGTATTGAGATTATTGAGTTGTATTGACGCCTCATCACCGCGTGGTATTCTTCGTGGCAAAGTCGGTGCTGTGGAGGCCGATGAAACTGCGGAAGTTTCTCGTTTGTTTCCAGCTGTCGCCGGCGCTGTTGGCGTAGTGCCCTTGGTGACGACCGTGACGACCGGCTCCACCCCACGCGGTGTGCGCTGACTCCGCGGGGTGGGTTCCTTTCGACGTGGCTCCACGCTACTACCTCTCGACCGACCAGTATCACCCATCACTGGCATGGACACCTGCACAGAGGAGAAATGTTAGATCTGAGATCAAAGGGCGATCAAGAAATGCTAAGCCATCCAAGTCATCGACAAAATCCACAGCACAGTATAAAAATGTATAAAGTATATGATGAAAGTTTATTGTGAAAGTATGAGAGTCACAAAGAAGTCTAAAGAAATCATAAATCACATCTGCAAATCATCGAAAGTGGCCTTTGCGCTGTTGCGCAGCTTTTCATAGGCATCACGGAGCTCAGAGGCCAATTCCTCCTTTGTTTGGAGCTCCTTTTGAAGCGTGTTGGTGATATCCCGAATCTGCTGGTAATACATCTGCAGCTCATCCTGAAACGGAAACCATGCAGACTTCTCGGTTTCGGTTTACTAGCTCACTTGCAAGATTCTTCAGTTCTTACAGTTACAGATTCACGATAAATTCGTTTCCAACATCTCGTTCATGGACCTTCCAAATTACTTATTGCCTACATCTTATTGCTATCTCTAGGTATTTTGCTCCTGGAGGTCAGCGCAATGATGCTCCAGTTGCTGGATATCGGAGTTGGCATTAGCCAAGCGCTCCTGAGTCAAAACGAAGGCGTCATGTCAAGTCTGAAACGTAGAGATAAATTAGATAAATCTAATGAATCTGGATATCTAAACTGATCTAAAGATATCTAAAGATTCTAAAGTGTAAACTGAATCTAAACTGCCGATGATCGGTGTGTTCGTGGTATATCGTTTTTTAAAGATTCAATTGGTGATTCAATGGTCGTGCCATGTCGTGGTATATCGTGCCATGTGCGTCGTGCCTCCATGGTTTCGTGGTTCAACTCGTGGGCTGCGAATCTGCCGTGGACATGCCATGCAGAGAACACCTCTGCCTGGAGGGCCTGTCAGTCAGAAATGGAAAGAGAACACGAAAAGTGCAGAAAATACGAAGAGAAAGTGCAAAGTGCAAAAAAAAAAAATGCAGAAAAAATACGAAAAAAAATGTGAAAAAAGTGGAAAGGAAAAAGATGAAAAAGAACAGGAAAGAATTCCAAAAAGATGTTCTGCCGTCCGAAGCTCAAGGAGAAACAACGGAACAATGGAAACACAAGATTTGGCCAGACTCGGTGAGCTTCCAATGGCCTTGGCATCCTTGCGGAACTTCTGCCCCAGCATGAACCTTGGTCATCTTAGTGTAAGTCTTAGTGCACTTCCTGGTCAAACCTGAAGGATTTTTCATGATTTTTCCCTTTTCATCCCTTTTCAACGTCTCTTTCTATAATTTTTTCTACCCACGTGGAGAAATACCAAGCGGCTGCGAATATTTCAGCATCTGCTCGTTGTGTTCCAAGCGATACATTTGATCCAGTTTGGCCTTGTCATAGAGAGCGGCCCAGGCAGAGAAGAACCTCATAGCGGTGTCAAGCTCTGAATCAAAGGAAGTCGACTTCGTCATGACTCGTGTCCACTCGTGTTCACTCGTGTTCACTCGTGTTCAACAACTCTTTAATTGTTCTGCGATATGGTCCAATGGTGAATCATTCCGAGGCTATGCTTTCACCAGCCAAAACTTCAGGGCACTCGGTCAGAACCACACGAGTGCGCCGGCAACCCATGCCATCCAGTGCCCGAGCAATGCGCTCTTTGCCTGAAGAGTCTGCCATCCAATCCATTTGTGAATTCACTTCCATGTCCTCTAGAGTCTACTGAGTCTAACGAATTTGAAACGACATTATTCTGCACTCACAATTTCTCACATCCAATCTTTCGGAGTTGTATTGCCAAGCAACGCAGCTCCTCTGCCTGTTCCTTCTGTGCCTCAAGCTCCTTCAGGTGGACAAGCCGTTCGCGCTCTGCTTCCAGCTTGGCCTTCTCCCCTCGCAGCAGAAGCATGAGTTGACTTGGTCAATATTCTATCAACTTTTGTGGTTGCAAAATGTTATAAGCTGTCTAAGCTGTCTTTCAAATCAAGAAAAACACCGCCACCATGTTTCAACTGGCAAGGATTCAGAGGATACACAGGACAAACCAACTCAGAGGCCTGAGCTTTGCTCATGCCACTGTCGAAGCACCATGCCCTTGAGCACGCTCCCTTTACTGGCAAAAGCTTCTGCGCACCTGACACTAAAGGCGTCTCCATGCCGTGTTTCACTTGTCTCATGTTCTCATGTCTTGGTCCATCTTCAAACATCTTCAAACCCTTGAAACTCTTCAAATCCACTTCTCAGATCTTCTCAGATCTTCTCAGAAAGAGGCATGGACCAAAGAAAAGAAAGTCGTGTCACGAAGAAAACTCGGCACCGGCACAGGGAAACAAGTGCAAACTGATGCAAACTGGACGTTTCAGATCGGTTAACACTGTTGATATCTGTTGATCTGGGCGTGTGAGCCCAAACACATTGCTCTCGGCTGGTGCTGTGTGCAAATCAGTGTCCCTTGCAACTTGCTTTCATGCCTCATCATTTGGTGTTCGCGCTTCTGTTGCATCTTGGACATTTGCATCTCAATGTCCTTTCGATCACAAGAGTTGACATGAATCTAAAGTCAAACTTAAACGGGCAAAAACATCACTGATAAGTACTGATTAAAAATACCGGCAAATTTGAAAAATAGTGTTTTTCTGCTCATGCAATATCCATTGAGACATTCGCCTCCAGCTTCTTCTGCTGCTGTTGCGCCAAACGGTGATGCTTCAGTTCGAATCGGACGTAGTTCATCCAACCCAGGAAGCCTCAGTGATATAAAGGGACAGAAGGGACAGAAGGGACAGTGGTGAGAATGCTTCGAATGCTTCGTCCAATGTCTCGAAAGCGGTCCGTGTTTGCCTGTCCTCTTCCTCTTGGATCGCTTGGCTGTGAATCTACAGTTTCAAGACGCCATACAATCGATGCAATTGAGCTACAAGAGTGCATGGAACCACGCTGGTCCCCCTCAATGAATCCTCGCTGAAAAGCTGCAAGCTCTGCAGGAACAAGTTGGACGAGACTAACAGACTTCACCCACAATGTGTTACACAAGACTTCACTCGGTGCACCGCTGTGCCCAGAGTTCCGGGTTGAGTGCTGTTCCGGTCGATTAGAAGAAAATTGCGCCCGCCGAAGCCAGAGATTGAAACCCGTGCTGGGAAAAGCGAAAAGATATGAAAACATTGAGTAAAACAATATTGAAAGAATTTGAAAACATGCACGAACAACTTGAAAGAATCTTCAGCCAAGAATCGCATCACAGAGTCTTTGACACTCTGCTTTTGTGCATCCGATTGGATCTTGACCTTAACGTATTCCTGCCAGTCCTGCCAAAATGACACCAGCATGCCTCCCCATCCACCGGACATACCTTAGCTGTCAGAAAATTAATTACAACCACCTGTGCAAAGTTCCAGCCTGGAAGAACTGTGAGAGAATCCCTTTTCTGTCGCCTCCCATCCTCGGCAGAGGATTCTCCATTCACATCACAGCCCTCCCTCCAAAAGGATCCAAAAGACCAAAAGTGTGGCCTTTTATGTAAAAGTTTTAAAAGTTTAAAAGGCATATGTGTTTCACATTCTGTGGCATATGCGTGGCGTTTCTAAATGTTGCCAACGAATGCCGCGGAACCATCTCCTCAAGACCATCTGTGTGGCATGGTGAGCTTTGGCCTGGACTCGTTCAGAAAATGCGAAGTGAGAGATCAACTGAGATCAACTCAAATTTCAACTGAGATCAACTCAGATTCTCCAAATTCTTCAAATTCTCCAAATTCTCATGTCGAATTGTCAACGCATTGTCAAAGCATTGTCAAATGACTTTGGAGACACATTTGTCGTATCACTATGTACACCAAATGTAGCATCGAGGTGCCTTGATGGCATCTACGGAGTTGTAGGCTTGTCTGAGCATTTTCTCATGCTCAGCATCTTTGTCCTTCATGAAGTTGTCCAATCTCTCGTTGGCTGTTCGCTCCCTCGGCTCGCCGAATCGTTCAAACTAGCGCAACATGTGTCAATCGTGTGCCAGACACACTGATCGAAAGCTTTTTCACCGGGAAATTCTGCAGAATTATCTGATCGTTTTATACATTCATATATATATAATTATATATATATATGTTATATGTATCTATCTATCTATCTATCTATCTATCTCTCTCTCTCATTATCATCAGTATCTGATTGTTCTCTGCTGACCAGGCCACAAGTCTTCCATCTGACGAACTCTTTTCTCATCCTTCGCTAAGCCATGCCAATTCATCAAAGCGAGCTTCGCGGTGCCACGAACCTGAGCACACTGCACACGATGCGCGAGTTTCCTCTGTCGTCTAAGTCTTGATGTCAGATGTCTATCCTTAAAGCTGCGTTTCAGCGTGTTTGGATTTTGAGGAGAAACTAACAATCAAGAAAACCCTCTGCATGGAAAAGAGCTGGACGATGATTATGATGATTGATGATTCATATCATGCCACATACGGCAGTAGGATGTCTTAGGATGTCTTAGGATGTCTTAGGATGTCTTAGGATGTCTTGGGTACCCGTATGATTCTAGTATGATCATGCATTTAAACGAATTTGATGCATCCCGTCTGAGAAAAATCGCCACGCCTCCCCGAGCAAGGACTTTAGCATGGCATCATGGACGCCTTGAAGACGTCTCGAGCGACTCTTCGAGTCTTGCACATAGCCTCAGCTTCGAGTCTTCTCCGAGTCTTCTCCGAATCTTCTCCGAATCCTCTCCATTTCGAAATCTTGTTGAGCTTTTACATTTTTCAACATGTGAGACAGGACTGCTGACATGTGGGACATGTGAGCAACTGGCCACTTTTGCAACTACAAGATGAGGTCTATCAATGCAGGTCCTTCCCGATCCCTTGACCGCCTTGACCAGAGCAGATGTTTGAAGATTCTCGATGCCAAGCAACTGCACCAACCCTTTATGATGCCTTTGAGAGTTCCCTTTTTGTCTCCATACTCCCATTTGGCAGCAACATACTGCACCAGCCTCAGCACAACTTGGAACAACTTGGAACAAGTTGGAACAAGTTGGAACAAGTTGGAACAAGTTGGAACAAGTTGGAACGCATGAAATCAGTTAATGCTGCGAAGATTTCTGAAGGTGCAAACAGACAAGTGCATCGAAAAAACTGGGGCAAGGAAGAGAGAAAGCGTTGATGTCGAAGCCACCAAGTCACTAAGTCACTAAGCAGATCAAAAAAGGCAAACATCTGCAATGATGAAAGCAATGAAAGCAATGAAAGCAATGACAGTTTGAGGACGAGTGTGAAGTGTTCCCTTTTAGAGGTACTATGAAAGACCAGAAATTCCGAAATCGGCGGCAGAGGTACCTCTTTGCGGCTTCTTTCCGTTGTTCCGCAGACATGGCATGTTTCTTCTCCAAAGCCTCGGACCTCCTGCAGAACCGTTGCTGGAGATCTCAGGAGTCTGTCTCGTCCCAATATAAATTATATTAAATTATATAACCATGACGGGTATGCACACCTACAGGTATCATGTGTTTTTACATACTATATTGATCTATATTGATCTATATTGTACTATGTGTCATCATGATATGAAATGCATCAAGCTCAGGGCCAAACAAGCCACCCCCAGCTGCCCCAGCTCAAAGCGAAATCCTGCGCTCATCTTCCAAAAGCTTCTCAAGCTTTTTGGCCTGAAAGCGAAGCGAACAAACTCACTCTGTCGACACTTCAGGTATTTACAATTGGTCAAATCTGTTGTCCAGCAGACTGATGCTGAAATCTTTTGGTTGACACGGGTTGACAGACACAAGATAAGCCATGTGATGTTGTTTGAGGTGTTGGGCCCTTGTAGAATCGTGTACAATCCAATCGACAATTCCGGTGCCAGCTCCATGCTCCCATGCTCCCACCTCCATCTCCACTGCCTTCTGAGCCTGCAGAGCCATCTTGTTTTGCTTGGCCTCATGGCGCCATCGCAGCCATATTCCTGCACAAGGCGTTGCACAAGGCGTTACACAAGGTGGTAGACTCTGTAGACTCTGTAGACTCGTAGACCTCAACGAGATCTGAGGCAAACAACTTCAGAAGACTTCAAAAGCACTATAGAAATTATAGGACTCTCACTTCACACTTCTAAGTGTCTTCCAAGTATCTTTCAAATAAACATACTAGAAATAAAACTTAATAAAACTCAATAAAACTATTAAAATTCATTAAACTCAAAATATCCGGATTCCCCTCGCTGATCTCTCCGTGAATGAGGCCGCGCCGATCGCCCTCCGCCCATTTCCGCAGCTGCAGCTGGATGGATTCATGGCGACGATCGCGCCGTGCGCAGTCCTGGAAGTGGACCAAGCGCCCCAGCTATTCGCAGTGCGAGTGCTGCGTGCTGCATGTGCTAAGCCATCCTAAGGCCATAAGTGTGTCATAACATGTCATAACATGTCATAATAAGATGTCATAAGTGTGCTAACTGGAAATAAGATGAAGTAAGTGTGAAATAGGTGTGAAATCAGTGTGTCCAGTGTTCTTCGCCTGGTGCGCCCATCAAAAGAATTCTAAAGATTATATATAGAATTATAATATATAATTTATAATATATATATATATATATTATAGAATTTTAAAGATCCATTGACTGCATCGCACTGCATTGCGATGGCTTCGAATCGCTCGAATCGCGAAAAAATCGCGCCTTGGCCCAGGTGATCCAGTGCTTCCAGACCAACGCCATGGTGCCCTGCACAAAACTCTGATTCTCGATGAATCAGAGGAAATCACGGTTCATCAAGGTTCGAAAGCTGCCCAGTTGAATCAGTTGAATGCCAAGAAACTCAAATTTTGGATATGTTTCGAATTGTTTCGATATTTCATGATGTTTCAACATTTCAACATTTCAACATTTCAACATTTCAACAGCTGCCAGTCGTTTCAGTCTTCAAACGATCTCCAAAGTGCTGGTGCCTTGCTCTTTCCTTTGGCCCAGCTGGCAAGCACTGCTTCCACGCCACTGGTGTTGTCCTTCCGCTTGCCTTCTGCAGATCACAAACGCCCGAAGCCACTTCGAACATCGAACATCTTCGAACCCACCAAAGGAACCTTTACCACCACCAAGACATACCAAGACAATCCAAGACCTTCATGGCTTCCTTACCAAGTCGCTTTCGATCTCCTGCAACTTTCGCATGAATTCGGCATCCTGTGCAGCCTGCAGAGAAACTTGAGCAATGGATTCAATGGATTCGTGAAAGTTTTTGGAGAACGATGCGACTTAATTCATTCAACTGAAATTCAACATAATTCAACCGATTTTAATCGATTTCAACGAACTTCGACCCATTTAGCGAGCTCTGGCAAGTATCTTGCCTTCTCCTTGTCAAAGGAGCCTTTGGCTGCTGCCAACTCAGCCTCTTTTTGTCTAACCTCGGCACCCAGCACCGCAACACTCAAAGCATCATCTGGTTCTGCTTCCTGATCTTCCTGCAAACAGATTTGGACTGTTGTCACAAGTTGATGACAGAAGGTTGCTGAACATGTTGAACGCGTTGGACGCGTCGAACGCGTTGAACAGTGTCTCATGGCAACTCGGTGGCAACTCGGTGGCAACTCCACATCTTTTTCTTCCCAGCCACCATAGACTCGCTATGAGCTTGGTGATGCCAGGAGAGGAAGCAGCTGTGCTTCAATCCCTTGCTTTTGCCCTCCACCCAGCCTCACGTCCACAGATGATTCTTGCAGCTCGTAACGGCTTGTAACCCCTTGAAAATCGCTTCCAGGAGAATTCTTTGTGCTGGAATTCAAAAGATTGCATACCAAGTTGCCAAAAACGGCCATGTGGACATTTGCTGCAGCACGCTTGAGGTACCGCTCCTCATTCCAATTTCGACAGCACCCCTTGAGAGCAACCAAAGCACAGCTTTGCACAGCTCATGAATGTATGTTGTAAAATGTCGTAGAATATCATAATGTAACAATAAAAAGAGCAAACGTAAACGAAAGTGGCGGCAGAGAACCCGTGCCCATCCGTTCTCATCCGTGCTCATCCCTGGTCTCTTGCCAAGACTCTTGGATAGCATACTGAGACCAGGAGCGAAAGACTCTCCGCAAGAGTCCTTTGCGATCTCCCTCGGCCCACTGGTCAACCTCGGAATGAGGTATGGACTTCATAAACCGGAAACGTCCGGAATTCAGAGCAAAGAACCTGGCCTATGCAAGCAACTGCGGAGATTACATTGTGAAATCAATTTGCTTCACACAAAGCCCAAGTCATTGTCGCCTATGAGAAACTGTACTATTCGAGCACTTGCAGGTTTTTTCAAACCACCATATCGATCCATATCGATCCATATCGATCCATATCGATCATACGGATACCGTGTGTCAAGAAATACGCATGCCTATGGTGAGCAAAAAGATCAGTCCAAGGCCACAGGAAGAAACCGATTTCAGTCCAGGCGTCAATGAGCATGGCCTGCTGCTGACGCTTCTCCTTTGCAGTCATTTGATGTCGCGCATGCTTAGCAAGTTCGTCCTGCAGCTCAACCAAAGCAAGGCTGATCGCTGTTGCTGAGTGAAAACGCCAGAAAACATTTGCCTCAGAGACATTCAAGAGACATTCAAGAGACATTCGAGCCTGATTTGTCAGAGAACATTTCCCACAGAGATCTCGGCACCTCGAAGCTCTGCTGGTGATTCTTGAAATGTGCTGCCCAGGCATCGTGATGCTGTTCCAGCTCCTCGCAGGTGTCTCTAATAGTCACTATATGTCACTATCGTCTAGTCCGACTCGGTCCGACTAGTCCCAGGTGTCGAATCTGAAGACGCTGATCCAAACGACATCGACAAAATCCACAAAATCCACAAAATCCACAACCAGTACCCACCAGTAGCGACCAGTAGCGACCAGTAGCGACCAGTACTGGTACCCATTGGATCCCAGATCCCACCAGATCCGGTGGGATCCCACCGGAGCCACCGGATCCCGGCCTCTCGGTGATGAGCATCCAACTTTGAGAGCTGCACCTTTTAAAGGCGATGCACAGTTGTTTTTGCCCTTGAATTCTGTATGTTCTGTATGTTTTGTATGATTTGTATGTGAAAGAATCATTTTCGACCTTTTTAGACGGCCTCCAAATGCCATCTGTGGTAGCAGCTGGCTAAAAAGCCAGCACGAAGCATCAGAGCCGTTTCCAAGTTCTGCAGGAGCAGTTTGGTTGTTTCCACCATCCTGGAGGCGATGCTGCCAAAACGATCAAAACGCTGAGCTTGAGTTCAACAGTGTTCAACAGGATGTTTTATGTGCAGAGAATCCGAGATTCGAATGATTTTTGGAAATTTGAAATCTCTGATCCATTCCAATTTCGTTATCTATCATAGCCATTCTGATTCTAGAGCTTGGCATGTGGTCTTCCATTGTCCCTCAGCTGCGTATCTTGGCACTGTTCCCATCTGTTCCGTTTCCCCATGACACTGTGATGACATGTGATGACTGTGATGACATCGTTGTGACACCGAAATACACGGCGTTTTGGCGTTGCGATGGCGTTGCGATGGCGTTGCGATGGCGTTGCGATGGCGGTACTGGAAGCGGTGCACCTCCGAACCGTGACAGCACCAGCACGTGAGGCCATCTCACGGCCAGCGCTGGCAGCCCAGCCAATCTCCTGGTGGAGACTCTGCCGGACGACGTGGTCCAGCAGAAACGACGTGTTTTCGTTTCGTTTCGTTTCGTTTTATGTTTCGTATGATGCCGTATGGCGACTTAGACTATGTGAGAGCCTTCCAAGCCGATTCGTTTTGGTGACAAAAATATGTTGAGTTTGCCATGCCGGACCTTGCCCATTGAAACCTTTGCACAAGCCCAGACCGGGCTGTAAGTGTGCCTTCTTTCTGCTTGGAGGATCTTCATCTTCTGAGTGGAGATACGGAGCCTGCAAAGAAGCCGCCGGAAAGCAAAAAGATGCTTGAAACATGATAAAACATGTTCCCCGCAATCCCCCTGGTTCGCCCACACTCAAACAACACATCCAAACAATATGATATACGTGTCACCAGAGGATGAATGAAAACACTGGCTATACGCAGTGATTTTGACTTTAAGTTTTCAGGATTTAGGGTTTTAATTTAGGGTTTAGGTTTTTAGGTTTTAGGGTTTTGGTGTTTGTTGTTTTGGAAGGTAAAAAACTTAAACCCTGCGCAGGGATTTGAGCATGTCAAAGGATATGCGGGATTGGCCGCGGGCAAACCTAGGGGTTGCAGCGAACATGTTGCAAAATGTTGAAAACTGATTCAAATGCACAAGATTCAATTCAAATTTGCAACAGATTTGTTGAACAGACCTTTGCAGATTGCAATGCCACCAGGTGAAATACATCGTGCCTGATTGAGGATGTCATTGTCTTGCATCGTGAACCAAACAAGACCAACGGTGATTTGAGCTTGACATCTCATAAAGGAATCAAAGGAATGTTGGTTTATCTTGGTTTATGTTGGTTTATTCTTGCAACTTCTGTGCAACCCCGCCTTCTTTCGGATCCGATCCTCCTCTTGAACTGCTGGTGTCCGAATGGCCTCAGACTCTGAATCACATGTCTATGCTGCCTATGCTTCAACAATCTTCAACATATGTTTCCATAAGTTTCCATAAGTTTCCATCTGCGATGCGAGAAACCAAGACCGTCCATTAATTTTATTATATTTTATTACTTCTTTGGCTCCCATGAGCATTTCAATGCCAAGCTGCAGCATCCAAGTATGGCCGGACCTCCCGCAACAGATCTAGCATGAGCCACGTGTGTGAATGGTCAACTTGTTTCATCACCGCAGAACACAACATGCAAGACATGCAAGACCACACACGGAGGCCTGCACTTCGGTCTTTTCCATGGCTCGTTCCAGATCCTCGTTCCGTCTCCGTTCGCGGTCGATGCGCTCGCCGCGCTCGCCGCGCTCGCTGCTCAAGTCCCGCAGGCGCCGTGGTTCTCGTGGAGACGCAAGCTCAGGCCTCTCAGGCCTCTCAGGCCTCTCAGGCCTTTCCGGCCTGGCGCCAGCTGCCAGGTGCCAGCCATGTGCCAGCCATGTGCCAGCCATCTTCCTAGTGTCTCAGTGTGTATTCGTCTGTTAATCTCTGTTAGCTCTGTTTCATGTCTCAGAACTTGAGAACATGGCCAACACAGTCTGTGTGCAACTTTGCCAAAATCATTGCCTTTCAGAAGTCACGTCTCTGACAAGGCATGACCTGAAGACTGTGGTCACGGGCTCAGCTTGAAAGGGCCTCGCTGTTGCATCACCTGCACAGAAGCAGCAGGTAAGTTGTTACTGCAAAGACAGGTAAAGACAGGTAAGTTGAAAGACAAGAGAAGTTGGACAGGAAACAAAACACATAGTTAGTAGCATATAAGCACACAAACATCTTGATATTTTGATTGAACCTTTCTCTCTGGACGTCCTACAAGCCTCCTATGTCTTTTATTTTTTCATATGTTCTCATCAGTTTGTGACTTCAAAGCGGCTGGGTGTTCTGTCCATTGCTGTCAAGTTGCCACCGTCCTCCGCTCTTCTCAGTTTTGTTGCTTGAGCTCCTGAGCAAACTGCGAAATGTCCAACACAACACCAAAAAACAACAACAAATGTGATAAATGTGATAAATATGTGACAAATATCTGACAAATATCTGACAAATTCAAATATGTGATAAATATGTGACAAATGTGTCAGTTTTATATAGTTTTCAAAACAACAACATGTAAGTTTCGTTTTCGAATTTTTGTTTCCGATTTGTGACATATTGTGACATGAATGTGAGTCAGAGAGCTGTCCTTTTTTCACATCGAGATCATAGACCGTCCCATTTTCTCGGATGCGTTGCCTAGATGGAGCTGATGTCAGGCTGAACAGTACCCCAACACTTTATTTTCTTATTTTTGTTATTTGTTTTCATATAAACGTTGAGACATCCTCGCTTTCCGTTACCTTTTCTTGCAGGCATCGCATTTCAGTTTTACACTCATGTTAAAACACATTGAGTATCTAATTTTATTTAGCCGCCTTCTGCTAGAACTCCAAACAAAAAAAAGAAATATGTTCAGCACCATTTCTGTGAATATCAAACGTGCATGGCAACCTGAGTGTCAGACACGGTCCCAGGCAACCATTGCCGATGGGTATCACTGCGATACTCCACCCGATCGCCCACAGCAAATTGAGGCCGAACGACTAAAGCATCATCGCGGTTGCGTGGAGGGCCTTGAGAAAATGAAACTGAAATCCAAGATCAAAATCGAAAAATATCGAAAATAGGTTTGTACAATTCCACAAATTAAATTGGAGTGATGGGTTTTGCACTGCAAATTTCAACCTGTAATCCTTACGACAAACGCCACAAATGATCACTCTTGTGATCCCACGTGGAGCGACACCCAGTGACTGTAATTGGCCAAGCCACTGACGCTGCCTGGAGCACTGCCCTTGGCGCTTCGGCGCCCAGTGCTGTCGTCTCGGCGGCTCGAAGCAGAGCCACCCAGCTCCTGCGGGGAAGGCCCGAGCGCTACGGCACAGCAATGTATCATTTGCATTTTGCCAATATTTCCAGTTCGATTGCCCAAGGCAAATAAATTCCGATGTGGTCTACCCAAGATGTTCACCTTGACATACTTTGCCATGCCTTATGAACATTCAACACATGTCCATCTCATATTTGATTGTGTGTCCTTAGCTGCCAATTCACGGGCAGCTTTCAGGTTGAGCATCGAAAAACCTATCACAGATTCGCCGAAAGCAATTGTACGGAGACAATTTTACAATGTTAAATATAAAAGCAAACAAGAGGACAAACAAAACGGCTGCATATTGAACAACCATTTATAACTATTTGTTTGTCTGAAGAAATTTGGGTCATTGAACGAAATTGCTTCAATGTGTTGCCAAACATTGACAAATCACATGAACAAAATGCGCAGTTCTTTGGCAACAAAAATGTTGACATCACAAGCGACAGTTCTTGCCTTCACGCCCACGTACAACAGTGTCTGCCCTTGAACCGAAATATTGTCATGTGTGGAAAAAACATGACAAACATCCACGTTCCTGTGGGGATGGATGGCCCAATTTAGGAAACATTTTTAGCACAGTGAGCCACTATACCATTGAATCCCAAATGTACCGCATTGATTCTCCAAAACATGAGTTTCAAGGTCCCACAATGGTTTTTAACTGCCCCATCCCACTGTTACACACACCCTTTTCGTTTTTCGATTCGTGTCGTAGCTCGGACAGAAATTCTGCCCTCAACTCCTCCTTGACGAAGTCCACTTCTTTTCGTCTCAGTGTCCACATGTGTCCACGGGACGCTCCAGATGACACAGGCTGACACAGGGCAACAACGGCAACAACGGCAACAACGCAACTGCTGAGGCTGCTGAAAACAGGCTGAGGCTGCTGCATTGCAGGCGCTGGAAACAGCCAATCCTGGACAGAGCTTCCCATTTTGCACATTTCCAATTCCCATCCCATCCGAATCATCCCCCTTCCCATTTCCTTCCCATTTGGAGCTCCTCAATGAGCACGAAATCCAGGTCTTGCAGCGTATCCAACATCTCCAAACTCTCTCGAACCTCAGTTTTCCCGGAGAAAAACAAAACAGAAAAACAAAACCACCATGATCAAAGATGAACAAAACATCACCAACCAAGCTGTTGACGGTCTATCTGATAGTCTATGCCAGGTGACGGTGTTGGTGATTGGTTTACCTCTGGAATTGAAGCTGGTGTTGATGAGTGCTGCCAGGCCAGTTCGCTTGCCAACAGCCAGCAATAAGGCATGGACCCAAGGCTCATCTTCCCTACCCACTGATTGATGTCGTGCTGTACCATCGAAGTGGCTCAAGCCCGGAAACAGCTGACGTACTTCATCCCTGACCACTGGTGCAAATTCCATGTAGGTAGAACCAAACTTGTGACCAAAGACATATTCCAAAGCTTCATCTGCAATCATTGGTGCAGCCGGTCGCCACCACTGTCGAAACTTGATGCGATTCATCCTGTCGCGCATGTCTTCAGAATCGGGAAATGCCAAGAGAGATCGATGTCCCAAGGCTCTTGGCCCAAACTCTTGCCGTCCCCGCACCACCGCAATGATGGGTTTGGGTGTTTTGGCTGCCGGATGCTTTTGCCAAGCTGGGCCACCTGCAAACAGCTCGGCCAAATATTCCACACCGCCCAGATCTGAAAGTCGTTGGGCTCCACGCTTCTGGGCTTCCTCCGGGAGAATCTCTTCATCAAACAAACGAAATCCCAGGTACTGCAGTGGCTGACGGACAGTGGGTGGAAAGAGGGACCAAATGGCTCCAACTGCCAAACCCGAATCATTGGGAGCAGGAGGTACATACACGTCACGAGGTCGGCTGCCCCCATCCATTGGAGATGTAAAGGATGTAAGTGTCTCACGAATCACTTGATTTGTAACGACATTCAGGGCACAACCTCCAACCAAAACAATGCCTTCTACATTGATGGATTTGAGCTTCAGTTGCAGCAAGTAATTCGCAACCTTTGGCTGAACAAACTTGGAAAATTCGTCTTGTGTGGAAGCAGCCACCAATTGCCGTCCTTCTTCCGATTTGCACATCATATTCAGCACCGCTCCAGGCAAACGATGATCCCCGTCCGCTGCGCGCTGGTAGAATTGACGCATCCATTCACTGGCTTCGGGTGAAGGAGCTTTGATGCCAGAGTATCCCATCATTTTTCCAGCAAAACCTTCGAGTTTTGTCAAGGGCCAATTGATCATTGCTTCATCCCAAGTGAGATTAAATCCCGGTGAATGCAAGGGGAGAGCCGAGCACAGTTTTTGCAATGACAGGTCAAAGCCAGTGAGTGCAGGCATGAAGGAAGCTACACGTGTATAAGCTTTTCCTAAGTTGATCTGTTCTCGTGAAATGCGATACACATCCAAACCTTGTCCAACAAAGACGTTCCAGGTGCCATCATTTCCACCACCATCAAATGAAAGAATCAGAGAAGATCGAAAAGGCGAGCTATAATATGCCATCAATGCATGCGACTCATGATGATTCACATTTCTCCATTCTTTCACCGGAAAAACTCGTTCAATGACCTTTGGAAGTTGAGTCGCCTGGATGGACTCATAGGTTCCAAAATCCACCACTAAGCCGGTGTCAAATTCCCGAGGACAAGAGCCCGATTCGCAGTCGCAATGGTCTCGGACCAGTTCGGCAGCAAGTTGCCAATCACGGCTGAAATGGTCCACTTTGGGGAAAAAATAACGTCTCCCAAAGAACCTTTCCAGCTCCAAGACACATTGTATTCTGCTCCCAATTGCGATTGCGATATGGGCATCATGTCCCTTGTGGATTGCAATGGTTCTATGAACATCACCTGCGAGTTCCTCTGGCCATTGCATCCCATATCCTTCCTTTGGCCTCTGTGGCAAATTTTTGGTGCTTCGCCAAGGTCTTCCTGCGCGGCTGACTTTGGCAGACATCACCGTGCCATTGCTGGACCTGACAACGGGCAGTTTTTGTCCCCACAAATGGAGAGGTAGGGCAATCCGGGCTGTTATTTTGAAATCCCAGAAATGGATACAAATGGCCCAAAAACATGCCGCCAAAGATCCACTTGCCAGGGCCCCGAATGCCCACTGGCAATCCAATTCGGCACGATGGAAAAATGCGATCGCAAAACTCCCCATCCTCAGCCTTGGAAAGCGTGTTGGTGACAAAGGGTGGCAACCAAAGTTGACACCAAAGTTGACACCAAAGTTGACATAGGTTTGACCTTGAAATGCGCGGATCATATTTCAGCAAGCAACTCTTGTGGCAATTGCTGCAGCCACCAGGGCCTCGGGAACTAGGTGCACTGAGGATTGAAACAAACATCAACGAAAACAAGCAAAGGAACTTGAAGACCAGAATTCCAGTTGTCAGTTCAATGTTTTGACATTTCAACCATTTTTGTGACATTTTCTTTGACAGGCCCAAATGGCAACACGGAAAGCCAGCCGCGGAAGCATCGTGATCAGGATCTGACACAGTCAAACATTGTGTTTTAATTTGTGCTGAGGGTTACCGAGTTGGAAAGGTCCAGCTTCTAAACCTGACGTCCAGCTGCAATTTGCAGCTTAGCTGCTTAGCCGCTTAAGCAATCCTGTAATTATTTGATATATTTTGATTTTCTTGGGGGGAAGGTGTGAGGCTCTGTGCTGAAGAGACTGTGATGGCTGTGCCTGCAGATGATATGTTTGATTGGACTCATGATTCAGCTTTGGGTTGATCGCAACATGGCAATCCAGGACAAACTGCTGTGCTGCGAAAAGCTTTGGCTTTGTGAATGTAGCATGTATCTGCCTTGACCGAAGCTTACAGTCTCCAGTTTTGCTGAGCGCTCAAATTGTCTTTCAGTGCTTGCGATCTGGTGCTTCAGAAGGCTGTAGGTGCTCGTTGTCAGTCCCATGTTCCCAGCTGGAGCACAAGTCTGCGCAAGGGCGGTGCTCTAGCCGGGATACCAGCACATTGCTACCAAAAAATGCCAGGTGGAACGCCACTCTTTACAGGGCGAAGGGAAGCGCATTAACTTAAATAACAATGAAATCCAACCAGAATCATCAGCATGATGCTGAACAGACTTCAAGAACATTTCAAGTGCTGTTTGTTTGTGGCCAACTAAGATCAACCTTTCGAGCTTCCACCGGAGTCGAGCGCTGGCAACGCCGCTGGCGACTATGCTGTGACACCAAGAAGCTTACGACTTGGTGACAAGTGCAACGAATTATGTCAGCACAGGCCCGGTTGGTGGGCGTGACAAAAGTACTGACCTTAAATTCGGGAAGTTCATTGCCCACTGGACATCAAAAAGGTACAGGGTCCACTGGCAAAGGCACAAAATCATATTTGCAGCCTCACTGTTTGTTCAGGTGAGGTGAAGCAATCGGAAAAGCTGGCCGGAAGCCGGCCATGAACTATGCCTATGCCATCAAAATCCCCGGAAGGTGGATTTTGAACTGTGAAACCCCAGCTGTTGTAAGGTTTTACTCACCAAGGTTCGATGCTAAAATCGACCTTGGTGAAGCAGTTGTTAACTTTTGTTTGACTGTGCAGAGCCAATAAAAAATTGGCATCCACCGGTTCCCGAAGAACTCACACGTCCACAATTTTGCCATCTTCAGCTTCAATTGCCTAGCGGTTGATGGGCTGATCTGGGTACACTGAAACCGTTCTGGCCTTTGGTGGCTGCTCACGACCATGCTCGATATAGCTCGGAGGGGACAGGACACAAATGATTTGCATCAGTGAAAATCATGAGATTTGCATCAAAGGTTTCCTTTTCGTTTTTTGTCCTTTAAAAGTTTCCAATGCTGCCTGGAAAAACTGAGACTGAGATTGCAGCAAGGATGTAGAAAACCACGCCGTGTCCATTCCAGCCCCAATTTGTCAAAGACCATGCATAGATGGATGAAAATGCGATCGGCCCAAAAGCCTTCCTCAGGCCACAAAGATCTCTCACACTGCTTTCCGATTAGTTTTTACTCAGTTTCACCAGCATCCGGCAATATGTTTTAAATATCATTTGGTAAACATTATATAATGGATATTGAAAATCACCATTTTTCCCCACATCTTTGTGTGGGGTTCTTGTTTTTGGTTCTGTATCCCGCCGTCCGTCCGTCCGCCGTCCGCCTCCCGTCGTCCGCCTCCACACCTTCCACACAACTTGTCCACACACAACTTGTCATCACACAACTTGCTCACACACAACTCGCTCACACACAACTTGTCCTCACACAACTTGTCATCACACAACTTGCTCACTCACACATATCTTGTCCTCACACAACTTACAACTTGCTCACACACAACTTGTCTCACACACAACTTGTCCTCACACAACTTGTCCACACACAACTTGCTCACACACAACTTACTCACACACCACTTGCTCACACACAACTTGCTCACACACAACTTGTCTCACACACAACTTGTCTCACACACAACTTGTCCTCACACAACTTGTCCACACACAACTTGCTCACACACAACTTACTCACACACAACTTGCTCACACACAACTTGTCATCACACAACTTGCTCACTCACACACATCTTGTTCTCACACAACTTACCACTTGCTCACACACATCTTGTCATCACACCTTCACTTTGCGTGGCAGGCGTGGCACTTGGTGACATCCACGCTGGACGTACCTGCAATCCGATTATGTCATTTTCGCTGACATGGCATGGGGCTAAGCCGAGAACCCCTATACCTGACGTTTCAGTTCCTGCTTTGCACGTTTGAAGCAATCTGGTATTTACTTATTCACTTATTGAATCATGTTATTTTTTGGGGGGGGGATTATTTGAACCAGTCCTTGCGCGCGATCTTGGTTTCGGAACTTCATCACAAAGATTGCATACTACTTCATGGAGATCTACCTAAAATCTACAATCTTGTGTGGTTGCACCTTATTGGGATTCAGTTCCCATCGGATCATTTCATTGATCCAGTTCCTTCTAGTGCGTGTGACGTATGATATCACATATGATGCATGACGCATGTTACACTGTTACACATAATATACCACACGAAAGAGGAACTAACATAGGAGCCACGACCACACTAAGCTGGAGACACTTTTCTCAAAGATGTAGGATTTCGGCTCTCCCAGTTTCGGTGTTTCAAAGACCGGCAGCCCCGGCAGGAAGACCTGGGCCACGACAAAGAGGCACGTGCCACAGCAACGTGCAATGTCCAGGATTCATCACAACGGATTGGTTTCATTGCAAAATACCATTTTAAGAGCAAACAAATAATTATCAACGATAACCAATGATAGTTGGTGATAGTTAAAGTTAAAGTTTATGACAATCACTGATGTATAATCAATGATACATGATGACAATTCGTGAGACATGACAAGTACTATGGCGGAAGCACCCTTGAATCAGCCAACACTTGTTACTCCAAAGTTGCTGATTCTCCAGTACCCACAGGCCACAAATCACATCCAAAGGATGCGCCTTGAACCTCCTCTTTCCTCTCTCCATTGGTAGAGTCCTGGCAGGATGTGTGTTGAAAACTGCGACAGCGGATGGGAGTTGACTGCGAAACAGAGTGACACTGCCAAACTGGATGTTTCTATAACACGTTTACGCAAAGCTTGGACCGCAGCAAGGAGTGCAGAAGAATCGAATGGAATAAAGAAAAATCAAAGACTTCACCATAGACCTCCCCCATCGAAAGGCTCCTTGCAAAGCAGCAAAACCCACTGCAGGCCGCTTGAACCAACTCTAAATCGTTTGCTTCGGCACAGAATGCAATCTGGTTTCACATCCCACAATATCTGGTTCCATCTCTGACATTGCAATTTTGATCCGTTCAAACCTGGATTTTGGAAATGCTGAAACTCGGAGTTTTTACAATATTGGCACAGGGTTTTTTTGCTGATATCATACCCATAGACTTCTTGATTTTCATCACGGGGAAGGAGAGAAGAGGGAAGGATAGGAGGCAGATGGGCGAGAACAGAGGAAGGGAACAAGTTTTTTCAGAGCGCAGCAAAGGTTCGATGCTGAGGGACGACGGGTGAAACGCAGCCGTGCACGATCGTACGGAACAAGCGGCTTGGGATGTTTGAAAAACAATAAATATATGGGTAATCCGCTGAAGGAAGCGGACTAGTGCATCGTTGCAATCAATAATGAGGTTTCTGTGCAGAAGCAAGGTTAATATATGTAATGGGGCCCTAACTGCAGCTACTATCCAGCTATTATGTGCAATCAAAAGTTCTGCTTATTCTACTTGCAAAACGGTTGAGCACGCTCTGCTTACAAAACGGTCTGGCAACCAAGTTCTAGTGACAGCACAGTTCGCAACCGGGTACTACAAAATAGGGCCCATACCCCCTCAGTGTCTCCAAAATGGGTGTGGGATAAAAGCACGGCTTCCACACTTGTTCTTCGGGCCACCAAGTCCTTATTACAAAAGGATACAAAAGGGTTTCGCACATAAGTTCTGCATACAAAATTCCCTGGCAACTAAATTCTACGTACAAAACAATTTACCACCAACGCTCTCCCTACAAAACGGTCTGGCAACCAGGCTCCAGTTACAACGCAATTTAACAACGAAGTTCTGCGTACAAAACGGTCTAGCAACCAAGTTCTGCTTATATGCACACCTTTTTTTGTACTACAAAATTGGGCGCGGACCCCCCCCAGTGTCTACAAAATGGGTCTGGGATAGGTAGCACGGCTTCCACAGTGGTTCTTCCGGCAGCCAAGTTCTTATTACAAAAGGATGCAAAAGGGTTTCGCACATAAGTTCTGCCTACAAAACTCTCTGGCAACCAAGTTCTATTCACAAAACGGTCTGGCAATCAGTTCTTATGCACACCATTTTTATACTAAGTGGGGCGGACCCCTCAGTGTTTACAAAATGGGTTTGGGATAAGCGACCGAGTCCTTATTGCAAAAGGATACACAAGGGTTTCGCACATAAGTTCTGCTTACAAAACTCTGTAGCAACCAAGTTCTACTCACAAAGCGCTTTAGCACCCAAGTTCTGCTTACAAGTGTGCCACAGTTCGTAACCTTGTCGGATAGCACGGCTTCCACAGTTGTTCTTTCGGCAATTAAGTCCTTATTACGAAAGGATGCAAAGGGTTTAGCACATAAATTCTGCGTGCAAAACTCCCTGGTAATCAAATTCTACGCACAAAACAGTTTATGCAAAGACTCAGGCGAAAACGCTGCAGTCTATTTTCACTGGTGCCAAAAGGGTCTCACAAGTTTCAACTGCACATGCTGTTCATGTCAGTCTATGAAGTGAAATGACAAATGCAACTCTCTTATCGATTTGTGCGTGTCATCCTGGCACATGTGAGTGGGCTCCACAACTTTCCACACTCCTCCTTTGTGGTTTGAGCGTGGCTCATTCCACAACTCCAAAATTTTCACCTCAACGCAAATTTCAGCTCTGCTGTCTGACTCTGCATCATCCAGTGAAAACGTTTTCGAATTCAATCT